GCTGAGTAATAGTGTGAGAAGTGTTTCTGATAGGCATGAGGCTGGCATCATCTATTTCCACTTATATCTCAACAACCAGCAAGGCAATTCACATGGAAATTGGAGAGATTGTTAGATAGAGGAATAGCTTTCAAATGAATGTGATTTCGTCCATTTTGAACAAGAATTGACTGAGTTGTGAAAAGAGCGTGGTGTCAAGATAACTCTTGTTAATTCAGGAAACAAGCAGACTGCCACAAACAAGAACTTTGTAAGTAGTGAGAATAGACAAGTAAAACTATTAGCTATCAACAGACAAATTTATTATCTCAGAGTTACAGTAATCTTACTTGGATCAAAGTGTGCAATGGTTCTAGTGAACTCAGAAGCAATCAGATTATTCATCAACAAATGATTCACTAAACAAGCTGGTATTGTGAAGCAAATAAAGAAATATCTCTACCAGTTATTAGAACTGGAAGAAGAAACTCTTAATAGAGTTAAAGAAAAAATATACCACATCAGAATAAAAATAGAACAACATCATAAAAAAGTGCATTTCAAAGTAATGAATCTAGAGAACTATAATATAGTTTTGAAATACTCTTGATTAAAACAGCACAATCCAGAAATTAACTAGTAAGAAGAAAAAATTAAACTGACAAACTATAAATACTCTCTCAAATCAGTACACTATAATTAGAAATTCATACTTAGAAATAACTTAGACAAGACACTGGCTATAATAAGTCAGATCAACTGGAAGATACTACATAAAAAATAATTGATTAATATAAAAGAAATTTATAAAAACCTGATCTATAATGACAAAGTAAATCAAGCTATAAAGAACTCTAACAACTCAGTACAACTGCAAGTACAAAAGAATAATCAGAATAAAAAGATCAAGAAGACTCTATCAGAAGAATTCTAGAAATATATTAATATATTTAGAGAAAAAGATCAGAACAATAGTTTACTAAAGCACAAACTCTGAAATTATAAAATAAAACTACAGAAGGAAAAACAATCAGTAAAATTATTAATATACAGATTGAACAAGAAAGAATCAGCTGAAGTGAAGAAATATATTGAGAATAATCTCAAGAAAGATTATATCAGAGAGTTGATATCATCAGCAGAATATCTAATACTGTTTGCACCAAAAAAGAACAGAACTCTATAACTATACATGAATTACAGACAGTTGAACAGCATTACAATTAAGAACTGCTATTTAATACCACTGATTAAAGAAGTGCAAGACAGATTAAGAGAAGTAACATGGTTTACTTTAATTAACATCAAAAACATCTACCATCAGATATGAATTAAAGAAGGCAACAAATGGAAAACAGCATTCAGAACACAGTATGAACTGTATGAATACAATATCATGCTGTTTGAACTAACAAATACACCAGCAACATTTCAAGCACTCATCAACAACATACTGCAGGAGTATCTAGACAATTTTATCATCACATATCTTGATAATGTAATTATATTCACCAAAGAGAACCAAAAGAACCACACTGGAAAAGTCAAGAAAGTACTGAAAAAACTACAAAAATACAATCTACCAGCAAAACTAAAGAAGTGTGATTTCTTTAAGAAGAAAATCAGATATCTTAGATACATCATATCAACAGAAGAAATATGAATGAAGCCAGAAAAAATTAATAAAATACTACAATAACTGATATTAAAGAAAGTTAAAGAACTATAGAAATTTATAGCAATAGATTTTGTCATAAAACTTTCAAATTCAAAAAATATAGAAGGAAAGAAGTACAATTCAATACTAGTAATCATCAACAGATTAATAAAGTACAGATACTTCATACTATTTAAGAAGACAACAACAGCACCAGATACAGCACTGATAGTACTACAAAACATGCTTGCCAATCACAGAATGCCAGAAGAGATAATCATTAATCAAGACACCAGATTCACAAGCAAAGTCTGAATAATACTGATGGCATAACTGAGAATTAAACAGAAGATATCAACAGTCTATTATCTATAGATAGATGGACAGACAGAGTAACTGAACCAAATCTTGAAACAATACTTGCAAGAATATGTTAACTATCAACAGAACAATTAAGTTATACTGCTACTTATAGTATAATTAGCTTATAATAAAGCAAAGAATGTTATTACAGAGATGATATCATTCTACATAAACTACAGCAGAGAATCAGAAATACAGAAATACTCAAGAATTACACAATAAAAAGCTCAAGAAGCAGAACACACAGCAATATAATTATAAGAACTGCAGAATCAGATAAAACTAGACATTGAATTTCTGAATAAGAGAATGAAGCACTACTATAACAGAAGATATCAGAAGATATTAACTCTGAAAAAGAGAGAAAAAGTATTTCTAATTTAATAAAATATCAAAATCAAATAATCAAGTGAAAAACTTGATTTTAAAAAATTAAGATCATACAAAATCACAAAGCAGATTGAAAAAGTCAACTACAAACTTCAGCTACTTAAAAAGATAAGAATACATCTAGTATTTCATATCTTATTATTGAAAAGAGCACCACTACACACTAAAGAAATACCTACAGAAATCAATAAAGAACAAGAATACAAAGTTAAACAGATACTAGATTATCAGAAGATCAGTAGAAAACTTTACTACTTAATAAAATAAAAAAAGTACAATATCTCAAAAAACATCTAAAAATCAACAAAAAATCTCAGAAATGCCCAGATAATTATTAAAATATATTATTAATAACACTCTTATTTAGTAAAGCATTAACAAATAAATCAGAAATAACCAGAAGAGAATTCAAGAAAGAAAAATCATTTAATAAAGCAAGCAAGTTTTGAATTTCTATCTGCTCAGTCACTTTTTTCTATTTCTTGTTCTCAAGATATTTCAGATCTTTCACAAACTTTAATTCAGACTCAAGAAATTTATCAGCTTAATTACAAAGTAACTTTTTCTGCTTTTGAAAATAAAGAAGATAAGAAAGAGTTTCTTACTCAGTATACTTAAGTTTATTCTAAGTCTTAAATAACTTCTGTCAGTCAGCAGCAGAGAAATTATTATTATAAATATAATAACAACTAGCACAAACACACTTACTATATCAAGAAGAATAACTTAACTTTAGACAAGTCTTATCTAGCAAAGAATATCAAGAGCAGGAAGAAAGTATAACAAATTCAGATTACTTAATAATAAAAAGAAGATTATTCTTGTAAATATTAGAAGCAGACAACATGATGAAACAAAATCATAGAAATACTCACTAGAAACAAGAAAATAAAGAAAAAATCTAGAAATCTAAAAAAAAAGAGAAGATCACTCTTTTATATCTTAAAAATAAGAAGCAGAGTAATTGAGAACAATATATTGTAAAAGAAAAGAATAATATTATAAATCTTGCAGCATAATAGCTGAAAACACAGAATAATTAAAAAAAATCTGACAAGATAAAGTTACAAATTATTATAGAAAAATCTTAGAACAAGAAATTATATAATCAGCAATAGAACTAATAAGCTGATTAATTACATTAAGTACAATAGAACTGATCAGAGAATATAGCAAGCATACTACAGTAGAATGAATAGAACAGCTTAGCAAGACTATTACCAGAAGTATCATATATATAAGAACACTTATTATTAGAGATCTGATAAACTTGTTTATCATAATTAATCTTTCTATCTATATTATAGATATTTTTAAATCAGATACTCTCATATCTTGATTACTTTCTATACTATTGAAGTCTTATAATACTGTATAATTATATCTGATCTTACTACTTTTGAAAAGATATAATAGTCTTGTCCTGACTCTAATATATCTGCACAAAAACTCTTTGTTATCAGAGCAAGACTGTCTACTCAATCAGAGCACCATTGAACTATTAATTACTACCCTAATTTATTACAATCCTTCTTAGGACCTTTGCTTTTCTTTATACACCCAAAGGCCCAAGGGAGAACTGCAGGTTGCACAACACTTCAAACTTAATGTAACAATCTGAAAGACTGTCTTCATGACTTTCTTGATAATTTGTTTGTGTTTTCTTGCTGATTTTACTTGCTCTATTAAAATAGTCAGTTCTAATAGCTATAAAGATCTCTAAATAAGTAGAATTACCTGTGGAATTGGGTGTGAATTCCCTGTTGTTGGGTTTCTCATTGAGGGATTCCATCTTTGCTCCAGGGGTTGAGAAGGTGAAAACACATTTTTTAAAAAGGTGAAAAAATATGTTTTTTGAAATCAACACAAAAACCAGCAATGAATGTGTTTTGCTTAACCAATAGATTTCCATATATTTTAGTGTGTGAACCTATTGGTCAGAAAAACACCAGTAATTTGTAATCTGGTGCCAAGGCGCTAATTTTGCCTGGCGGCCGGACGAGGGGATAATGCATCAGAAGTGAAAATGTTAGGTAATCCAGCTAACTAGCACATTGCCCATGTGACCAACCTAGGTTAAACAAAATCCCTCTTTAGGTAGCTTGGTTGAATGACAAGCATACAAGTTCTCCATCAGGTTATCTGTTTATGTGGAAGAGCAAGCATATAAAATTTGTGTACTCCGTATAGAGGAATTCATTATATAAAGTGTTTGTTATATCGAGGTTTTACCGTAGTCCTCTATCAGAAAAGCTGCCGGATTCAAATTCTCCGGTCAAGATCACACTCAAATACAGGGTACACATGATATTATAACATGTATCTACTCTTTACTTGAGCTCTAATCTGACGATCTCTAAATTCTGCCACTGGAAATCAGATTAAAATTCAGTAACACAGTTGCGTTTCCTCAATACTCGTAAGTCTTGGCATGGCCACGGGTAGTTGGTTGGTTAGCCCTTTTTTTTTTTGTTTTTGGCTTGACTGGCTAACAACCCAGCCTTGAATCAACCTCCTCTTTGCGTCATAGCAATTTTGAGTCTCCACATTCCCCAAAGCCTGACTTCGCCCTCCATTTGCACCTCTTGAGCGACAGTGGGTGTCCTTCATCATGGTCAGCACAGGAAGACTCAAACTCCTAGATAGTTTGAACAGGAGATACATATATGGCTATGTTGTGAGTTAATTAGTTCTTTGAATCGCCACATATTGGATTGTAATGGGAGAAAAGCTGATGTTGAATCTGAAGCCGCTCCTGCATGCGTTGTTATTTGTACTGGAAATGGTAATCACAATGCGGCTAGCTGCAAAATTCAACTCATACTATGCTGAGAGACCGGGTAAGCTGTTATCACTATTCGCAAGACGCGGCTTATCAAGTACTGATATGCGCTGTTGATTAGTCCTGACAACCATGGTGACCAATGCTGTAAGATCCCTTTCATGCTCCTGCAAAGGAATCCCATTCTTACGTATGTATCAGCTAAAATTTACTGAGGTTAGGTTCTTGGTGGAATCGCGGATACAGTTGCCCAGTCTATTACAGCAATTCGTTCGCGAGCCAAGTTGAATCATGACACAAGGAGCTCCGAAAATGATTTCATGTCGATCGAGATAGCCGAATTTCACAAGGCAAAGCGCCCAAGAGCAGCTGGATCTGGGCTGTCCAAGAGAGGACCTACTCCCTTCGATTTCGAACGGCTGACACGATTTATGGCATATGGTTTTTTTATGGCTCCCATCCAATTCCAATGGTTTGGCTTTCTCTCGCGAGCTTTCCCAATTACCAAGAGGCATGCAACTCTCCCTGCATTGAAACGTGTGGCAATGGACCAACTCATATTTGCTCCGATTGGTATGAACCACAAAAGCAAACCTAGAAACTATGCTTTTTACTGACATAGTCCAGGCCTTGTTTGTTTTTTCACATTTATGACTATTGCGGAAGGAGGTGGCCGGCGTGCAGTTGCTCGTAAATTTCAGGATGTTTACATACCAACTCTGAAAGCCAATTTCATGTTGTGGCCACTTGTCCAAATCTTGAATTTTCGAATAATGCCTATTCAATTCCAAATAGTAAGTCGATTCGCCTTTTGCTTCTCTGTCTCAGAAGATCGGAGCTGACAGTAACTTAGCCATTTGTTTCCTCTGTTGGCATCGCATGGACCGCATATTTATCTCTCACAAATTCTGCCGAGGAAGAGTAACTTGAGCAGACAGGGAAGGACCGAAAACTATTGGGAACAGGAGCAGCCTCTCTTACCACTTTATATGGTAGTGTTGTTCTTATGATTGCTTGACTCCCTGTTCAACTACAATCTAAAATTTGAAAACATCGCTATACTTGATGCTAAAGGTCGATAACTTTTACAATGACAGTGCTTCATGTATTCATACAAAAATGTGTAATCAGCGTAATAAGACACTTAAGACTACGGAAATGGAACCGCTGGAAAGCTTCTTGAATGCATCAATTAGCTCGTATATAGCACTCTTTTAATATAAATTCTAACAAGGGCTATAGGTGTCCCACTGTGCTAATAGAGATGACCCAAACCGGGGGATCAGCTCAAAAATTAGGTGCTAAGGAAGCTGTAAGGTCCGGTGGATCCCTAATTTCCATTGACTCATTTGTTTCTAGGTCCACAATCTTGACAGCCGCAATATTCAGTAGACCTGAGGAAAGTGGTAGCATTGGCAACAGAGCTGCATAACATGACCCGGGAAATAGAGGGCTAAACTCAAAAAATTAGCGACAGGTTGTGAGCTGAGGTTTCTAATACACACTCACCTTAACTTGAGGTCAGGATTTAGACATATCAGCTCCGTTTCATACGAGGTCACCGAAGTTTTGACCATAGAATATGTGAAGTTTCCATCAACAGCTGCATGTGCAACCTCCAGTGCATGCAACGATTGCGCAGAGGATGATTGTCGTGAAGTAAACCGCTGGCGATGAAGACTATTACGCATTGGGATCACAATTATCGCAAATTTTCTTACTCGGTTGGAACGGTTAACCACAAAAACCTCCCAGTCAAACCCTTGGGCAACCTCAATGCTCGTTGGGGTTGATAGAGACAGATAAACACCAAGCCCAATGGCACATTGTGTTGTTCTATCTCCAGAGAGAGTGGCTTCGCTAGGAGCCATTGAAAGACTGGCAGGCCGACAGTTCCGTTGTAATACTTGACTAGGGCCCCCGAATATAGGGTTAAGAGGCAACGAAAAGTCTATGCTGGCTTTCCAGCGCATCGAAATTTTCGGCTGACAGTTTTCTGAAATTAGAACCACAGCCCGGATATGGATGTCCAGAACAGAATGGATGGCGGTTGTCGAAGCATTATAGCACTCGCTCTGATTAGGAATCAGCTTAAAAACAAATGTAAGATCATCCCTGGAGCGACAGAGTATCGGCAGGTCAAGCCCTGCGGATGCACCCATGTTCTCCACAATGCCATTCGACAATGACAAATCTATTGATTCTAAGCTCGTTTCGAGTTTTGCGAATGGAATCATTTCGAAGTCAAGGCTTGCTATTGCCACGGGGCGGTTGCAATATGTATTCAGCCGAGAATAGCGAATTCTGGCGCTCGCCACAGGAACAATGCGAATGGGGTTATGGGATGACTCTGATATATTGTAGACTCGCTCCTCGGTTTTCACAGGGGCCACATGTAAAAGCCTTGATGCCGGAAGATACATCTCCGAAGAATTGTCCGAAGCAGGGCCAACTAAAGGTTGAAAGATATTCAAGGAACCCGCAGTGAGACTCGGTAAGAAATCATCCTGTCCAGTGCCCTGTAGTCGTTTCGAAGAACTTAATGCTGCGGATGCCTGAAAAATTACAGAAGGCTGTTGATGGCGAGTACGTGGACGACCTGAGTTCTGTTAGAAGTGATACAAGCGTGCTGTCCTGCGACTTACGCAAATAGACATCTATGGTCCATAAAACATATACTTGATTATGGGGTTCCTTTCCATCATCCCCTGCATTATGTATAACAAGAGAATCCTTGAAATCTTTTACAAAACCAGAAAATATGAGCTCTTTTGTGGGAAAATCTTCAACTTTGGTCTTCGAAATGGCAGTATTTGCAGCAAAAACATCCAAATGCACTAACACATTTGGTAGATGCGCCTTCAAGCTATCGTCTGTGCAATTCACCAACTGAAGGACAATATACACAGTCAGAATCTCATCTATTGGTCTCTGATAAGCATGGACAAGGTCATTTGTGCTAAAAGTTTCTGATGCTCACCAAAGATTAGCAAGTCTCGTTGCTGGATATATGATAAGGGGGTTGTGCAGGTTCCATCACTCAACAAGAGATCCAATTCATTTTTGAGATTGACTTCTGATGCGCAAGGGATGATTGTGCTGATTGTTGCATTTTTTAAAAAGTTATCAGCACTCATGATCTCGTTTGGTGTGCCTTCCTTTGTGTTGAGTGGTCAAAGTGTTTTGCTGCTGGGTCACCAGGGCGGATTGGAATTAGCTAACTAGCGCAGTCACACCCCTACGGAGTTACAAAATTTGCAGGCATATCATTAAGGTATGACCATGTAATACCGCACTCTGTACAGAGTCTGGAGGTGTGGAACAAAAGTTCCCAGAAACTCTATTTTGTTACAATGTATTGCAGTTACCTGCTGCCCCACCAAAATTTGGTAGGGTAGCAGGTATCTTCTATTATTCAACAAACAGCCTGGCTCCCATCTTTTTCCAAATCTCTTCAAATTCAAAACATCAAATCTGCCCACCATGTCTTCTAGAGAAATCTCTCTCTATAATAAGCTTGTTATGTAAATTCAAGCTCTTGCTTTAATCTCTTATAGAATTTCTATCTTAGATGTTTCTCATACTCTCCAGATTTCTTCTTCTATTCTTTATGATATTCAAAAGCAAGCAAAAGATCATAGCTTTAATCTCAAGAATAACTCTTGAATTTCTCTCAGTTATGTGGAAGATGCTTTTAAATCAGACCAGCTAAAGAAAATAAGCACCAAAGAAGCTGGAATTATTATCTCTATAACTAAAAGCTCAGGAAAAGAGAAATCTACTAAGATTCTAGTATTTAAAGCTGATATATCTTATTCAAGTATTTTGTAAATTTTTAAGAAACATAACTTTGTTATTGTCAAATCAACTTAAAAACCAGATCTAACTAAATCTGCAAGAAAAAAAAAAAAACTCAGATTCTGTCTTACTTATAAGAATTAAACTCTAAAGAACTAGAAAAATATTATCTAAACTAATAAAACTTCTATAATTTTTAAGCATAAAAAAGAAGCAGTTTATATATAGAGAAGATGCTTAGAAGCTTATAATTTTATTTGTATACATCAATAATAAAAGAAGTTCTCAGATTTTATGTTTTGAGGCTGCTTTATATACAAGAAGAAGAGACTCTGTTATATCTGAGAACTAGAGACTGTAGCAGCTAAATATTAAGCTCAAAAGAAACTAAATATCTTGAATATTAATTATAAGATAAAGACAAGAGAGGAATAAAAACTTATTAATAAGATTTACTATCTATAAATTTGTCTAAATTATAAAAAAGAGCCAACTTTTAAATTCACTGTAAAAACTAGCAAGCTTGCTCAACAAGACAAGAGAGAAGTTAATTAATATAGATATCAGAAGATATTAAGATTCTATTATCTTACTATTAAATTCTCTAGCTAATCTGATATTTCTTTTATTCCAGAAGATTCTTCTTGCCAAATTATTTTTTTTATTAAGAAATGTCTTGAATTCTGATCTAATACTATTGTTCTAGAAGATAGAGCTCTAGCACATACTTATTTTTATCAACAAGAGCTCTATAATATATATAAGATTAACCACTTACTTTAGTCTGGCAATTCACTAGATTTAAATATAATTGAGCTTATCTGAATGTAACTCAAGCAACATATAACTACTAAAGATGCCCCACAAGAATCTAAGATAGCTAAATATAAATAAAAGAAAGTTTGAGAAGAGCTATTATAAGTAAAGATTTAACAGTAGATTGAGCAGATTTTATATTATATTCAAGAGATTATATGCTTGAAAGAGAGTAATAAGTATAGAGAGAATGATTATAAGATATCTTATATATAAAAGAGTTAATAGCTTAAGAGAAAGCTCTTTCAACAATAGAATCTTGAGACAGATTCTTGAGCAGCTGGTCTAGAGACTTTGAAAGCTGCTGAAGCTCTAGCTGCTCTATATAATTTGAATAGAGAGGATTCTTGAGAGGATTTGGAACAGGATTCAGATAAGAGTAACTAGTTAATTTCAGGGGTACTTTGAGTTTCCTAGCAAATTTGGTGGGGTAGTAGATATTTGTAAAACAGTATTGTCTGTATAAGCTTTCCGGGAACTTTTGTTCCACACCTCCGTAGTTGAACCATTATATTGGTTTCCCGCTGACGAACTCGGCCTTGCCTCTTCTGGTTGCTAACTCAAAGCTGGGTATAGATTTAATATGACTGAACTTGTAATTTCGCTTTTTCTCATACAGAATGGTCTTTTGTTTGCTTCTTTTTAAAGATTCTTTGCTTTTTTACTTTGTTGATAAAGATAGCAATGGATCCAAGTAAAATAACTGCATAGTTAACTAGTTAACTAGTTAATCTATTTTCACTAACATTCTATTAGATCAATATATTTATACTCGATATACGGAGTACGGAGTACAAGTTTCATATAGGATTACACGTACGGAGTACATACATACAAAATACCATACATTACCATACCGTAAGACAGATTATAATTGTCAATTCCACATTCCCACTCCGTTCTCGAGGGAGCAACAGTGTCGCATTACCCTATCGCCACCTTCCAGAGGAGAAAGTCTTTCACACTCAATCTCATGGACACCATGAGCTCTAACATGGGTTCCACCGCTCCATTGCTGTGGCAGGAAGCCCGCAACTCGGAGGGCCGAGTCTATTACTATAATGTGCAAACAAAGGCGACACAATGGGCAAAACCATTTGAGCTTATGACTCCTTCGGAGGTACGTCCCACGTTAGAGAAATTCCATTTTCGTTTCGGATCTTGCTAAGAGACGGTTCCAGCGCGCTTTGGCAAATCAGCCGTGGAAAGAGTACACTGCTGAAGGCGGACGAAAGTATTGGTATAATACTGAGACCAAAAAAAGCTCTTGGGAGATGCCCGATATATACAAGACTGCGCTTGCGCAAGCACAGGATTCGTCGCCAAGGCAGCCACTCGGGTAGGTACATTGCCTTGAAATCAATTTTGGATCCTTCTAATGGTTTAAGGCCTTCTGGTTTTGTCGCTGGCGGAATAATTAACGTGCCTACATATCTGTCGCAACGTGAGCGTGTCGATCATGAACGGAACCATGGCGATCGCCGAGCTATGTACGGTGCATCTGATGCGAATGGGGCTGTCGTCGGAGCCCAGCCAGCGGAACCAGATTACCCTGCGTTTGAGGATGCTGAGGCCGCTTTCATGAAGCTTCTCAAGCGGCACGGTGTACAAGCGGATTGGTCCTGGGAGCAAGCAATACGCGCAGTGATTAAAGATCCTCAATACCGTGCTCTAAAGGACCCACGTGATAGGAAGGCCGCATATGAGAAGTATGTAGCGGAGGTTCTGGCACAAGAAAAGGACCGTGCAAAAGAGAGATTGACCAAATTGAGAATGGATTTTGGTACTATGTTGCGGAGACATCCGGAAATCACTCATTTCAGCCGATGGAAGACCATACGCCCAATCATTCAAAGTGAAACTATATTCAGATCGACGAGCGATGAGATTGAGCGGCGACAGTTCTACGAAGAGTATATTCTTGAGCTTAAAAGAGATCATTCCGAGATGGAGGCCAAGATGCGGAAGACTGCAAAAGAAGATCTTGCCGAGATTCTCCGTGTCTTGGATTTAGAACCATACACACGTTGGTCCGAGGCCCAGGAGCTTATCCGGTCAAACGAAAGAATCCAAAGTGAAACGCAATTCCGAACTTTGACGCAATCGGATATTCTTACGGCGTTTGAAAATCATATTAAATCACTGGAAAGGACATTCAATGACGCCAAACAACAGCTCAAAGCCAACAGAAGTAGGAGGGAGCGGCAAAATAGGGATAAGTTCGTGGGCCTGTTACAAGATCTCAGACATCAAGGGAAAATCAAGGCTGGAAGCAAGTGGATGGATATCTTCCCTTTTATACAAGAGGATGTACGATACACGTCTATGCTTGGCCAGCCCGGCTCTACTCCGTTGGATTTGTTTTGGGACATAGTAGAAGAGGAGGAAAGGTCCTTAAGAGGTCCACGAAACGATATCCTTGATGTCTTGGATGTGAGTAACCCCTTTGTTCTTTTTGGATGGCCTTTTGACGATTAATATAGGATAAACGCTACGAACTGACTCTCAAAACAACCTTTGAAGAGTTTGCTTCCATAATGTTGACCGACCGTCGAACAGACAGGATTGATCATGAAACCCTTAACCTTATATTTCATCGTCTTCGCGACAAGGTACTTCGCAGAACGGAAGATGAAAAGCATGCTGCAAATCGCCACCAGCGTCGTGCCGTTGATGCATTGCGATCAAGGATCAGGCGTCTGGACCCTCCCGTTCATGCATCTGATACTTGGGAGCAAGTGAAGCAAAGAATAGACAAGACAGAGGAGTATCGTGCCGTTGAATCCGATGAATTGCGAATCTTGGCCTTTGAAAAGGTTGTTCGCCGTCTTAAAGAAAAAGAAGAGGATGCCGAGAGAGATCGTGACCGGGTGGCGAAACGGGAGTACTATGATCGTTTCGATCGTTTAGATCGCGGGGAACGGAGCCATCGCAGTACCCAGTCTTATCGAACTGAGAAGAGGGGCACTTCAAGCCGCTTGAGCCGTACTCCGGAACCGGATGCCTATGAGGCTGACCGCCGCAAGGCACAGGCGGATCGTGAGAGATCTTATCGGAAAGCCAGCGGGCTCTCACCGTCTCCCGTGTCGCATCGTGATAGGGACAGAGATCGGGGGCGAGAGAGAGAGAGAGAGAGGGATTGGGACAGGGCAAGCAGTCGGCTCGTTAGTCATTATGATCGTGACCGCCGAGATTGGGACGAAGAACGCGAAAGACTATATCCAAGTCGGGCGGATCCAAGGAGTAGTCGCGATGAGCTTGACTACGGCGTTGGAGACATCACCCGTGGTGCATCGGGCCAAGTACTCAGCGAGCGACGGCGACGCCGTGATAGTGAAACCGAAAGCGTGGGAAGTCGCGGTGCAAAGCGGTATAGGCGAGATGTCAGGGATGCCGACCGGTTTAGGAGAGAAAAGGACCGAGAAAGACTACCCGCTAGAAGCCCACGCAAGGATGACTCTGATAAAGCATCTTCTGGACCATCAGCTCACAAGGAAACTGCGGCTGTGCATTCAGGTAGCGAAGAAGGTGAAATTGAAGAGGATTGAGTGATGAGTTAGTTAGCGGAGGGAAGGAAATTAGACTATATGCTCTCCCCCCAAAGCTTCTATTGCAACTCAACGACTAATTGTACTCTCAATACCTTTATTATGTATGTAGTGGTGTCAGCCCGAGCAGAAAATATACTGTAGTATCTCAGGATTTTATCGATTTCTATTAATTGCCACCGTGGGTTCTCAGAAAGTTTCCATAACCTTGTTGATGCCTACCTCTGATATAATTTACGTGAACACTGCTAATAAGTGATGAGCAAGAAGCAGGCAGGGAGAAGTAAGAAAAGCTGCCCTATCAACTTGATAGAATGAAATGTTTGAAGCAGAACCCAATCTTAGACATCGTAAACTGTAGTCATCTTTCTAGAAACACTTTTTTTCTAGTGGTCACAGTCATTGTTCAAGATGACCGGGAAACACAATGGCAACCGTATTTCATAGTCTGCAGGTCATATGTGTCATTGTACAACCTTGAAAACCAGATAAGGTTGTCCGGATATCTATTTTAGCACCAAGTAGCTGACAAAGTAGCAGAGTTGCTTCAATCTCAAAAAGCATATGTCAGTCAAGGATTTCTGGCACGGAACATTTGGTAATTTTCGTGTAGTTATTTGGCTCCCAGCTGTCCACTAAATTCTGCGGTGTCCCTCATGTTAACTCTCCTCTTCGAGGAAGAACTACACAAATGTTAGCGGGAAAAGCGTAGAGACAACCTGATGACTCACATAATTTCCGCTCAACTTTTGTTCCTGATCCAGCTGGCTCTTGTCTTTATTGATTCTTGGCCGATAGCTGTTAGGATCACGCCGGAAAGTCACATCCAGGTTCTTTAAGAACCTGTTGCAACCTGTTAGGAGTGATTCAGGCTTATTTGCTCTTGCATCTATTGATGGTTTCCCGTCGAAAACAATAACTCGATCAGCAAGATAAGTAGCCATAATGAAATCGTGTTCGACAATAAATGCGGTCTTCTTGGTATGCATAATGAAGCGCTTGATGACGCGAGCTGCAACAATACGTTGCTCCGAGTCGAGATACGCACTTGGCTCGTCAATCAGATAGATATCCGCGGGTATTCCCAAGGCCAAAACGATAGCAACTCGCTGAAGTTCTCCGCCAGAGAGATTTTGGACCTCTTGATCGATAAAATCATCGATTTTGAGAGGCTTATAAACGTCTGTCTGGAACTGGGGAGAGAGGAACGCCGCCTTGATGCGTTTAAAAAACAATTGGCGAACGGTTCCTTGAAACTTGGGCGTGATTTTCTGAGGCTTCATACTAATATTCATTGCGGGAACAGCCTTGCCACCGTCGGGTTTCTCCACTCCAGCTAACATTTTGCAAAATGTGGTTTTACCTGTTCCATTTTCTCCCATCATGACGACAATTTCAGAATTCGTAAATCTGCCAGCTTCGATGCTGAGATGAAAAGAGCCGAGAGTTTTCTCCATCGCGGGATAACTAAAAGCCCTGCCTTGATCGACAATGAAATCATCACCAGCTTCCGCAATTCGAAAGGTCAAAGATTCCTCTCGAAAGCGAAGATTTTCAGTGGGGATATGCCCATCCAAGAAGATGTTTATACCCTCGCGGACCGATGCAGGCAACGTTACAACGCCATAAACGGCTGGGCGGCCGTAAAGAACGCAGATAAAATCGGACAGGTAATCAAGGACCGACAAATCGTGTTCCACGACAATGACATAGTCATCGGGTCGTAACAATTCTCGGATGGTCCGAGCTGCGCTTAGACGCTGTTTCACATCCAAGTATGAGGACGGCTCGTCGAACATGTAACTGGATTTCAAATTTAGCATGTCATCAGCGCCCACCGTCTGGACCTAAGACCTACACATCTGCTTGCTGAACACACACAAGGGCAATTGCAAAACGCTGTAGTTCTCCACCGGATAATAAACTAATATCACGGTCTTTAACCTGGTTAAGTTCTGCAGGGGTTAAAGGTTAGTAAATGGAAATGGTGGTATAATGATGGTGCATACCTAAAACTTCCATAATGTGTTCCATATTATCCATTTGAGACCGCGCCTTGATTAGAGGGGCTACAGATCTTACAGGTCCTTTAACGGCTTTAGGGATTTGGTCAACATATTGGGGCTTCACAACAGCTTTAAGATCATCTTCAAGGACCTTTGTAAAGTAATCTAGAACTCGCAGTCAGAACAAACAAAAAGACGAGCAGCAAAGTTTGTTCCTACTCTGTAGTTCTGAACCACGGAAATATTTCAAAATTTCCTCCCAATCAGGAGGATTGTCGTACCGGCCAAGGTTGGGTTTCAGCTTCCCACTAAGAATCTTCAGTGCAGTGCTTTTCCCAATACCATTTGTCCCGACTAAACCAAGGACTTGCCCGGGGCGTGGCATAGGTAACCGGTGAAGCTTAAAGCTGTTGGCTGAATAGCGGTGCGTTACCTGAGTCTCAAGGTTTGTGGGGAGATTGATAATGTGGATGGCACCGAAGGGACATTTTTTTGGACAGATACCGCATCCTATGCATAGCCTCTCCGATATGAAAGCAATTTTCGATTCTGGTGTAACTTCAATGCACAATTTCCCTGTCCTCACAACAGGGCAGGACTTTTTGCACTCCTGGCGACATTTCTAAAAAACCAGGTTTAGAAACATATCACAACGAGCGTTGGCGGTATCGATTGAAACCTCGAAATGCAACTTAGACTCACCTTTGGTTTGCACTGTTAAATATGGAGACTGGCAATCAGCAACATGAATTAGGGAATGGTAAGGGTACGAGGATATTGGATCGAAAGCTGGGATAAAGGGGGACATGGATGCGGGGTATACTTTGTCACTATTGACAATAGCAATTCTGGAATGGCGAATGGCATTAGCATAATTTCACAAAGGCAAAGCTGGAAAGCCAAGTCATACCGAGTCAACTTATCTGACATGATAAAGGAGCGTCCTTTCGGCTTGGATTGTTCTGGCTCTGGGGTTCGAGTGTGCTTTGTTGAAGATATTCCCCGCAGGAGGATCGGTTTGTGATAGAGACTGATTTCCGTTCAATGGAGGTTTGAAAGCTTCTTATCTCTTGATACTATCGATCGCATGTATTGGTTTTGTACTTAATCGGCATCTATCATGCTCTTGGAAGGAAAGGCGGCGGATGAGATCGAAATCAAACAAAACAGGCAAATTTCAAAGAGGGCGCCGAACGGAAATTTTGTGGGATGAAGTGGCGGAAGAGCCATGCTTATGTCACAAGGCTGACCCCTCCGTTTAAGATATCCCAGGACATAATATTCCGTACACTGTACACGGTATTCTTTTACAGTAGTAATACGTCTGTTTGTCTGGGCAGCAAATTCGAGAGTGAAATACCAACACCCCATACGGAGGAGTCGATTACGGAGTAACTACGGAGACAACAAGTTAGAGGTAGGGAGAGGACATATATTACTCCATAATAAATGATGCTTATCTTCGATAGCACGCCTCAGAGATATGATTTCCTGAAATGATGCAGAATTTGCTTCTTGCTGAGTAAAGATCTTCGCTCTCGGGAGTATGGAGTTACTCATGTTACGGAGTACTCTGTACATGGGTTGCTGCGCTATACACATCCAGTACGGAGTATAACCGCATTCATATGAGTAGCACGGACAATTCCGTACAAGACGCCAGCAACATAGGCCTCTTCGACACCAACCCATTATAGGATTAGCGGATTCCTCCTTCACCAGCCTAAGCCATTTTCGGTTTCTCTCTTCTCACCACTGGCGAGACTCTCTCTCCAACCATCCACTCTATTCTCTCTCTCCCTCAAACTCTCAGTCCATCCCTCCAAAGCTTCCTTGTCTACCAATACATTTTCAAACACAACGCGTCGCCATAGTTGGTAATACTGGAAGCACATATTTCTCCACTTGGGCGGGTCCAAGCCATGGATCGTAAGTTGATTATTCTCTTTTCCGCTTTGTTTTTATCTTTACAGCTTTCCATGCTCTCCACAAACCCGCATTCCTTCGCTACCTTCCACGAGATATTCTACCATTCCGAAGTTGCTTAAACGCATATCGCGATATCCCTGGCGCTAAGATGGGAATTGCCCCCTGTTCTTATACATTTGCCTACTAGTTATGGCCCTTTTTCCTGTCAAGTGATCCTCTCGCCGTGTTCTCGACTTGAATCCATTTCATCAAAACCTTGAAGCACAGCATCAGATTTCGTTGAGCTTTGCTGCACCCTGCCCTCTTAGCTTGTGTATTCTCCAACACTTTAGAGTCAGAGTCGCGAGCCCTCTTACTATCAATATCCGCCCTTTGCAATGCCTCTATATCGGCGTTGCTGCTACAATGCTAATCTTACTGTCCTAGCCACCGCCATGGTGATCCCGAGCACTGCAACTTCCTCTCCCGCACCAATTGAAGCAAGTATAGCCAATCAAAGCACATTGGGTAGTCTGGAAAAGGCGACTATACCGGCGAACCAGGGCAACGGTGTCGAATCCGTCCCTAATACTGCGACCAACTTAAAGCGGGACGCGGATTCTGAGCACCCTCAAGCAACAACACCAACGGATACTACTGATGGGGTGCATATCGGAATGAGCTCCACCTCCTCTGAATATGAGGCCACTAAGTCTCCCAGGGGAATCGCCACACCCATGGAGGCGGATGGTGACTCCCACATGGAAGATTCTTCAGAGGCAGTAGATGCGGTATCCAGTTCCTCGGGCATGTCGGGCCACGAATCGAAGCGAGGTGTTAAGCGCAAGTCGCCCATCGATGAGAGTGACTTTATTCGAAACAACCCAAGCTTATATGGATTGCGCCGAAGCAATCGCACCCGTTCTATCCGCCAGACGATCCAGAGCACTACAGACTCCGAGTCTGAGGTTTCCAGACCCATTAAGAGGAGACGTCCTCAGCCAAACCGAAAACGATCGTCCTCACAGTCTCAAGATTCCGACGCAGATTCATCAAGCGACGTTTATAGCAACACCCAGAGAAGGCAAAAAGTTAAACGCCGCCGTCTAGTGCAACCGCAGGTTGACTTAGCACCAGCACATGGGGAAGTTCGGTTTTCCACGCGTCGTTCTAATAAAGTTTTAAACTACAATGAAGATGACGATGATGATCTGTTCGGAGACGAATCGGATAACATGACCCCACTCGATTGGGCGACCGTCCTCGACGATAATCGCCCCGCCATTGATGTTGTCCTTAACCATCGTTTAAAGGATGACGTGGATCCCACGCGACTTGACCTCGGACGCTCGGACTTCGAATTTTATATTAAATGGCAGGGAAAGTCGCACTACCATGCAACGTGGGAGACAGACGAGTCCCTTGTCAATTGCCGCAGTAACCGTCGTCTAGATAATTATGTCCGAAAGCTGCTAATTCAAGAGCTCTCGTTCATGAAAGATCCGGATATGATACCTGAAGAAAAGGAAAAGTGGAACCTTGACCGCGAGCGCGATATTGAAGCGATTGAGGACTTCAAACTCGTCGAGCGTGTCATTGGTTCTCGCAAGGTTGCGGGGGTAACCGAGTATTACGTTAAATGGAAACGCCTGTTTTACGAGAGTTGTACTTGGGAAGGCGCAGAGCTTGTTAGCAGTATCGCCCAACAGGAAATCGACCGTTACCTTGACCGGTGTTCCCGGCCTCCTGTTTCAAGCAGACTGGAATCGAACCAGTCAACTCGTTCTGCATTCGAACCTATTCATGGAACTCCTGACTTCGTCTGCAATGGTCAACTGAAGGACTTCCAGGTGAAAGGTGTTAATTTCATGGCATACAACTGGGTTCGCGGCCGAAATGTAGTTCTTGCTGATGAGATGGGGTTGGGAAAAACAGTCCAGACTGTAACTTTTATCAATTGGCTGCGACATGTGAGGAATCAACAGGGCCCGTTTATCGTGGTTGTCCCTCTTTCCACAATGCCATCGTGGGCTGAAACATTCGACTATTGGACACCCGATTTAAACTACGTTGTTTACAGTGGGAACGAAGCGTCACGGAATATTATCAAGGAGTATGAACTTCTTGTCGATGGAAACATTAAACGCCCAAAATTCCATGTCCTCTTGACCACGTATGAGTATGTGTTGGTCGACGCGTCCTTTCTTAGCCAAATCAAGTGGCAATTTCTCGCAGTTGATGAGGCCCATCGTCTAAAAAATAGAGACTCTCAGTTGTACGCAAAGCTAGTTGAATTCAAGTCTCCGAGCCGGTTACTGATTACTGGAACCCCCGTTCAAAATAATCTTGGAGAACTATCTGCGCTGATGGACTTTCTAAATCCGGGGCTAATTGAAATTGATGAAAATATGGATTTAAGCTCGGAAGCTGCAAGCGTCAAGCTAGCTGAATTGACCAAAGCGATACAACCGTTTATGCTTCGCCGTACCAAGTCTAAGGTTGAAAGTGACTTGCCGCCAAAGTCAGAAAAGATTATTCGGGTTGAGCTTTCAGACGTGCAGTTGGAGTATTATAAAAACATTCTTACCAAGAACTATGCTGCCCTTAATCAAGGCGCGAAGGGTCAAAAACAATCATTACTCAATATTATGATGGAGTTGAAAAAGGCAAGCAATCATCCGTTCATGTTCGCCAACGCAGAAGATCGAATTCTGCAAGGCAGCACGCGCCGAGAAGATGCACTAAGGGCACTGATCACCAGCAGTGGCAAGATGATGCTGCTGGACCAGCTGCTGGCGAAGTTGAAAAATGATGGCCATCGCGTTCTTATTTTCAGCCAAATGGTTCGCATGCTTGATATTCTTGCTGATTACATGGATGCGCGGGGTTTTGCCTATCAGAGGCTGGATGGCACCATTGCAGCTGGACCTCGTCGTTTATCTATTGAACACTTTAATGCTCCAGATAGCACTGACTTCGCTTTCTTGCTCTCGACGCGTGCGGGTGGGCTTGGCATTAATCTCATGACAGCAGATACAGTCATTCTATTCGATTCAGACTGGAATCCCCAAGCTGATTTACAGGCCATGGCGCGAGCTCATCGCATTGGGCAAACAAAGCCGGTTAGCGTCTATCGGCTTGTATCAAAAGACACTGTCGAAGAAGAAGTCATAGAGAGGGCTAGGAATAAGTTACTTCTTGAATTCATTACCATCCAAAGAGGTGTGACCGATAAGGAGGCCACAGAATTAAAAGATAAGATGGTTCGCGCTGGCCATCATATCAACGAGCCGACTTCTTCTGAGGATATATCCCGGATATTGAAGCGTCGTGGGCAACGGATGTTTGAGCAGTCTGGAAATCAAAAGAAACTAGAAGAAATTGACATCGATGCTGTCCTTGCAAATGCGGAGGAGCACAAAACGGAGCAAGCCGAAGGCATGGAAGCTGATGGAGGTGAAGAATTCCTTAAAGCATTCGAATTTGTAGACGTCAAGGTAGATGACCTTACCTGGGATGAAATTATTCCAAAGGAGGAGTTGGAAAGAATTAAAAGCGAGGAACGGAAAGAAATGGAAGCTAAGTACCTCGCAGAAGAAATCGAACGCAGCCAGCCGAGGAAAAGAAAAGAAATGGCGGACGAAAGAGAAGAAAGGCAGGCAAAGCGAAAGGCTCGGCAGCAAGTGAATATGGATGTCGATGATGACTCCGATGCGCCCCCAGCGCCAGACCCCAAACGTCCCCTAACTGAGAAGGAAATTCGTCACCTTACTCGTGCATACTTGAGATATGGCGACTTCAATGATCGCGAGAGAGATATTCTCAGGGAAGCAAAGCTTCTAGACAGAGATCCATCAGTCGTGAACGGAGTTCTTAAGGAAATAGTTCAGTCTGCGAATCAGCACCTTCAAGAAGCAAATGATGAGATCCGTGCGCTAGAGCGCGAGGGTAAAACTTTTACCAAAAAAGAGAGGAAGGCTGTGCTTTTCAACTATGGAGGTGTGAAGCGTTTAAATGCAGAAACAATTGTGGAACGCCCCAATGAGATGCGGATTTTGAGACAAATCACATCACGTTTGTCTGACCCGAAAAGCTTTCGCGTCCCTGAGGCCACGAAAGCTGCGGATTACTCCTGCACCTGGGGGGCACGGGAGGATGGCATGCTCTGCATTGGAATCGCGCGGCATGGGTATGGAGCATGGGCACAGATCCGCGACGATCCCGACCTAGGCCTTACCGACAAATTCTTTCTGGAGGAACACCGAGCGGATCGCAAAAACGAATTAACCCGAAATGGTGAGGGGATGAAGTCTCCTGGTGCCGTTCATTTAGTGCGTCGTGCCGACTACCTATTGTCTGTTCTTAAAGATAAGATGAGCAACGGTGCCAGCCCTACAGCGAAGAAGGCGGTGGAGAATCACCATCGTAACAACAGAAAGCCCGGCTATTCTCGCCAGCAAAATAGTGGCAGCGTTTCTGCCTCCCCTGCTCCACCATCGATCCGTAAACGTCGAGAATCGGATGCGCTCAGGCATCGTGTTCATACTCGCGGGGCCCGCGGTAGTGATCGGCCAAACACGCCAACAAGCGATACGCGAAAAGGCATATCCGAGGTCGACAAAATCCGTAGTCGGCACAATGCCAATTTTTATTCGGGTCGCCGAAACGATTATAGTGGCATCGTATCCAATAACGAAAACATGCTGAAGATGGTTTTTAAGCCAATCAGGGATCACCTAAGGCAGATCTCACAGTGCACCAAAGAAGGAATCCCGGACAAGAATCGACGGGCCAAAGAGCTTCGACGCTTGCTTCATTCGGTTGGCGGATTTATTCACAAAACTTTGGATTCTGAGGAAACGCGGGAATCCTTGGAAGCGCGCCTTTGGTAAGTTTGTCCATTCCAACTTCTAATGCAGAAGGTTTATGCTCATCATTGTAAAGGGACTACGTGGCTCGTTATTGGCCAAACCAGGCAACTCCTGGAAGTGCTCTTCTTGACATTTACAAACGCATGGTTGCTGCGGAAAATGCCCCACAACCTAAATCTACTACATAAGTATCCATGTGTCCTTACGGGACTAATCTCATACCGATTATCCTCTTTTACATTGGTGCGTGTTCGGCTTAGTGCATAGTCTGGTGTAGATGGGCGTTCGAACAGGACATTGCATTTTCAGGCCGCGAGGCTACATTATGACGACTACGACTATGATTATTTGGTGAAGGGGTTTCACTTTTCTGGGATTTGCAGAATCGTGTGTTTTAATTGGAATGTTTTTTGAAGCCACACCTCTTCTCTCTTTTGTGCGAGTTGGCGAGTTGATCCCGCTCACTGAGCCTGGTGACCATCCCCTCGCAAAAAGTCACTTCTTTCCTGTTAGCGATCCCACTCCTCGGAGTTAGGTGATCCAGTTTTTGTTTTACTTGGCATTGACCCTGGCATTGATCCCGCTCTCCTGGGTATGGTGATCATTTGTCTCTTTTTATTTTTCCATTTTGGCTTCGACCTCGCCCATTTGGGTTGAGATTCTGGCATGTATTGTTTGTTTGTTCCCTCTCAAATCTTTCTTTGTGCAACAAATACCATCAGATACCGGAGTTTCTGCTTGTGATGAGTTTACCTTCGATCCTACAACAATTCATTATCTGGCCTTGATATTTGCTGCCATGCTGTACTCTAGATCAGTTAATACACTTTGCTTCACATGGCACAGCCACGACATATTGTCGCGTTGGTTGTGAGTTTGGAAGGGCCGAATTGCATTGGTTGAATGCGGCGGCACTGTTAGATGGCCCAATTAAAGTTCTCATTAAACTAATAAGGATTTTAGTACATAAGAGTATTTCTGAACTCCTAATGTGATTTCCCGCCCTTGTCAAGGTACAACTTCTGCGACGCTATCATTTCTATAAACATTGTCTCCGTTGACAACCTCTGATGATTAGCTGTAAGGGGCATACAAACCTCGGAGTGATCACTGCGGAATGCGTATGTCGGACTTCACGGTAGAGGAAGGGTTTGTACCGTATAGAGCCAACAATATCAACAAGTTAAGCTATAGTAATGTCTGTTCAGCAACCTTGACCAAATAGTCTCACAAATCCTCTACTGTTTCAACTGTTTCAATAACTTGGGCACTGTTATGGTGCTGCCGGCGGGAAATCACTGACACCTCGTGCGAGGGCTAAGTCCTCGGCAGTCAAGGCCGACTTAAAAAGCTTCACTTCAGCATGAATGACATCCTCCAAGATGGTCTCCTTTTCTCTCCAGGTTTCTTTCCTCTGAATTTTGATCCTTTGCCACTCCAGTTGTAGACGTTTGGATTCCTGTTCAGCCCAGAAAATCTGCCGACGGAGTACTCGGTACAATTGGCTTAAAGGCAAAGAAAGCTCGTGCGCATCGAAGCCGAGCCCAGAGTCCAAAAGTGCAGAAGGGACTGGTTCTTTCTGGTAAACGTCTTCTCCGCCGTTCTTGTCCGTTTCATAACAGCCGTCTCTGGATGATTGCGATAATTTTAGCTTGATTCGAGGTAGCTTTATCAAAGTGGGTCCCGCTGGTCCAACTTGGGTGTGTTTTGCGAGTGTGTCAGACAACTTCAATGCTTCGGTCTCATGAACGGTTCTCATATGCTTCGAAAGAGCATCTGATCGTGTGAAGCTTCGATCACATTCTAGAATTCGTCAGAAAATACATTCCCCGGGCTAGGTTGTAAGGAAAGGGCACATACCCGGCAAGGTGCAGTAGAATGGTTTCTCCTTGGTGTGGCTTCTCATGTGGGCTCTCAATGCATACCCGCTAGCATGTGTTTGGCCCTTCCGTGGACAATCTTTCCATTCGCAAAAGTACTTTTTCTGTCTAGAAATGATATGATTCTTGTGTATGTGCTCTACCAAGGCGTCCATGTGACCCAAGTCATTCGCATCACAGCCATCCCACTGACAAACCGTAACTTGGTCTCGGCATACACCGCTATAATCTTCATCCATACCGCCACCGATCAGTGATAATATTTCAGGGGACTGAGGCAGTTCAGCCGAACTGTCGGATGATATCGACGCAGGAGACGTAGGAGGAATTTCGTCATGGGCAGAGGATATGGGGGTGTGATGGTCCCAAGTAGCAAGGCCAATCTTGCGTCGTTTTGAAGGTGGTACTTGGGCAGATGAAGGAGATTGGGCTCGATCTTCGAATTGAAGGTCTTCGGCAAACTCTTCTGACGCAAGCGAAGAAAGAGGTGAGCCTGGTGAATCAGCCATCACGGACGGGATTTCGGGCTCTTTGATAACAGATAAAGATCTGCGGGGGAAATCCGCATGTGGTCCTCCGAAGCGAGTTATCTGTATCTGCTGACCAACCTATTTTGCTAACTGGTATTAATATGTGGGTTCGCTCAGACAGTTGATTAACTCGGGCTCCAGCGCAAGCTTTGTTGCCGATCAGCCTTAAGAGGTTTGGCTAGGGGGACACTGCATTTTATCTACACAACGTAGTACGGAGTACGGAGTACAGATACTTAGAAACCCATTACTTACCATAGCAAAAAGGTAAAAAAAAAAAAAAAAAAAAAAAAAAAAAAAACCAGAGGAGTACTGAGTACACTCTATAGAGGCGAAATTAGGATCCAATATGGAGTACTTCGTACCCGGTTCAGGAATCAGGCAACGCAGTCTATGGTACTTCCGACGCGCCGGAACAACTTGCACGTGACCTAGCCAAGTTCGACCAGACAAACGTTTCGAATCCAGGTTGGTCTTTTGAAGGCATGAATTTGTTTGGCTACGTAAATTCTCGCGTCAGCTTCAGCTTCTTCCAAACGCAATGTAAGTTCTTTGGGGCTCTATTCCGTACTTCAGTCTACCTTCAATGATGAACAAAAGAATTCTGCAATACTGACAATTTCCTGCTCTGGCGTGTGAAATTGCAGGTTGACAAATTTTCCTACACTTGATCTGATTCCATGATCCATTTCAATACCTTGAATTTCAATGTATATCTTCTTTTCAAAACACCCGCTAACTGTTATCTCCAGTGTCTAGGTCAAGGGAGAAGATATGGTTCCATTATCGCTGTAGACTTGTGTGCCCGAGGGTAGTGGTCCGGGTAGTAAGAAGAAGGGATTGCATCCCGGCAATAGATGTTGGTTCTGTGGATGTGTCGCCTATTCTGCCTCTCTGCTAGTGATACCTCCTCGCTGACATACAGCTCTGCTCTTATACCTCACAAGGTATCCAATTACTTTTTGAATGGAAGTCTTGAATAGCCAAAGGGAAGTGGACTGGATGGAATCTTGAAACGTATGAAAATGCTTCACTCGGAGATCTCACATTCGGCCAAAAACACCGCATAGCCACTATTCTCGGAGAGAATTGAAGTCAAATCGGACTCTTAGATCACAATACACTTCAGAACTACAGATCCAGCTACAAGTAGTGGACGAGATGTTCCTGCAGTGTATCGCATCCTTGAGGGTTGAGCCTTGGGAGAACCTAACTACACTCGCTGTATCTTACTCGCGTCAGGGTACTTGGTTTAAGAAGAGCTGCTTGGCTGTTCAATCCTGGCAATGTTTGTTCTCCAGACATAAAACAGGGATTATGAGATGTGTACGGAGTGACGACACCTGAATGCTTTGGCTCACAATATATTTATGAATTATCAGTGGATAATGACCCATCTGAGAAATGTGGCTTTTATCAATAATGAAACAGGTTTTCAACAAAGCCCAAGATTCAATATACCCCGACCAGAACTTGAACCCCGACCCCCCAATGATCTTCGTAACATCCCATGATTTTGCCGTTGAAGGACAATCCGCTTTTTGTGACAGTTCAAATCTATGACCAACAGAAGAGCCATCCTTCTGGTTCATAACATCGTAGCCTCATGTTGAAAATTCTCGCGTGGTGCGAAATAGTTGAGCCGATATCGGGTTAAGCCAATGCGATCAATATCGGTAGCTGTGGGACCTCAATGAGCACCAAACGCCTTTACTCGCAAGGGTCGAGGCTAGTAGGAAAGTAGGAAAACTTACATTTCGCTCTTGAACGGACCCTCCATATCTAATCCCAGGTATTCTGCCTGTTTTGGAGTAAGTTTTGACAACTTGGCGTTGACATGTTCAAGGTGGAGCAACGCGACTTGCTCATCGAGAATTTTTGGAAGCACGTAAACGCCGACTTCACGCTTACCAGTCACGCCGAACTCGACGTGCTTCTTGCCAAACTCGGCATCTTCAGACTTGTAAAGCATGATTTGGGCCAGAACCTGATTAGAAAAGGAGCAAGACATCACGAAAGAAGAATGTCCAGTGGCACAGCCGAGATTAACCAGTCTGCCCTCTGCAAGGAGGATGATGTGTCGACCAGAAGGCATGAGGAAGCGGTCAACCTGGGGTTTGATGTTTTGAACGGATTTGGCATTGGCCTTAAGCCAAGCAACGTCAATTTCAATATCGAAATGTCCAATATCTAAAGGGATTAGAATGTAATCTATAGGGCTAGTTTGATCTACTTACTGCAGACAATTGCATCGTTCTTCATCACTTCAAAGTGAGATCCGGTCAAAATATCGCGACAGCCGGTGGTCGTGACAAAGATTTGGCCCAGTGGGGCGGCCTCTTCCATTGTTGTGACTTCATAGCCAGCGACTGCAGCCTGCAACGCGTTGATGGGGTCAATTTCGGTGACAATGACCCGGGCACCCATGCTGTGGAGTGCCTGAGCACATCCCTTGCCCACATCACCAAATCCAGCGACGACGGCGATCTTACCCGCAATCATGACGTCGGTCGCGCGCTTGATGCCATCGATAAGTGATTCTCTGCAACCGTAAAGGTTATCGAACTTTGACTTTGTCACGGAGTCATTCACATTGATTGCTGGAACCAGGAGTTCTTTGTTTTTTAACATCCGATAGAGGTGGTGGACACCAGTTGTGGTCTCTTCTGACAAGCCGTAGCAGTCGTTAAGCATCTCAGGGTATTTCTTGTGCACTAGCGATGTCAAATCACCACCATCATCAAGAATCAAGTTGAGTTTCTTCCCATCCTTAAATGCAAAGAGTTGTTGTTCAATACACCAATCGTATTCTTCCTCGGTCTCTCCCTTCCAGGCGAATCTGCAGCCGGTTAGGTAAGATTCGCTCCGACAGCCACAGTAAACTCGGGAATATAACGCACACTGGGGTTCCTGAAGCAGCAATTGCGGCAGCTGCATGATCTTGAGTGGAGAAAATGTTACAACTTGACCAAGTGACCTCAGCACCAAGGGCTTTGAGGGTTTCAATTAGAACGGCAGTTTGGATAGCTTGGGACACGAGTCAGCGCGGAGAAAATTGTGGCTTCACTCTCTGCATATAGACCCACTCATATGAAGACAGCCAGCGATACGAGCCCCTTTCAATGGCTGATCCTCAGCATACTTTCGGCGGATAGCCATAAGACCAGGCATTTCAATTTCCGCGAGCTCAATTTCGCGGCGCCCAAAGGCAGCCAACGACTAGAAAACATTCAGCTTACTGAACTTGAGGAAACCAAAATCAAGGATTGTATGAACATACGATGTCGGCGACCTTGAACTTGTGGGCAGGAGCAGCCATATTGATGAAATGTCTTTGGCGGGGTTAAGGCTAGCAAGCTCTGTTAAGAGGAAAATGAGCGTGATGATTTGATATAGTCAAAGCAGAATAATTAGCAAACTTACTTGGGGAGGCAAGCAAATAGATGATAGTTGCGAATATGTCAAAAGGTGAGGATGTTTGCAGAGGGGGTGTGTGGATAGATTTGAAAGTTGTGGGATTCGGAGAATTCTTCAGTTTGGAGGGGCACGGAGAGTAGTTAGTTAACTAACTAGTTAACTATGTACGGGGTGGTTACGGAGTACTCTGTCCATACAGCGTTCATACAAATCACTACCTTGCTAACAAGGTGAGTTACGGAATACTCTGTACTCCGCACAGGCTTGGCTCCTGAATCGACCAGACTCCGTGCTCCAGCGCAACATAACTACAGCTTTCCACTCTCTCAACATGGATTTTCCTGTTTACAGAGAACAGTTTGATTCTCTCAATTCATAACATCAAAGTTGCTTCTTGTCACAATTCCTTTACCTAAGTTCTTCCATGGAGAGTTTGGATCAGAAACCACGGAGTACCCAGCCTGAATTATCATACCTGGGTAAAGGATACATCAGGTTCTACCGAGTACGGAGTACTCTGTTTAGTAATCTAAATGATCTAACGTAATCCACATACGACCCGGCCACCCAAACGAGTCGGCCACCAAATTCAAATATCTCTAATACAATAGCATACAAGAATAAGATGTCCTAATCCTAGTTTAATTTAATTTGATTCAATTAGGGGTTGTTTAGTGTAGATAATTTGAAATAAAATCTAATTAACTAGTTGGAATACGGTGATTTTGCTGCTCGCCCGGTAGGGATGCTCGTTGGCTTGTCGATTAGTTACTCTAAAAGATGTAACTCATTAGTAATTTTAATTAGGACATTACTAATCAGGACACTGTGGCGGAGTGGTTAACGCGATGCCCTGCTACCCCTTTGACTCAGCAACTAGGCATTGCCTTCGGGCGCGCAGGTTCGAATCCTGCCGGTGTCGCATTGGATTCAACGTTATTTTATTTTTTCGTTTTTCCATTTCCTTGCTTTCCCATGGGGAGAATGGAGCATGGCGGATGTTGTAAGCTTTTTATTTTGCTGCACATCGAATTGCCCGGCTGCCACAAAGCTTAGTTAATTTAGCGGCAGCTGAATAATACACTTTGCTTTGTATGGTAGAAGCTATGGTTTGTGGCATAGCAGCAGTTTCTACTTGATCAGGGGCAGCTGGGCAATTGCTATTGTGTGGGAAGTGAATTTCTTGCTCACCAGAGCCCCAGTTGTGTAGGGTTATTATAACCTGAGTTTGAGTTTTCCCTAGCATTCCCCGCTGCTAGCTTCAGCTGCCAGATTATGTGCTGTTGAGTCTTGTTAATACCAATCCTACTGTAAAATGTAAATGCAGAGCAAGAATTACCTACACACGGTCACATATATTTTGACTATGGCTAAGGAAAACTTCAGGTCGTAGTAAACAGAAAGTGAGGCATATCTAAGGGAGTATACTTCACAGTCAGGGAGCAGATACCGATGTAAACCCCATGGACCATTTTGATGGTTTGAACAGAATGAAGTTATACGAAAGTTTTAATTTTACCTGCACAGATTTCACTGCGCTGACTTACAATGCCAAAAACTTCAACAATAGAAAAGATATTCAAACTGTTCTCATCTTTTAAGTGGTGGTGGTGGTGCCATTTTACTGTTGACAGTGTTTGTTTTTTTAAGTGGTGGTAATTGCGGGACTTTAAAGCCTCCGTTTTCAGAACTTTGGCTACCAACTTGAGTGAATGTCCCACTTTTAAACCACCTGTCTTCTTCAGCCTTGCGCTTTCTGTTAAGTTCGGCTTGTGCCTTCGGGTCCACCAGTTCCAAACCTTGGACTGGGGTGAAAGCAATTGTGCTCGCTATTCCTGACCCCACAGACGGTCCTACTCCTGCAGTGCGTAGTCCCTGGCTACGCAATACAGATGCATTGCCAGCCCCCTGCCCGAAGCCGCGCAGCGACGATACAGTTCCGCCCACCGCTGATGTAGCACCCCATCCTTTATTTGATTTGCTGAGTTTGGCTTTTGTTCTTTGATCAATTTGGGCGGCGCGAATTCGTCCCAAATTCTCCTGACCAAGCATACCCAGACCCTTGGTACCTTCTCCAGTACCGTAGCCGACTTCCTTTTCTTCTTTGCCAAATGCTAAGCGATTCTGAGCTTTCCGCAACTCCGTCATGGCCGTGGCTTCTTTTGCTTTCCGCGCTCTGCGTCCACCACGCTTCCTAGAAGGTTTATCGTCAGGTGCGGGTAGTGCCCGAGTTCCCTTATTCGGAGGCGGTTCTGCCAGTTTCTCGAGGCGTTCAAGACAAGCCTGCTTTAATTCTTCCCCTGTTGAGCCATCTCGACTGCTATGCACTCTATCAACACGGGCCGCGAGGACCACTTTTGCTGACACTATCCGCATTGCCTGCCGTTTCAAATCATTTGGAATACCTTGGATAATAGGTGAATGGAATAAAAAGCCTTGGTGTCTAACTCCAACGTTAGTAGCAAACCCAGCCTGAGTCTGCTTCTTCGAACCTAATGGTGGGATATTGCATGATGGCATCTTGGCTAAGCCAGTGAGACCTCCAGCATAGTTGAGGAGTTGTGCAGCAGTAAGAGAGCCAATAAGAGCGGTTAGATTCGGCGCAAAAATATTCATCCGTGATTGGACATAGTCGGTAAGAACTGATTTGGCTTTGTCAAGCGACAGCATCATCTCACATGCGTCCAGGACAATTTGAAGCTCTGAGCTAGACAACTCCCTTCCCCGCGTGGTTGTTCCTTCCACCGCTACTACCATCAGCAGAGGACCATCCAGGACAGATCTCAAAGTCGCTCCAACCAAGTTATCTGTCGAAGAAGCCAGTGACTTTATATCATTTAGCGGACCATTCCTCAATATGGCAACTGTCTTTGCGTAGTCTAAAGGGTTGGTGATTAGGGTTTCAAGCTCTGGAAACCTGGTAGAGTAATGATCCCTAATGAACTTATGGACTAATATAATCTCATTGTCGATGGATGTGGAGAGGGAATTCGATTCTGTAAGAAGATAATACTCTGGATTATCTTCGATGGAGCCGGTAGACATCGGTTGCGGCTCCGACGGTAAGGACCGGTAATAGGAGATTTTCTGGGAGTCCAATGGACATCGTTAGCATGTCTTCTCGCTGCCATATGTGAGCTAGTAAGTTTTTAAGAAGACTAACAGGGTGGACAACTCAATACTTACCTCTAAAATAGGTTGCAATGTTTTCATCAATCGTGCAATACTCCGTACGTCACTAATTCCAGTGAATTGCATTTTTTCAACAGAGGCTTTTGCGTCTTCATGCTCTTCTCCTTCTTCAGCCAAGGCATTATTCACAATTGATGTGTTTGTCATGATAGTATTATCATGCAGCTCCTTGTCCCCATCGTCCCCTATGCCCATCGTCGACCCTTTGAAGGGCGGCTCGCCCGCCGCTTCTGAGGAGTTGGCATGTAACCATTCTTCTTTCGCCTCGATTTCCGAGTCGGACTCCTCGAAATCGTTTAGTAGCTCATCTGCCAAAGTTGCCATAGTGTCAAGATGGTATCATTCGACAAAGTGATAGGCCTTGCAATGAGTTCTTCGACTAGTATTTCCAAAAGCAGGTTCAATTTTTGGAGCTTCCGCCTCATCCAACGGAGATCATGTGACTACACTCTCTTTCGCAACAACCTACTCCGCATCGGGTTAGGTTGCTAGTGAACTTTCTACGTACTTGGCAGTTAACTCGTTCGTGCCTAGGTATTCAGTTACATAAGCTAGTTAGTGACCAGCCAAACTCTCACGACTTGTGAATGTCAAGCTGTCCAGGCACTTCGGGAATCTCGATTAATAGGTACCAGCGAATTTCAACGTATTTGAGGGCGAACTTTTGAAATTATCTGGTCAATATGGACTCGTCGCGGGGCCCACCGCGGGTCAAAAATAAGGCCCCAGCGCCGCAGCAGATTTCAGCGGAGCAGCTCCTTCGTGAAGCTGTTGACCGCCAGGAACCAGGTCTTCAAGCACCCACGCAGCGGTTTGCCGACCTTGAAGAACTCCATGAATATCAACACAGGAAAAGGAGGGAATTTGAAGATTATGTGAGAAGAAACAGGATTAACATGAACAACTGGATGCGCTATGCTCAATGGGAACTGGAACAAAAGGAGTTTTTCAGGGCCCGGTCGATATTTGAGAGAGCATTGGACGTTGATTCCACGTCCGTTGTTTTATGGATTCGATATATTGAAGCGGAAATGAAGTCGCGAAACATTAACCATGCAAGAAACCTTCTCGACCGCGCGGTGACTATTCTACCTCGAGTGGATAAACTATGGTACAAATACGTGTATATGGAAGAAATGTTGGGTAACATTGCGGGTGCTCGGCAAGTTTTTGAACGATGGATGTCGTGGGAGCCTGATGAAGGCGCATGGAGTGCATACATCAAACTCGAAAAGCGGTACAATGAATTTGACCGAGCTCGAGCCATCTTTGAACGATTCACAGCCGTGCACCCCGAGCCTAAAAATTGGATCAAGTGGGCCCGTTTTGAAGAAGAAAATGGAACCTGTGGCCTAGTGAGAGAAGTATTTGGGCTGGCTATTGAGACGCTGGGTGATGACTTCATGGACGAGAGACTCTTTATTGCCTATGCTCGGTATGAAACGAAATTGAAGGAGCATGAACGCGCGAGAGCCATATATAAGTATGCTCTTGATAGGCTTCCACGTTCAAAATCCGCTGTTTTACACAAGGCATACACCACCTTTGAAAAACAATATGGTGACCAGGAAGGTGTTGAGGACGTGATTCTTTCGAAAAGAAGAGTTCAGTATGAGGAGCAAGTCAAGGAAAATCCCAAAAACTATGATGCCTGGTTTGATTATATCCGACTCGAAGAAGCTTCTGGAAATGTTGAACGAGTTAGAGATGTTTATGAGCGAGCTATAGCTCAAATTCCACCATCCCAGGAGAAACGTCACTGGCGTCGGTATATCTATTTGTGGATATTCTACGCTCTCTGGGAAGAAATGGAAAATCACGATTTTGGAAGGGCCCGTCAAATATATCAGGAATGCTTGAAATTAATTCCTCATAAAAAGTTTACTTTTGCCAAAGTTTGGCTGTTGAAGGCTCAATTTGAGATCAGGCAAATGGACCTTCGGGCTGCGAGGAGAACACTCGGGCATGCCCTAGGGGCTTGTCCAAAAGATAAGCTATTCAGGGGCTATATCGATTTAGAGCGACAACTCTTTGAATTTGTACGATGCCGGACACTTTTTGAAAAGCAGATCGAGTGGAATCCCTCTCAAACACAGGCCTGGATCAAGTTCGCGGAATTAGAACGGGGATTAGACGACCTTGAACGCGCACGCGCGATATACGAGCTCGGGATAAGCCAGCCGTCATTGGATATGCCAGAATTATTATGGAAGGCATATATAGATTTCGAGGAATATGAAGGAGAATATGACCGCACTCGAAGCCTGTACGAGCGGTTGCTTGAAAAGACTGACCACGTCAAAGTCTGGATCAATTACGCGCGGTTTGAAATCAACATTCCTGAAATCGAAGATGATGAAGATGAAGAGAAGCCCGTCAGTGAAGAAGCCAAATCCCGGGCTAGGAAGATATTCGAACGGGCACATAAGGTTATGAAGGAAAAAGATCTAAAAGAAGATGTATGTTTCACACTAGCTTTATGGTCTTTTGTAAACTGATCCTAACTCAGTATTTGCAGAGAGTGGCATTGCTAAATGCATGGAAATCCTTCGAGCAAACCCACGGTACACCAACAGATATCACAAATATTGAGAAGCAAATGCCGCGCAAAGTCAAGAAGCGACGCAAACTAGAAGAGGATCGTTACGAGGAATACATGGACTACGTTTTCCCTGCCGACGATGAGTCCACAGCAAATCTGTCCAAACTCTTGCAAAAAGCGTACCAATGGAAGCAGGAGCAAGGAAACATCTCATAGGTACTCATAAAACAAGAACCATACTCGCTTACATTGTGTGCTTATCAAAATTCCCTCCAAGCGTTTTGGGGAATCCGTCGTATGCCGACCTTTCGAGGGCTTCAAGTAAGAAAATCGGTCAAAACAGATATAAATCTCGAAACCGGACCCGGTCCCCCTCAGTGAAAGTAAATAGTGGCTAAAACTGTGCGTTGAGGGGTTCTGTACAACAAGGTACACACCACCGGGGTTATCATACCTATCCATTATTGTTGGCATGTGTGCTGCTCTTGGATAAATTGCGTGTTGCAGGGGTGTCTAAGAGGGATGAGAATCAGAGATATTCTTTTTTGTTAGCCATGGCGTGTCGCGTTTCTAGGGTATGTGTTGCAGCATCAGAATATGTCTCGGAACCACGCCATGATGGTTCCATATACTCAAACAATGGCTCCATATTATAGCAGGTGAAGATGTAGATTAGATTGCGATTCTCCCCGTGGGTCTCCGAATGAAATACTCCCGCAGATATCCTGTTTCCCTGCTCGTTACATAGTTGATGCAATTGTTAGCGGTCTCTTGGTTTGAAATGTTGATTCCAGTCAACAATTCAAAAGTCTCCATAACTTATCCCCCAGAACTCTTGAAATTAAATTAATCAACTCGAGGAATACACCACATTAAAGGGAAACCTGAGGATGTACAGAGTATAACCCAGCCAAAGGAATTAATAATTAAGATGTGCATGCTCCGCCTCTTGTTGAACGGAACCATGTCAAGGGGTTAGTGTGGAAACAATCACGCCGTTGTTTCAGCGCAGGTGGCTCCTTGTCAGTCCCGAAATCAGCCCTCATTCGTCTCTTCCTTCCCGCCCCCTCGCTCTCTTCCTTCTTCAAAGTTGTGCTTCTCTAACCTTTGCCGTTCATTCGTTGTATTCATTCTTTCCAATATCTCCTGCCTAGGCCTTGATGCGGCCTTTTTCGTTTTTGGCACCATCCCCTATTGCGATTCTCCTGGACTGAGAATGGACACATCGGTCGCGTTCGAATACCAAATCCCGCTCTCTTAGCTCATTCTTGCTCCAGGTCGAAACAACCGTTTGCGAAAATTCGGATATCCTGAGCTTGCAGTGCTGGCGTCGTTTATGACAGCATTTAGAAAAGTGACATTTGTCCATCAAAAATTGCAGTCTGGTGCTGTCCGATATTGTTCCTCTTCTGATTCCCTCCCACTGGCAACCCAGAGGAGAAAAGCAATGACCTTTGCCTTTCCTTATCGATTAAATCCGTTAGACCACGCGTTTCGAACCCCAAACATCGTCAATCCCTTTTCTCGATAGCTCTGGTAGCTTTGCTGTCCTCTTTGGCTCTGCATACCTATTCCTTGCAGTGTGTACACTGCGATTACATGGATTACTTCCCTTACAATTGTCGTTCAACGGACCATCGAATGCGATGTCGCTCCCAAAGCCCCCTGTTCGCCTGGAAGGGCATTGCTCCATCGTTTTCGATAATACGCTCTATGTCTATACTCCTACGACATTTCTGTCTCTACCGCTAAAGCGAAATTCTAGTTGGAAGAAGCTTCCAATGGGCGAGCCCGTGAAGGGCGCGACCTGCGTAAAGGGAAGTGTTGATGGCAACCCAAACAACCTCGGTTTCTACGTTGTTGGCGGGAAGAGTAGTTCTCCAGACTACTTTGGACTGCAGCGGTATTCCTTTGCGGCTCGAAAGTGGGAAACCATCTTTCCAGTTACAAACGATGTTCAGAATCGTATAGACCATGCCGCGATTTATCTCAATGCCTCTGCCTCTCTTCTCGTATATGCAGGCTCGCAAGTCGGAGACAATAAACCCTCAACTCAGTCTTTCGTGATTTCTGTCACACCTCCATATAATGTGCAGTCCTATAATTCTTACGTTCCCCCTGCCTTTCGTCCGATGTTATTATCTTGGAGCGAGGATAAGGCAGTTATGATCGGTGGCTCCCCACAGAATACAAAAGTATTTGCGTTCAGCGTTACAGAAGGGTGGCATGACACAGGCGCTGCCCTACCAAATCCACTGCCTGATAATCCCAGTGTGCAGTGTGCGATGGTTTTTGGTGCCGACGGGAGCAGAATCCTGGAAATCTTTGATATGGGTATCTCCCCAAACTTGGTTACTAAATATGCGATGTTAATGCCAGGAGGTACCCCGGCTCCACCTGGTCAACAAGTTGGGGCGGACAACTCAAACGCCAGAAGCAAATCTGCTATCAAAAACCAAAAACGGGACGTTACTCTTGACAGGTATCCTCCGTATGATAACACTTTCGCTCCCACGACAACTCGTAGTGGGTTTTCGCTTGCTCAGGATGCAAATGGGTTGGTTGTCATATCCGGGGGAAGCGAACAAGATTCACTGGTAATTTTCGATCAATCAAGAAATCGCTGGGTTGACACAAGCAAATTTTTTGTCGGTACGACCACGAGTGTCAAGTCAACAAGCACGCCCACACCATCCAGCACTCTTGATCTGTCGACCCAGATAGTGTTGACTGCATCATCTTCTCCAACATCTTCGGAAACGTCTTCGGATGTGCTGTCGAACAATAACCATGACTCCGGCAGACGAACTCTAACCATAATTGGCGCGACACTCGGAGCCCTTTTGGGTGTGGCGGCGCTTCTTATTATTCTCCTGCTACTTCTTGGATGGAGAAAGCGTAGAAATAAGTGTTCACACAATGGAAATGCTACAAATCGTTCAAACGACGGTGATAATTTTGATTTCCAGGACCAAGGCATGGAACCTTTGACTCGCAACGTTCAACCAATGGGACGAGGCCCCGTTCCATCGACAGACTCATGGGCCATAGTGACCGGTCAGGTGTATGGGAGCATTGCCAAACAGTCACCTACTGCGTTCAATGAGCTGGTTTCTGAGAAAGGCCGGAGTCCATTACGAAATGTCGAAACGAATTCACCTGAAAGATTATCTGCCGTGTCCCAACCGGCTATGACGGGACCTTTCGATGATGATCAGCGGCAGGATCGACACACAGATGAAGGATGGAGCAAATATTTCCAAGCCAACCAACACACCAATAGGCCTAGCGATCATTCTGTGCGGTCGACGGTTTCATCCCAAGAATCCAAGTCAGATTACAGAGATAGTTCATGGCCGCATGCTTCCGCCGAGGTTCCAGCTTTAAGCATTGGAACTGTGGGACACCCACAGCCATTAGGAAAAGTAGCGTCCGGTAGTCCTAGTACTGAACATGCTCCGGATTTTGGAACCCACGTCGCGCAGCATGGTTTAACCGCAAAAATATCTAGCGGCGATTCAATTAGCGTCGCTTCAGATGACGATCAAGATGATAGGATCAACATGTCCGGTTCCTACCTACCACATGGCGACCCGAATATGCCGTTTGGTGCTTTCAAAGAAGAACGAGTGGCAAGCAGTACTTACTCCGCGAGTCTCTACCAACCAAATGACTCGAATTCGTTTGTGGCATCATCCGGGGAACAAGAGCGTCCACTAACGCGGTGGCCGCATGAGTCCCAGGGCTCTAAGTTTTCGGAGCAGCGTACTCCGCGTGCTCAGCTTAGTTCTGATATAAGTTGGCTCAATCTCGGCAAGAACAGATGAAACGTGGAGTTCACTTTTGGTTTCTTTGATCAGGGCCAGACTTGATGCACAGTGTCTGACTCCTTTCCTAGGTAGGGGGACCACTGACATTCAGCATACGCGATGGTAAACACATCTATTGCCATGACAAAACCCTAACGACTTGTAACATTTTCAATATCAATTTTCCACCTTTTCATTGATATTTTCCAATTTTATGGTTGGACAAGGTGCTTGCCTCACCTCGATAACCTTTACCTTCAAATATTTCCCTATTCTTGCTAAATGGCCAACTTATCACACTTGTCTTTTCTAGTTTTCATTCAACTCTCCTTGGCTGGTGCTATTTTGTCTAGTTGAGCATTTCCATCAATCAACTATTCTCTGGATAGTTTTTTTGAGCTGGTCTTCTCTGGTGTCCCTGGTTTTCACTCTCAGTGGCTGCTTCAGACAACTACGTTTCCCTCATTTTGATTTCCGAGTCTTTCTATTTTTGGTCTTTCGAGAATCCGGTTGGGATGTACTCCGTACGTTGGACTGTAATTTCTTTCAGAGCGGCATGGACTAATAATATACCCCGAATCGTTGGGTGGGTCACGAATATGTATCAAGTCGGACTCTACCGCCTCGCATGAATGTGTAAGTTTCTATTTTTTGTTCTAACGCACTGTGCCGTACTTTTTATATAGAGGTTTATTTTTATACATCCTCATCTCTTTCTGTCTACCTATGGATGTTATGCATTGAAGGTATCCCTCGCGACTAGTTCCGTCATTGAGCTTGTAGTACGAGAACGGAGGCCATCTTAACGGAGAGAAAGCGGGATCAACCCCGGCTCCTCAACTCTCGATCTTACCGTTTGTATCTAAATTCAGGTATTCCCAAGACGTAAATTCTCCAGAGAAACCGGGGTTTTCGGTCAACTCGGTATAAAGCTTCTATATAGGTCGTTATAAAGGATTTTGGTAAGCATCATCACACGGGATTGGGATAGCCGGGTTCGCCTGGAAGGCGTTGTAAGAAGCTTTTTCCCACGTGTGGGAGCGTTATTACGATGACACTCGAGGTCGTCTATGCACGACACCCGGCACGAAAAGCAAGAGAATTTAGCAAAGGCAAGGGCGTAAACAGCGCTCGATATTCTCAATTGGCCCTCACCGCGATAATGGTGATTGTCAATACTATTGAAAATGTCCCATATTCATCGCTTAATGGCCCTCTATCTTGCAGCGAAACAAAATATTAAAGTGTCGAGCCACTGCTGCGGCAGGAACGAAATTAGATGCCCGCGACAGGCTTTGGATGGACGAGATAACCCTAAGAACTCGGGCTGCGGAAGCGGCCCGCCCGGAATCAAGCTTTTTGTGAGTATATCTATTGTTCTTTCAAGGCGGGACCCTGGAACAAGAAGCATGCATTACTTACATACCTACGGTGCGGCATTGGCTGGGGACTGCCCGCATTCAAAGCTGGACAAAGGTTAATTGATCACCGAACTATTTCATACCCCTCGCGTTTGTGCGACATGGCGAGAATCTATATTCTCGCAATACGGCATGTCGTCTTTGGGAGTGGTATCAGGGTCACTGCTTCGGAACCACATTCCAAACCAGGCGCCGGAAGTACTAATCCTGACTCGTTGAGTTCTAGCAGAGTACTACATACATCGGTCTTGATGCGAGACAATCTCGCGAGCAGGAGGAAAGAGATGGCAGAGATTGATTTGGGTCCGAGAATGGCTAGCATTTATCCGGGATACGAATGACAATTTTCACACCCAGCAAGTAGGGACTCAACGGATAACGAGCGGGTGGTTTGAATGCTTTAAATGTTTGGTCTGCCTTTCATCAGCCCTGAGTCATGCTTATCTGCAGTCGCTCGTTAGCTCCATCCGGTGAGATGGGTAGTTAACTAAGTTCGGTACGATGGCGTCAGTTGCGAACTTCTTGACTCTTGTGTCGTATGCAACGAAGCAGCCACGTTTGCGGAGATCTTCGAGGAGCTGACAGTGGAACACGGGGCGGTAACCCACCTCATGCAGGACTTCAGTGTGGACTCCGTAATTGCATTAGCTAACTGATGTAACGAGATCTTGGCTGTGGACCAAACTCTCCCTGCGCACCGGCGAGGGCGTTATATTTTCGATTTGGTTACGAGCAGGCATTTTGAAAGTCAACGAACTGCGACAACGCCTTTGGAATTACACATGTGTGCAGAAGTAAAACCAGGAGAGAACCTGGTGAGATGTTAGTGATGATCAGTTTTCTGGAACTCGAGTCGAACTCGCCGGCCGCTGGCAGAAGCGCCTGAGTGTGATTTAACTACTCCGTAGTTCGTGGCCCAGCTTTTTTGCATGGGCAAGTCTTAGCCAACAGGATCATCCCAACTTTATGTCAACATCTACCAGGGCAACTTGGTTGGGTGGGATCCCCCTTTCTTTTGAACGTCGAACCTCTGGACGAAATTCCTGGCCAAAGTTAGGATCAGACTTGCAATCCAGCTGGGCTCCCCCACAGTTGAAGTTCTTAACGACTACTCAGTACTCTGTAGTCATGGAGTTGGTGGGATTGGAAAGTCCAAACTTTCCAGTTATCCTCCATCATTATGGCTCTTGCCAATCCAACGCAAGATATTGAACAGCGAAGAAGGCCGATAGAATGCAGAGCAGGCCCGAGCCCGTGCGGTGAATCGCATTGCTTTCCGGGTGGCTTGTTTGTTTCCCATGGCCAACCATATCCGGGAACAATCGCTGCATCATCCCTCTTCTTTTCTTGACTTTTCTTTTTTTTATTTTTATTTTTATTTTTTTTTAAAAAAATTTTTTTTTTCTTCGCAAGGATGACTTGATGCCACAGCTATCTAGTTATCTTCAATTCCTTCGGGCTCTGTTACCACTGTATATAGCAATGAATAAGGTGTTGCGACAGCGCCCCGCCCGTATTTTGCCCTGGGCAACTGGGGGACCGCCGGTCCGAGGGCCACAATAACTATTACTATGGGCGTTTTTTTATCGCCCATTTGTTAATTTGTCCCCAATCGTTAATGATTTTCAGGACATGTATAAGTGGAAGTGGACTACATGTGACCATTTCAAGGGTGGGAATTGACCAGCAATAATAGTCATTCGGCTAGCCTGCTCATGTTAGCTCGAATTATCGAATTATGGCCGTCCGTTTGGGGCCAGTCTGTTGGCTTTTGAGGGCTCTGCCTTTTTTTTTTTTTCTATTTCCCTTGGGCTACGAATCGGATTCCGCATACGCCCCCCTTGGATCTTATTTCTCACATTCTTCCCGATACAAGCCCTGCTATCCCCTCCCCTCATAATTCAGCCCTGACTGCACCCGAAAAAGGGCTGCTCTGGGGCTTCTTCTCTTGTTGTATTCGTTTCATAATCCTGTCACATAAGTTTCCCAACAAGGTCTCTTTTTAGTGACTGGGCTCGTTTTCTTTCTCCCATGCGGCAACTTTGAGTTTCTGGATAACAGCTTGACTTGACCGAAAGTTGGTCCCTTGATGGCCATCGCTGGCCTCGCTTTATTTATTTTTCTATTCTTTTCACAAAAAGATTTCTTCGGCGTCAGTAGTTGTCGGAAAGGTTGCCGTTCACTATCGACCTTTCCCCGCCACCCTTGTATTTGGCTCAGAGGCAGACCCTAATTTTAGTTTCCCCTGTTCCTTTGGGATGGGAGGGCCTCCTCTTGCGCCTTGTTTTTCTAATTGGTGTGGTTTAGGGACAGTTGCTTGATTGAGCACCGATGGTCCCTCGATCGACGTATGCCAAACGTCGACTTCGTCTCTATCCATTTAAAGGTTGCGCATTAGTTTGGTTCCGTCTCTATCAACGATTGTTTGTTCTAGCGGTAGTCCAGCGGTCCAGGTCGAGCTCGTTCTCTGTGTTCTATATCTTTGCTATAAACCTCCTGGTGGCAGAGTCACACCCATCAATTTGACTGACGGAACTTCCACAGTGGATGCTGTGCTTCCCTTTTCTTATATCCTTTAGTCTTGAAATAAGCCATTTAGATTCAAGACACCCTGCAAAGCTGAGGGTACACCCTCCTTTCTTGCCCCTCCTTCCTTCTACATGCTAACCCCAAGTTACTTCCAGGATTCAACGGCCCGAGGTGTCTAGTTATGTGATAGTGATATATATTGTCTAGGATACGACTTTGTATGCATTAACCTTTCGCCGAGGAGAGACACTATGGACTACGGCAAATGCAGAAGAGTTTCAATACTGAACAATGACGATAACCCATCATTCGCCGTCCCGCGCAGTTCACCTAGATCCCTGGGCTCGCTCGCTGCTGATGAAATGCAACATTCGCGACCCGGTTCAATACACCTGGAAGATGATTCGACCCGAACACAATCCTTAGCACACCCGCCGGCGATGTTAGGGTACTCGTTTCCTCACGGAGGCCCGACGGCGTCGCCTGTTCAATTTCCAACTCATCCTCCCTGCACCCAAACTCTGCTTAATGGACCTGGTGACATGAGAGCGCAAAAGCCAAGTAAGAAGAACAAATACCCTTGTCCGTATGCGGCATCACATTCGTGCCCTGCGACCTTTACGACTTCTGGCCACGCTGCTCGACATGGAAAGACGCATACCGGGGAAAAAAGCGTCCACTGCCCCATCTGCAATAAGGCCTTTACCCGAAAAGATAATATGAAGCAGCACCAACGAACCCATCGCACGCTAGACAGAGAGAACAGTCCGCCCAATCTGAGCAGTATCTGGCCTGAGGGTGGTTGGTCAAACGCTAGCCCTGTGAGAATAGAGCCATGTGCGCATTCGCAGGAAGATGTTGAATCTGCGCTAAGCTCGACAGTAAGCCGGCCCAGTAGCTGGTCGAGCGGGCAAGTCAACCATTCTCGTCATGCACCGCCAAACTTTTGAGCATAAGCGATGGCCAGCGCTACGAAGAAAGGAGTATGCGGCAAAGAGAGCCTTGATAAATGAACTGCCTCGCCTCTTAAGGAATTCGAATCAATGCGGCAAATCTCGCCAAACCCAAGCTAATATTCATGCCTTTTATGTTTCAGTAGCATCCGTGATATATGCATTTGTGATGGCCTCCAAGAGAGGGAAATGATGTCAGTTTTGCAGTTTTGGATTTGCATATGGATATACTCCGTATATACAATTTACTATGGAATACGATCCGGCGTTGACGATGCCTTTTGGGGTTGGATTAGGCTCCGGGGCATGTGGGGAATAAAGTTATGGAGAGCTGCCCAGGGCAAGCCGTGGGAACCTCAGTGATGATCCATGGGACATGCCGAGGAAAAGGTCACCTTAAAACAAATCTCAAAACGGGACCCCTGAAGGGTGTTTCTGCTCGTTGCAGCAGGTAAACAAACCAAAGACAATCTAACTAGATCGGAACTTGGATGAGAAAGATAGACGACACACGTGCGGCAAGTCGATCAGCCTGCCAAGCCCGGCCTGGTCCCACTCGCAGGTCTCACCCGACTTTTGCGTCATCCGCGCCGCCTGCATTCACACCGAGACATCTCAACCTCACACTCGAGGCTTTCGCTCGACTTCCATATCATTCATCCGCTTTTCAAATATATTCTGTACACTTCTACTATCTGAAAAATTTAATACAGCAAACGCGCTGTTCTTCCTGCTATTCTTCAACCATTCTCGATTTTGTTGCGGGTCTTCGCTTGGTATCTCTTGGAGTCTGTCCGCTTACATTTCCCTCAGCATGGCAGCTTCGTATTATTACCGAGACCACCCATACAACCATGCCCCGGGGCCAGCATATCCCCTGGAACCATATACCGCATCAAATGATCCTGACGATCTTGTCTATAAAACGCATCCCCAGCGTCGTCATACAGACGCTGCGAGGCCTTCCTCTGCTTCAAGGCGGAGTCGTCGTGATGGATATCGTTCGACACACAATCAGGAACATCGAGGAGGCCGGAAGCATAAGCATCGAGGTAAGAGATTTAGCTCACTTCTTCTCGCCCAGATTGCTTCTGCTCCGTGTTTCCCTGCCCCATCGCTTCCACTGCAGGATTTTCGACTGACCCAGAAGCAGATGACTATTACCAAGAACGTCCCTCATATTCTCACTCCTCCTTGTCCCGGTCTCCTTCCCCTAAACCGCGTCGGCGTAAGTCACTGGGCGAGCAGGCCATGGCCGCACTCGGCTTGGCAGGCTCAAGCTCTCGTGGAAACCAGCATCATCGAACGAGAACTCGGGATCGAAGCTACGATTATTCTGACCCCCGCTCCCGCCGTGATTACGATCATCCCCGGCGTCGGAGGGAGCATAGGCAGAGGAATAGAAACTCCTCAAGGTCCCCCTCACCTGACGCTGCCTCGAAAGAGATCAGACATGCCATCACTGCTGCATTGGCTGCAGGTGCTGCAGAAGCCTATCGTGCACGGAAAGCACCCGGCGGCTGGACGGGAGAGAAGGGAAAACGAGTACTAACGGCTGCCATCGGCGCTGGTGGAATGGACAAACTTATTGAACGTGACCCAAATAAGCACAATAAGCGTCATATTTTGGAATCCACTATCGCCGGATTGGCCACAAACCACTTAATGAACGGGTCCTCCAGATCGCGCTCGCACCGACGCCATAGCCGACGTTCCAGATCAGAAGATCATAGCGGAATGAAGAACCTTGCCACAGCGGGTGTCTTGGCGGCAGCTGGTAAAAAGGCATATGATCACTATCGTTCCGAATCCCGTGGTCGGTCTCCATGTTCAGGATATTCTAGCGACGAAGATGTTCAACCCCGTCGCCATCGCAAGAAAAGAAGTCAGAGTGTAACGGATTATGTCGCCAAAGGCCTTGCTGCATTAGGATTAACGGATGATGTTGATGACAAACGTCGCTCAACGCGGCACCGCGAATATGATCACAGTTCTTCGGAGGATGACAACTACTCAGACTACCGCCCTCGTCGCCGTGGAAGGCACTCCGGGCGTTCTAGATAAATTAAAGCCTCTTCCTTATTTTATTTTTTATCTTTATTTGGTAACACTATTTAACTCACACTCAAGCACGCTCCCTTGGATGATTTCTTTATTATTTTTGTTATTAATGAATCTTGGCCTATCCGCGGAATTCATTTGTGTTGAATGCATCTTCGCTTTGTTAGATTCAGCCTTATAATGACTTAGTTAACGCGCTGTTCTTCATGACAAAGCCATGCCTTTCATCGATCCAAAGCAAGCTTTCTTATCCGTCTTGTTCTCTCTGAATTTGAATTTTTATTAATGATGTGTACGACCGTCTCAATGTTTCTACTTTATATGTGGCTCTGGGCTTCACTCAGATTTTAAACCCAATTGAAGGACTTTTATTTTTTTTTTAGATAAATGAGGTCTGTCCATGCCAACATTGCCCTTGTTAGCAAAGACATTGAATTAAAGATAATCTTCAGAGTAGGACTAGATCACTTTCCTGTGGTTCCAGAATTATTATGTATCTCAACAGAGACCTGTCCATATCCTGATAGGCCCTGTTTGTTGGGGAACTTTAGCCAGAGCCTAGATCCTAGTTAAATCCAAACGTTCGATTTTGCATTTTCCTGGTTCAAAACTGATTGGCAGCTCCTGAGGAAATTGTGGCAAGGCTAGCTTCCTGTATAAGTTCTTTATGGACTGTCTCTGTGCGTGCAGGACTATTCACATGCAATTGCTCTTAAAAGAGGCTCTACATTGATAGAAACTTTCACCCATTCCAACTTACATAGAAGAGTTGAACCTTCGATTTCGCGCCTTGTGAATGTGCAAAGGACGCGTCAATGCTGTAGAAACTCCAGACCAGTTGCTAGGTATGTATGTCCTCTACACTGTGGCTTAACAATGGAGACACCCGGAAGCGGTGGCATAATTCTATACATGGCATCATACGCTGAAATTGAGCGCCTATTGGAAATTCAGGATCGACAGTCCGCGGTCCTTGTGATATAATCTATCCTTGCTAAAGAAAAATTATCAGTTCATAGATGCTCAGTCCAATTCCAAGCAAGAATTAGAAGGAGGCTTTGTTCGAAGCTGCAATGTTTTAGCACTGTGAAATTAATTCCATTTTCTCTCTGTCTCTCTCTGCTGGTGGGTGGCGTCATTTCTGATGGTGACGGGGGTTTTCAAAAAGGCACATGACGCCGGGAGGGTCAAAAATGCTATTAAAGCATGGACGTCCGATACTATCACGATCAGTAGCTTTGTGGACCCCTTTGACCACAAGGATAAGTGTTCATAAGCAGCTGTCAATGCTTCCCAGAACCAGATTTTGCGCTTGATATTCTTGCCTGCGTCTCCAAGCTGGATAAGAAAGGCTAGGATGCAGTGAAGCATCGAAGGCACAGCAATCCCAAAGGTGGCGGAAAGCTGGAAATCCTAAACAGTGGATCAAGCCACAAAGGAAAAAGGAGAACATTCCATAGTTAGTTACCAAAGGACATCGGCACTGTTGTGGTTATCACTGTTTTTCGCATACTCTTAAGAACTTGTTCCCTAACAAATTTCTTACTCAAATAACTAGTTAGGCTGTTTTTGGATAAGTAAACATGAAACGCTCCGCCCGAAAGCAATGACCTGTCAATCAAAGAAGCAAATGTATCACATTGTGATGAGTTAGGACATCCCCTCTTTAACTGCTCCCTTGGTTGGAACACGCACCTCATCTGTTTTTTCCCCCCCAAATGATTTTGGCTTAAGTTTGGCACCCGCGAAAAACAGTTTCCAAGAGCTGCTCTTCAACATTATGAAAGGAGGCGAGAATAGTTCGCCATCCAGGTCGGCTGTCAAGTGTCCCAGGGAGACATAACGGCGATCTTCGTCGCTGAGGCGGCGGAGGCAAGCTAGCACACTAACGCGGCAATCTTCTGGCCTAGTTAACTAGTTCACCTTGTGGATTGCTGCTGTTGAACTCGGCCCGGATCATGAGCCGTGGAGATTCGACATTCTTGGTTCCCACGTCGTCGATACTACTAGCAACTAACTAGCTCACCAAAAACTCCTTGTTATTAGCTTACTATGTACGGAGTACGGGGTAACTACTCCGCAGGCTTATGGATGCCCTCAGATCAATCTCTCAAGATTATCTTGGCAGTACCGAGGCTTTCCTCGGAATGAACTGGGACGGCGACTATGTATGAACAGTTATATACTGGTTGCATTAGTCTTTCGTTTCCGATGCTTCCCCTCTCTTTTCGATTTCCCATACTGGACCATTTCAAGAATAAGTTAGGTTTTGTTGAGCACCACGGTCACTTTTAATGTGATCATTTCACCCGGAACCAAGCACTCAACTATACCCAAGGCGCGATAACTACTATAGAGCCGCAACAACAGCAGTTGGACAACAGCGAAGATGGTGAAAAAGTCCCCATTTGCTCCGATTCCGATCCCATCCTCCAATGTTCTCTCTTTTCTATTTCCCCCAGGTTCACCCCTGCGTTCCGCCACAAAGCCTATCTGGATCGATTCTGCAGATCCGACCCTTCAGCTGACAACAGCTGCTGCATTGGATTGGGTGAAGCGTTTATGTTCTGGCCTTGAGAATTTCAAGGACCAGGCCTCTGGTCAACAGGTAGTTAAGAAGGGCGAAGTAGTCCTCATTTTCACTCCGAATCAAATTTTTGTCCCAGTTGCGTATTTGGGTATTGTTGGGTCAGGACGGATCTTCAGCGGAATAAATCCTGGCTATAGCGTTAATGGTGAGTTGCCTGAAAGCTATGTGGAGCTTGACGAGGACCACCCAAAAGTCTTTGTCTATATCTCTTGACTGACATACGGTAATAGAGGTCGTATATCAAATGAATAACACCGAGGCCAAGGTTATCCTTGTCCATCCCTCTCTCCTTGACACAGCTGTAGCAGCAGCAAGGCAGGCTGGGATTCCAACCGACCGTATGTTTCAGTTTTCGGAAACAGAAGTCCCTATGCGGGACGGCGTTCGGGACTGGCGAGAATTGTTAGCGAACCTCGAGGCCTCCCGTGACTACCAATGGCCAGAATTAAGTGAAAATGAAGCTGCAAACACGATTGCGACAATCAACTACTCGTCTGGTACCACTGGTTTACCTAAAGGTGTCTGCGTCAGCCACCGAAATTTGATCGCCAACATTCTGCAGTCAAATTACATTCGCAATGCGTTGGTTCAATATGGTCCCGAGGGCCCTCCGCAGCATCGCTGGATTGGTTTTTTGCCGCTGTACCATGTGTACGGGCAGATGATGACAATACTTCATGCTGTACGCAACCAAGTTCCTATATACGTGATGAAAAAGTTCGTCTTCGAAGACTATCTCCGCGCTATACAGGATTATAAAATTACTTACCTGCACGTGGTGCCTCCAATTATGGTTATGCTGAGCAAACGGCCAGAAACGGCCAAATATGACTTGAGCAGTGTACTCGAAATTTCATGCGGGGCGGCTCCGTTATCACGAGAGCTTCAGAATGAGGTTGCAGAAAAGTATGGGGTTAGTATCAAGCAGGGTTGGGGAATGACCGAAGTGACGACGGGTGCAATTCATGTTCCAGGTGGTGTCGAGGATAAGTATGCGCCTTCTTAGTGGTATTATTTCGTTGTTTTGAATGCTCTAATCCTAACAAGTGGGATAGAACAGGAAGTGCCGGGGTCCTTGATCCGAATTGTGAGTGTAAACTGCTAGATGACGATGGGAATGAAGTGCCAGAAGGCGAACCCGGTGAAATGTACATACGGTCCCCCAATGTTTCCATGAAGTACTGGAAGAATGAGGAGGCTACGAGAGAGACCATGTTGTCGGATGGATGGCTTCGAACCGGTGATATCGCGGTCTGCCGCGGTGACTGGTTTTGGATTGTTGATAGAAAGAAGGTAAGTAATGTTGCTCTTCTTTACCCCATTGCTATCAGTAGGTTAATACTGGAAGACAGGAGCTTATCAAGGTAAATGCACTCCAAGTGGCCCCTGCAGAACTCGAAGCGGCGTTGCTCGAAAATGATGACATTGCCGACGCCGCTGTCGTTGGTATGAAGATGTGGGTCCCCTCTTCCATTTATCTACCCCTTTGTGATGCAATTACTTACTTAAAACTTTCCTCTGTCTATGTCACTAGGAACGATGAGGAATTCCCTCGAGCATATGTTGTGCTCAAGGATGCCGTGAAACAACGCCCAAACCCACTGACCGGAGAGCAAATCCAGGAATGGATAAAGCCACGAGTTGCAAAGCATAAGTGGCTAACTGGAGGAGTTGAGCTCATTGACGAGGTCCCAAAGTTACCGAGCGGCAAGATTATGAGAAAGGTAATGAGAGAGTGGGCAAAGAGGGATGCGGCGAAATTTCAGGGGTTACAGAGAGCAAAACTGTAAAGAAGAATCTCACATATGAGAGTTACAAATACTTAGAGAGCTATAGTTCGTTAATACAGTACTCCGTAGACAGGATCGTTTTGAAAGGTTTTGTAACTAAAGGCGGCCAGCAGAGCAAATGACGTCATGCGGGAAAACGCTGTTACAACCGACCGACGAGTTCCGCGGACAAGTTCAGGGAGTTGCGTTACTAGTAAGCGGATTGTATCGGGGATAATTGTTACTCGATCGCGCTAGAACTTTGTTCAGCTTCCCCAACATGCAAGCCAAAGGGCCATCACACTCATTCTTGTGAAGGGAGGCCAATCACTCTCTTTCCTTGACCACCTCATGATTCTTCCCCATGTCATGAAGGCTCTCCCTTCTACTACAAAAGGCACCTTCGGGACCATCCCAATGCGTTCCTTTCGCAGTCCTTTCAGCTCTGCAATGGGCCATAACTCTCAGATCTCCTGGCGCATTTCTTGCCGCGTAATGTCTACACGGTTCAGATCATTTCCGCACCTCCGTGGCTGCCCCCAGGTTGCGCCCATCGTATCCTCGGGGAACTCGGCTTCACGACGCATCCCAGACGCCCGCCATTTTGGGCTAGGAAGACCAAGTCTGTATGCTGGTTATTCCACAACAAGGAGATACACTACCCAGTCCAAGAGGGGGATTTCCGCAGACGATTATATCCAGGAATTGCAAGATTTGTATGTTGCCGCCTTCAAAATATATCCGCACCCATTTATTACTCGTTGGTAAAGATCATACGCCCTCGAATTAACGAAAGCTAATCCGATGTATGGACGTAGATATGAGATAGCTAAAGACGAGGTATCCCACCTAACTCCACCGTCAAAAAGAAAGGGCCATTTCAAACCCAGAAAGAAAAAGACCAAAACATATGTCGGTTGGACACTAACACACCCATTAGCTAGAGATCGCGACTGAATCTACGGATTCCCTCACCATCTATGCCGAATCCGATCGTGCAACGCTACGCGAAGCGTTTGACGATTTAGCGCACGCCTATGATGTATATACAGGGGCTACTTCATCCTCGTCTCCGAGCCCCAAAGGGCAAAGTGAAGGAGCTCAAAGGGGCGCTGCGCTAGACTCCAGCGATATACCAGTAGATATTAGGGAGGAGATCAAGCGCAGAGTTGGGCAGCGAATACGAGAATTAAGAAATGCCGTGGAAGTCCTTGAGGAACGTTCAAAATCAGAATAATCAATTGCTCATTAGACATCTACCTGAATATATGGACATGAACATATTGCTAGTGATGCGATCTTTGATGTATGTTTGTACAGAACATAGTCTCGTAACAAACACATCATTGACATTATTTATATACTGGTTGAGCATATAAACCCTTTTTCTTTTTTTTTGGTATATTCGTTAATTCCATAAAATATGGTCTCCAGCGGAGGGTTTGGTGTTCGATTTTATCACATTTTCCGTTAAAATTGGGGGTCCATCAAGCGAGACCTGTTAAGTTTAAATTTGGGGAGTGGATGGGTTCCCAATTGGAGAGGTCAATCGGCTCGGGAAAACATTGGTGTGTTTGTGCGTCCCTTTTAAATGTCGTTTCAACTGATCTAGAATAGGGAAATGTTAACAAATCTGACCAGCCCACAAGGCCATAAAAGAAAATATATACCTGGTCTTGTAAAACTCTTAGAGCATCCTGGATAAGGACACTTGTGTTTCCGTTCTCCGTGGGCTGTGTGATATGCATTAGCTAAATGAAATGGGCCTAGGCATTACTCCAGTAGACTTACTTAGTTTGTGGCTAGACATATTTGACGACTGGGCAGGTTGTTGTTAGTGAGACTTTGAAAAGCTGTACGGTAGGCAGCTATTTTTGGGGGTCTACTTACGTCCCCGGTCTCGAAGGTGCATCCAGGATGGTTACATTTAAATGGCTTTTCGCCGGTGTGTGTGCGCATGTGTGTTTCTAACCAGGTGTCAGAATAAGACAGACTGATTCTGGACCTTAGATATCAACTCACTTAATTCACTGCTGTCTGTGAACTTCTTCCCACATTCCTTACACTTATATGGCTTATCTCCTCGGTGGCTTCGTTCATGCCTTTCCAAGGTTGCCTGCCTTGCAAAAGGCTTCCCGCAAATGGAACATCGAAAACTTTTATCTGTACGAAGGTTAGAAGCATGTCGGGAAAGCCAAAATAGCGCAGGAAGATGTACAATTACTGTGTGTTAAAAAATGGCCCTGTAGTTTAGACTTCTGCGAAAACGGTTCGTCTGGACGGGAACAGCCTTCCCAACAGCAGTAATAACCTTGTCCTTGGCATCCTTGCGTTGGGTCCGCATGGGCTGTTGTGAGGTGTTTCTGCAGGCTGCCTGCGTCTGGAAATATTTCACCGCAAATTTTATTTTCTAATTTATTTCCAACCCATCTGCAAATATGCAGCTCTTCAGCGCCGAGAAAGTCGGAGGCATCGAACAATGGGGTACCAGTCGCTTCTTGGCCGATGGGTGCTGGAACAGGGCTTGAATGCATGCTCAGACTCGGAGTAGAGCGTGTGGAAGTTGTAATCGTTGGCGTTGCTTCTTGTCGTCGGTGATATAGCTGCAAGGCCAGCGCCTGGAAAGAGCCATGGCCATGGTGATGACGATGGTTGGCAGTCCTGGAAGAGTGTAATGAAGCAAAGGGCGTCGATATCCCAGAACAGCTTCCGAGAGGTAAATTGCCGCCTATCTTTCGTTGATATGTACAGTTTCCCGTGTTGTGGCAAAGTTCTGTCGTATTGCTAATGCAAATGGCTCCGAGTCCATGATTTAGACACGGGCCAGAGACTATATGAGAATGTGAGTCGAAAGGGGTCTGCTGATCAGAGAAGTGGCTTTGACTCAGATCTTTGATAGAGGACAGGTCACAAGCAACCGTTGTCCCGGAGGGATGAATGTGTGAAGTAAAGGAACCGTCAAAGTTCTCGCCGTGGAACCCACAGTTGCCGTGCTCGGGACCCAAAGTCATACAGTCCCAGTTCAGAGATCCATCTTGGCTCAAGAAGTTATTTTCATGTGTTTGGTGGACATTATCGTAATGCACCTCGATGCAATTCTTATCGTAGCAGGCAGTAGACGTCTTCTCGCAGTTTAAATTGTCGCAATAGGACTCGGAGCAGATGGTGGACTTGTCGCAGTCGACGAAGCCATCGCAGACAGTAGTGCAAGCATCCGCACAATCATCCATATTGCAACACTCTGCTGACAGGTTGCACGAGAGAGAATTATGGTTGTCGAAATCAGCACCACTCCAGCAGGATATATCAAAGCACTCTGGGCCGGAAAGGAGATTGCCGTCGGCCATGTGGTAATTCTCCCAATGGCATTCTAAGCAGAATGGGTCTGTCTCGGGTTTTGGAGACATAGATCTAAGCTTCCGGGTTGAACAGGACCGAGCTCCCGCCACAACTCAACGACGACGGGGGCGCCTGACAGATGAGGGTCCGAATTAGTAGCGGAGCGGCAAGGTGATAGGATAGAGCACGATCGTCCGGGTGCCACATACCTCGACAAAGATTCGGCAATGCGGTGGCAGAAAAAGAAACTGATACTCGCGAAAGGGCTTACGGGCAGATGGACAAGCCGGTTGGCACGGGCGGTGCGGTGATCGGAAAACGCTCAAAAGTCAGTGAGGACCTTGGTGGCTCTCAGGTCGGTTGCCGCGACTTCTTTCGTCACTCCGCACGCTTATGTAACCAGCCAAATATTCATTCGCTGACTAAGGCTGCCGCTGCCACGTGAGAAACGGCCAATGACGGGCTTTGCATCGCAGGGCGACGCGGAGGATTAAGAGATCAAAACGCGGGACATGATGCCCTGTTCGCATAATCAAAAATGATTGGCCTGGCGCTCGCTATGGCGGGGAGGCGAACGTGTGACCTCGAGCTATCCGATTTGTTGTGATGCTCAAGCGCGTTGTTTTATAATTCATATCCCAGTCTCGCGAACGGTCCAACACAACTTTTTTTAATCCCTGCCAGCCGCGTTGTCACTGGTTGTTGGAGAGGGGAATACAGAACTAACCCACCCCATCCTCTCGCCAAGGGACACTTTTAGGCGGGATGGTTGAAGACAGGGAATGACGGACGACGGCATATACGGGGGCTCCTTGAGGCCTAGCGAAGTGAAAGACGGGCAAGCTCACCTTTATTCATTGGAATTAAAATCAGAGAAGATTGAGTACTCCATAGGGGGAAGCCGGAAATCAATCTCCCGCGATAGCAGTATTCAACTAAGAGCTCCCCCTGCCTTCCCGACGGATTCTCAATAATGAACTACATACAAATATTCCTTCAAGGGTTTGTACTGATGCCAGAAGATGCAAACTCGACAAACTCCTAGAATGACTGAAAAGCAAACAGAGCAAACACCTACCTCGGGCTCTGGATCGTTGACAGGCGGCAGTGTGTAACCAAGCACCGATGATGGCAAGACATTCTTTCTATATGCACATCCCTAGCAATCTTTTCCAGGATATTTTTGAGAATCAAAATGACGGCTTTTAATTCCCCATCGTCCTAACCAGGCTATTCTGCGATCCCTTCGAGCCTAAGAAACCCTTACCCGGGCGTCGAGAGAGGGAGGAGGCGGCGGAGGCGTAGTGGAGACCCATCGCTGTCCATCCCTCGCAAAGCGACTTTCATCCGCTCGTCGATTGAAGAAGCTATCCCTTTTTCTTTGTTTGCTTTTTCCGCCCCCCTCTCAATCCTAAACTTTGCGACCGAAATGGGAAATCTCTGTTCAAAGTCCTCCAATCCCTCGGACCCTTTTGCCCAGCCGGGCCGGGTGCTGGGTACCTCTCCTGATTCTGGACCCTCGAGTGCACCTGTCCCTCAGAAGCAGACCATATCAAGGCCAGCGGTTAAAGGTGGAAAAACACTTGGTGGTAGCGGTAGTACGAGCGATCAAACCGTCGAGCCGCGCAACGCTGCTGCTCGAGCTGCGGAGGTGTGTTGACATAGTTGATTCCTTTTCCGACAATGCCATCCCCCATCCCCGTATTTTGTTGATGAGACAACTTTTCCTTTGTCATTGTGTATATCCGCGCTAATTTGTTTTCTCAGGAACGAGCTGCGAAGCAGAACGCTACCGCAAACAAGGGTAAACTTGGTTCCCAGCTCGCAGCGCAAAAGGCGAAGACTCAGGGAAGGACTCTTAACGAGTTAAGCCAAACAGAACGCGCCACTAGGGATGTGGATGCTGCGGAAACTTCGAGGAGATGGGATTAATACGTAAAATACACTTTCTGTGTGCCATCAAACCCGAGAATATTTGTCTGGTATCGACGTTGGGGAATTGGACCATGGTTAGACAACTACGTAGCTGCAGCCACTGGGCATCGCCAGGCTTTTGTTATTTTGCTAAGAGCGCTTTTCCTTTGTAAGGGGTATGATTGAGATTTTTTACTCTGATGACAAGCACGATGTGTTGAAACTTGGGGATTAATTGATTGATGTTGCTGAGTTCGTCGGAATCTTCTGAAGGGCCCCAACTTTCATGCCTTGGGAGCACTCGTTATACTGTGACACAGTATCAACCTTTTTATAACGTTGGATATGTTTCTAGTGAAGATAATTACATGTTTGGAAGCTGTGAATATTTTATCCACCGTTCGGAGCAATTGAGGCGTCGTATCGTGTGAGGGGAGGAAGAAAGGAAAAGAGGCGGCGTGCGAGGCTGTGAATTTCAAGCATGCCTCCAATATTATTGAGAGGAATATAGGTATCTAATGCTGCACAAACAATTCTATAAAACATTATACCTCCCGCTCGCTGGAGCTCGTGCCTCGCTGTCCGCTGCAGCAATTGTTCCTTCTTTCAATAACCGCATAAGTTCACGCATCGCATTCGTAACAACCAATTCCGTGTCTCCCTCAACTAAGATATATAGTTTCGGATTCTCATTAGGTCCTGGTTCCTTGCCTGGTGGATAATAGCTACCTTTTGTCGTGATCGAGGTACCCGTAGCTTCAAGGATTTTGGCAACATTAGTCCGATTGGTAACCGCCCACCTTGCTTTCTCTGCAAGTCAATGTTAGCGGATTTGCGTGTCATAGATATGAGGGATAAAACGGAATAACTTACGTGGAAAGTCATTAATTTCAAGAGTAGCATGGAAAGCTCCGGCATCGGGACCCTTGTTGTCAATTGGCACACCCGACCTCATAACGCCCGCCTTGTTCAAACGGGCGTGGATATCGGCAACTGCGGAGCCAACTTTATCAAGAGGGTTAGTACCCGTAGTGGATGGCGTAGCTCTTTCGGTCTTATGAACCGTAATCTTCCCGTCAAGGTCGATTCCTTTAGGCACACCAGGAGTAGCGCTTGGTGTCGGAGCGGACGAAGACTGTACCGCTGAGGCAGCCTTGGCAAAGAGCTCCTCTCCCTTGTCTTTCTCCTTCTTCTCCTTCTCTTCATCCTCTTCACCTTCTTCGCCAGTCTTATACGTCTTTCTTTCACGATTCCGTGCGGCATCGCGCTCCTGATCAAGTCGCTCCAGGCCTTTGCCACCGAAGCCGGAAGCACTAGCTTTCTCTTTCCCGGATTTAACTTTCTCGAGGAAGGAGTCCACCATCTTTTGGACGGCTTCGGGTACCGACTGTCCACTCTGTTTCAGAGCTTTTGCTATATCGACGGAATATCGCTCCTGTTCTTCAGTCAAGAAAGTAACAGCCGTTCCAGTGTTGCCTGCACGACCAGTGCGCCCCGCCCGGTGAACGTAATCTTCAAGATGATTTGGTGCATCATAGTTGATAACCAATTTCAGCTGTTTGACGTCCAACCCGCGTGCAGCCACAGACGTCGCAATTAAGACTGGAAAAATGCCAGCTTTAAAATCATCGATGGTAGAATCGCGATCAACTTGATCTTTCCCACCGTGAATTGACATGCACGGGTATCCTTTGCGCATGAGGTCCCGAAGTAAGCCATCGGCCGCCTCTTGCCGATCCACGAAGATAAGAGCGCGAGCATCTTCATTGTTGTCATCCGAGTAAAGATTACCAAGGAGCTCGAGTAATCGGACAAATTTTGTATTTTCCGGCCGAACTTCGACGATCTGAGTTATCTCTTGTGCAACAACGCTGCGTCCACCGACAATGATTTCAACTGGCTTGGTCAATGTTTTTCTCGCAAGAGCTTCCATATTACGAGGAAACGTCGCCGAAAAGAGGACAGTCTGTCTCGAAGGTCGGATATTGCTGATGATTTTCATCACCTGGGGCTCAAAACCCATGTCAAACATTCGGTCAGCTTCATCCAACACTACGTACGTTACCCTTCGTAGATTAGTCACTCTCCCGGAATTAGCAGCTAGCAAGTCAATCATCCTTCCTGGAGTGCACACAATAATCTCTGCACCACGCTTTAATTCCGCAATTTGATCTTTGATGGGCGCACCTCCATACGCACAGACGGCACGAAGGTTCAACGCTTTTAAGAACGGCTTACATTCCTTGTGGATTTGCGTTGCCAGTTCTCTAGTTGGGGTCATAATCAACCCAACGGGACCCTCCATGTTCTCAAGTGGCCGTTGATCCTTGATATGACGGAACATGGGCAACAAAAAAGCGATTGTTTTTCCAGAGCCAGTCTTAGCGACACCTATTACGTCTCTTCCGGACATGATGGCCGGAATAGCTTGCGATTGAATCGAGGTTGGTTGCTCATAACCGAGTTTCCGAATGACGTCCAGGGTTTGGACTCCTAAACCACACTGCGACCACTTTTGCACAGGTTTTGGTACGTCGACACCCCGAACCTTTATTCCATCCAATTCTAGCCTTAGAGCGGCGACCTCTTCATCGTTTAGCTCCGCCAAATCCACAGGCTCCGTATAGAAGCTCTTTCGGAATGGTTCATAATCAATCTTTTCGTGATTGACAGTGGGTAAATCTTTCTTCTTCCTGGTTTTACTCGTTATAGCAAGGAAATCATCCGCTTCGAAATCCATTGCCTTCAAATCCACATCATCCTCGTCCCCAAATATTGCTTCGGGTTCCTGTTTAGGTTTAGAAACATTTTTTCGATATTTGGATGCGTCTACCGTCACTGAATCTTTTAGACCAGACATAAAGGCATCCAACGGGTCGATTTCCTCCTCATCCTCCACATCCATAGGTTCGGCTGAGCCATTCTGGTCAGTTTCTAACGTTTCTGGTTGCTGTTCTGGTTGTGACTCTAAAGCTACAGTCTGATTTTGCAGCCTTTCTTCGCGTTTTTCCGCCGCAGCCCTCGCCGCAGCAGCGTTCTCTTCCTCTGTGCCGCCATCCTGCATGTCGATATCGCCGTCGTCATCTTCTTCCTCTTCAGCACCATTGACGGTTCCATTGGGAGTATCGTTGTCCTCGAGTGAAGGATCGGGAAGCTTCATTAACTTTTTGCGGCTGGATTCTTCGTCACCAAAATCCAACGCGCGTTTGTGAGACGTCTTTTCCAGTTCAGCAGCTGACTTGGCGCCGAAGCCAAAGCCACTAACGTTGCCTTGAGGCTTTAACGGAGCAATTCCTAGAGCAAGAGAAGTCAGAGATCAACATTCGCACAGTAGCTAGGCGAATGGTACAAACTTTACTTACGGGTAGAATCGGCCCCATTGCGACCAGCAACTTCAGAAGACGTAGTAGTATTAGGGACTGCGACATCATTACCAAGCAACGAAAGACGCTCTGGTTGGGTTGCAGCATTTTTGGTAATCGTTTTGGGATCAAACTTCTTCGCAGATGCGGACTCGGATTCTTGTGGCGCGGGTGTTTCTTGCGACACACCTGCCTGCCTTAACGTGGATCTTTTATCAATCTCAGCAAGAATGCTTCGTGCACCACCTGCAGCTGCTAGTTCTTTTTGTTTTCGCTCTTTTTCTGCAGCCTGCTTTTGTTTCCACGCCTCCAATTTCGCGAGCCGTTCGGCCTTCTTCTCTTCATCTGTTTGTGCGATAGGCGGGGCAGGTGTAGAAGGTTTGGAGACCTGGCACTGTTTGTTAGCCAATGAGTATTAAAGTTCAATGGAAGAAACTTGCCTCACGAGACTTTCCAATGGAATCCTTGCTGGAGACGCGGTCTCTGCTTTCATTCCGTTTGGCTATTGATTTGGAATCGGCGGAATCGTCCCTTCGTCGCCTGTCGCGGCTCCTGTGGCGATATTCTCTGCCATCTTCGCGATCCCGTGAGTGGTACCTTGGTCGTGACCGATCCCTCCTGCTTGGGCGGTAGGAAGTATCATCACGTACATCATCTCTGTAATCTCGTCTATCTACCGAGCGATCTGACTTTCGATAAGTATCTCGATCGCGTTCTCGATCACGTCCACGCTCGCGATCCCGTACTCTATCACGGTCACGATCCCGATCTCGATCTCGGTGTCGATCCCAGTCTCTGTCACGATGTCGCCTCTGCCAAATGACAATATTGTTAGTGTTGTTCAGGAGACGCAATCCCGTCTGTGGTCCTACCGGAGGGCTTCGCGATCTCCTGTGGCCCCTGCCATCATCGCGGCGGCTTCTATCAAGATAATCTTCGTTTCTTCGACTTCGTTTCGACGATGAATGAGTGCTGCCTACTGGCGATGGTGAGCGAGTCTCTCTGGCCATTTCCGTAGGCCAAATCCTAACTTTTTCTTGGAGGTATATTTTACAGACGCGAATTCACCAAAGCTATCTGCCTGTGGTATGATCCAAATAGTCCATAAAGCAATTAAGGGCTTAGAAGGTATGCCCAAGAGAATTGTGAACGGTGAAGCGAGTTGCGAGAGAAAGAATCGACAGGCCGGAGTGGCGCCGCTTCTGATGGACGACACGAAAGTGACGGAAGTTGGGTAGGCGGCGAGGCGAGATAGAGTTTGCCTTACATAATTGTCGGATTCTGCCACGCGAGTTCCACGCTAGACTTTATTAGGCTAGGCTCGATTGTACTCGACCCGCGCTTTCCTGGTTCCAGCAATATATGATCATCCTCGCCCAAACAAGCCAACCTCCTTGTTTTGGGTATGTCAGGATGAGCTCATGGATCATCAACACACCGCTGATTTGACATACAAGAGCTCTGTGCACGCATCCCAATTGACGATATTTAAAACCGGAGTCCAATATATTTATTTACAGTGAACTGCCGGATATCAGGTGAAGTCACCAATTTAGTGTGCGTGTGTGTGCGGATGGTCACCAGCAGAGCTGACTGGTTCCAAGGGTTATCATGAACTCCATTCTCTCGCGTGGCGGACCAACCGCTATTCGTCGTGTTGGTGCTCATACAGTCCAGCAATTGACCTCTCTTGCGCGTAATTCCAATGGAATTCGACTTTCGACAGCGGTTTGCAAGGCCAAGGTCGTGGTCCTTCCATTCCGTCTCAGGAACACTTATGCGACTGCAGCTCGACCCAAAGCACACACTGGGCGAGCTGTCGCCTCCAAAACTACCAAGGCGAAGAAGCCTGCGGCGACACAGGCAAAGAAGAAGCGCACAACCAAGACCAAAACTGCTACTGGAAAAAAGCCGCAGAGGAAGGCTCTGACGGATAAACAAAAGGCACAGTTGGAGAATAAAAAGCGGAAACAAGAAATCAAGGATCTGAAGCTTGTAGCTTTATCGCCGCCCAAGATGCTTCCGAACAACTCCTTTGGCCTCGTACTCCAGCAGGTAGAACTCGGCACCGTAGCGCAACGGACCGAAGCCTACAGAAAGATGTCGGAATCAGAGCGCGAAGTAGGTGTTGTACCTCTTCTTTGAGTTTAATCAAAATGCTAATTGTGCTGCAGCGCCTTCGGGAAGCAGCAAAATCAAACGCGGAAGCGAACAGAGCGACATTTGAAGCCTGGGTAAAGAACCACACACCGCTTCAGATCAAGGAGGCGAATAATGCTCGACGAAAGCTTAGAAACTTGCTGGATAAACCACGCTCATTCCCAGATATTCGCGACCCCAGACAGGTCAAACGACCTCTGAGCGCGTATATCATTTTTGCCAAAGAACAACTAAACAGCGCAGAGCTCGCTAATCTAACAGTGACAGAGAAAATGATGCGTATTGGCAAAAGCTGGCGTGATATGACGAAGGCTGAACAGGAGGTATGGATATTCCCAGTATTGTGTATATTGCTCAGTGGAAAGTATCTGCAATATCTAATTATATATTCTATTAGAAATATCACCGACTACATGCGAACGCAATCCGTCAGTACGTCAATGAGTACGAATCGGTCTATGGCGAACCTCCAAAGCGCGCGTCACCCGAATAAGAGATGTGGTATCATGGTTAATAGCGATGCAGGTTATTAGGAATCAAAATTCTTAGATCTGCGTCGAGTGGATTATTTCTCATCTACTCTGTTCGACCCTGTGGCATGATATCATTATGGGATCGCACAACTTCTGGCAATGGTGTTCGTATGCTGTATTTTGTTTTCTTTGTGTTCTGGTCTGTTTGATGGCTTGTAACTTGTGCAAAGGAGCCCCGGTGGAATCGAATGGCGTAGCCCCAATTACTATATTTTAAGAAGATTAGGAATAATTGGGCTGGTGATTTGCCCGTTGTATTATGACATTCCGCTTTATTTGCCGAGCTCAGATTCTAAACTACGCTGCGTGCCGTTCTATTCTCGACCATGGTAGTTCTGACTCATAGAAAGAGCACCCTTTTGGAGAAACTGTTGAATTGTCGAAAACGTGTTGGCTGGATGTACTCGAGGTAGCCTCTATAAAAAGTTGTTGACACACGATTGGGGGACATCACTTCAGCAATTCTTTATGTACCGAATGTGGAATGCTTTCTGACCGAAAAAGAGAAGGAATCTTTGATCCTGCTTTTCATTTAGAATTTTCAATTTTTAATTTTTTTAATTTTTTTTTAATTTTTTTCAAATATTTTTTCTGGGATGCCTTCATCAATCCAGGTGCCAGCATAGCTAACTATGTGTGTTCTGCAGCTGAAATTTCTTGTGTTGTGGATCATCCTCGTCCCAAAGCAGCGGTGAGAAAAGAGCCCGGGATTTCGACCCAAGTTTCCGAGATCTGTCAAACTGCAAATGGAGCGCGCACTGGCTGCCTAGTGATGGTTGTCAACGGACAAGTATCCTGGTACTCCACACTGCGCAGTCAGCCCCAATGCCAAAGGTCCTTCCCGCCAACCTCATTGCTTGACAGCGGGCGCACGGAGTACAGGGGAACTCGTTATGCATGGACACATATGCGTGTACGGAGTAGAAGCAACAGCACTAGAGGGATGCGCTGGAACCTACATATCAACGTCTGTGGTAAGCCGCTCTGATAATACTGGGCTGGGCATCAGGCATCCAAACGAATCCACTGTAGTCCGCTGTCATGCTTCGCGATCGGAGTCTGGTAAGGCTTGCCCACAGGCGACGGAGCCGAACATCGGGTTACGGGAGCTTCCTCGTTCCAAGGGAACGCGTGGAGCTAGTGCCGTGCCAGATCCAGGCTTGACTGCGATTTGCACAGGGCACAAACGGAAACTGGTTTAACATCCCGTCCAGCCGTACGGTCCACGGTATTGGCCTTTTGATGAGACATTGCGGTGCTGCAAAGGATGAATGTTGCCCACTGTTCACCTTGCAGCGAACGAGTCAACTCTTCGGTACGCACATGCTTAAATAATATATCGGGGCCTTCTCTCTAGACAAAAGGCTATACGGAGCGTTGCTGTTAGCTATGTGCCCGGCGCTCCAGATTGACGTGATGGAGTTGAAGAGTAGAAAAGAATCACGCGCATTGACGGGCTAAGGTGGGGTTGCCTGTCAAATCACGGCGTGCAGATGATGAGGTGGAAGACAATTGGCAGCCTTTTGGTGTCCACCGATTGTCCCGCCCGAGAATCATTGCATTCCAACTTCCCCGTTGGACGACAGTCAGACCGATACAAAATCAAGGTAATTATTCAATTTTCCTTTACTTTTGCCCCTGGTGTCAAGAAATCGAGTTGGACTTGAGCGTAACTCACAAGAGAGTCCTCATCCTGTTCTCTAACTATTTATCTAAAGATCCTTAATTAAAATTTCGATCCGTCCGAGTTCAACTTCCCCAATTTCTCAGGGGAGGGATTTTTTTAGCAAGGGTAGTCGGCTACGACCGCCCCGTCGAGGGTCAGATGGTCGTCGCGAACAAAACACCTTGACGATTCCCAACCTTTTCAGTGGTTGGTCCCTGCGTGAAGTCGTCTCCGGCCGGATGCTTGAGACCCCCAATCACCAACAATCGCAACCCTCGAAGAATCACCCAGTCGCCAAGTTCCGGCCGTGCTTCCCACCACACCATCCTTATTTATTTTCTAACTGGTCACAAGTCCATATTGGACGCATCTGAGTGGCGGACTGTTTGAATGGTGCAATGCTCCAAAGGTAAGGATAGTTGCTTTTTTTTTTTTCCTGAGGACAAGCAGCGCAAAGGGAATAAAGGAGAGAGTCAGTCGAGCACGTAGCTACAGGATACCTTTGTGACTACACAGACGCTCTTTGAAGCGGTCTAAACGATCTGGAAACCCTGTTGGTACGGCTCCAGGAGAAACATACCGCTTTGCGACTTTCCATATTCTGGTTGCTCGGTGATTTTTTTACTTTGTTTACTTGGATCCTGATGCGCAGCCTGTTTCACGTATCGTTATTCGCTCACCGACATATCATTAATTTTTTGCGCCTCAGCCTCGTGAAAATATCGAGTAAAAGCATCGGTGCTCTCTACTGAAATTCCTTGCAAGCACTTCCGCTCAGTCATGAACGTTGCCATCGTGTGATCTCTCTGCCAGCGGGCCCCTCCGAGCGACGATTTACAGAGTCACCCCACACCTCGTCTCTTGGAAAACGAAACTTTGCATAACAACCTCCCTCGAGACAAGGGGCTGGATAGCGATCTGGCGAAAACAGAGCTTTTTTCCAAGAACGTCCTTACTTCACCGGCGGAACTCAGGATCGAGTGTTGTTCCCCGCCCGCCCTCAGCAGGACGCCGCGCCCCGCTCCGCGCCCGGTTCCCTTATGTTTCCACAAACACTGAAAGACTGCCTATAATTGTTACTCACTTTGACCTGCTTTGACGCATATGCTCAGCTCAAAATTTGGCTTGTTTCTTGCATCTGATCTGGATAATATAACGTGGTGATCGGGAAGCTGACGGTATCTTTGCTAGTTCTGAATATCCTAGCACCATGGACTATGCCCTCCTAGCTGGCTTTCCAAACGACGTGCATCCCATATACCCAATAGTAGAGAAGCGGAGAACGGGTCTTTCCTGCGAAATTTCCGAAACAAAGTTCTCCATACCCGACTTTATGTCGCCTAGAAACTGTTTTCTTTTTGACAAGCAAGTGCTCACGGTACGCAAATGCAGAGGTTGCGTCGCATTCCTCGCGCCCTGGATTTCCGTTTCCGTTCTCGCGTCTTGAATTTAGACGAAGTCCCTAACTTCGGATGTCTCCCTCGTATTATCGCATAGAGCTGATCTTTCGTTCCTTATTTTTCCGACTTTATATTGCATGCTTCTGTTTTCTATCCCTTTTAGCCTGTTGAGTGTTATTTCTACTGTCGCAGAGAGACAACATTGCTTTGAATTATAGTGGGATCTCTAACCGCGCAATAGGCTCCCTTGCATGGCCGCCACGTTTCATTCCTGAAAGTATCCGCTTTGCTTGAAGAGCTTGAATCGTTTTTGAATCATCCCCCAGAGTCACGTTGTACGGTCTCCCCCCCAACTTATTCCGATGCTCTCAAAGATCTTCCGCCTGGATACACTGTGGAGGACGCTCCTCGATCACGAATCGAGACTTTAGACTCCGCGACTCTTCCCGCTAAGAAATGCACCACATCCGCAGAGAAATCAATTTTATGTAAGGAAGTCAAGCGGCCTATCGATTGGAATGATCCGTCCCGCTTCAGAGAATGCGCCAAAGGTAAAAAGAAGAAAAACAACGGTAAAAAGCAAACCGGTAACTCTAACAACAAAGGCGGTGGAAATGATGAGCCACCACCACCAGAAGAGAATGACCTCCCTGAAGGAGGCAACAATGGCGCTGGTGACGACGGCGGTAATGGTGACGACGGTGCGGGGGGAGGAGGAGAAGGAGGAGGTGATGATGAAGACAACGAAGACTGGATGACGAGTAATAGCAAGAAGAGTAAGAAGAAAAAGAAAGCCAAAAAGGAAGAGGAGGAAGAAGAAGAAGAAGAAGAAAGGAAGCGAAAAGAGGAAGACGAGGAGGAGCAGAAAGCCAAAGACGAGGAAGTGGTCTGCCAGACAGACGATCTCAGCTGGGCAGACGCCGATGGCGCCGCCCAAGACGATGGATGGGCAGAGATTTCAGCTCCAAAGAAAAAGAAGAAGGGAAAGGCAGGAAAGGTAAAGTACAGTTCGGCGCGATGCATAGCGTGCATCTCCCCAGATTATTGCATCGGCTAACTGGACAACGATTTTCCAGGCCTCGGAGCCTCCTCCGGCTGAAACCACACAATCAAATGGCTTTGAGAATATCAGCCTAGAGGATTCTGCACCCCAATCTGATATGCCTCTTACCCAGCCATCTGGGAACAGCTTTGGTTTGAACGCGTGGGGTAAAGGTTGGTACTCCGGTGAGCGTTTCGGACATGGAACTGAGGATGGAACATCAACAGAAGATCCTGTATCCACTAACCCGTGGTCTAAGCCTGGGAAGAAAGGCAAGACTTTCGCCGTCTCTAATGCTTTTGAGATTGGTTTTGGAGACATGGAAAATGATTTCAATGCTACTCCTCCCACCAACGGTGATAATTTTGGAGGAAACACTGCGGATGATCCTTCCTGGGAGACTCCCGTGACAAATAAGAAGAATAAGAAGAAAAAGAAGGGTGCTGTTGTAGAGAATATCTTCGAACAAATCCCTGCAGCAGATGAGAACAAGGCAGATGCGATTCCAGAGGACGCAACGGCGGTAATCGACCACGAAACCAACGCCCAAGCGGAGGAGGTCGAAGATTGGAGCGGTTGGGCTACAACCACAAAGAGTAAGAAAAAGAAAAAGAAAGGGGTGGAAATTGTAGATCTAGAGCCCGAGGAACCTGCTCCTCCGCCTGTTGAACCAGAACCACCAGTAAATGATGCCTGGTCTGTTTCAACCAAAAAGTCCAAGAAGAAAAAGCAGGGAGCGGCTATTGAAGAAGTTCCAATAGAGCCGACTCTCGAGACAGTCCCGGAAGTGAATATCGAAGCGAACGCCGAGGTAGGGGACGACACTTGGCCGTCTTGGGGTACTACAACGAAAAAATCCAAGAAAAAGAAGGGTAAAACCTTGATCGAGGAGGAACTATCTCCGCCCCCCGCTGTGCCGGAAGACCCTGCTCCGGATCCAGAACCCGTCGATGACCTTGTCGCCTGGGCTACATCCGGTAGCAAGAAAGACAAGAAGAAAGCGGCGAAGGAAACTCCTGCGGTGGAAGAACCCCCAACACCAACTCCAGAGCCCGGGAAACCCACTGAAACTACCGCAGATGGTGATTGGGGTGGCTGGGGAATGGCCACCAGCAAGAAGAGCAAAAAGAAGAAGGGGAAGGCAGGTGTCGAAGAAATTCCTCCTCCTCCGCCTGCTGAAGACCCCCAGCCAGAACCAGATGCCAGTCCCGAAATTGTTCCTGAGCCTGAGCCTGAGCCTGAACCGGAGCCGGTTACGGTAGTTGAGCCATCTCTCGACGCAGATTCTCAGCCCGTTAATGAATGGACGTGGGCCACGGCGAATGTTAAAAAGAAGAAGAGTAAGAAAGGGAAGGAGCCAGTAGTGGAAGATCCGCCTCCGCCGCCGCCGCCGCTAGACCTTGCGCCTGAACCGGAACTTACATTTGAACCTGAGCCGGAGCCTGAATCGCAATCTCAACCGGTAGATAACTGGTTCACTCCAGCCCCGAAGAAGAAAAAGGGGAAGAAGTCTAAAGCGCCGGTTGAGCCAGATCCTCCTCCGGTGGAACCAGAACCCGTGCCCGAGCCCGAACCGGAGCCTACGCCCGCGCCCGAACCTGTCATAGAACAAGTTGATGATTGGGGGGCCACGGCGACCATAAGCACCAAAAAGAGCAAGAAGAAAAAGGGGAAAGGAGTAGTCGAGGAACCTCTTCCGCCGCCGCCTCCTGACCCAGCTCCCGAAGAGATAGAGCCCAAGCCCGAGCCCGAGCCCGAGCCTGTATTAGTGGACGACTGGGCCGGATTTACCCTTAGCAAAAAGAAGAAAGGGAAAAAGGGAGCCATTGACCCGGCGCCCTCGAAAATTGAGGATATCATCGAACCACTGCCCGAAGAGAGTAGTGCATTTGTTGACGCTCTCTCAAGGAAAGAAAAGCGCAAGGCCAGCAAATCGGCTGCTAAGGGTGAAGTAATAACCGAAGACCCCCCGATTTTGGTCGATCCTATTGATGCTACTGGTGATTTAATGGGTGATGCATTGGCTGAAGTAACGAAAGTAGACACTTCCAAGTCCGAGGGTCCCAAGGAAGAGGACCCATTGGCCGACTGGACGGTGGGGAGTAAAAAGAAGGACAAAAAGAAAAAGAAGAAAGGAGATCAGGCCCCCGTGTTGGAATCTGAGCCCGTGCCCGTGCTCAATGAAATGGAAAACACTACTGCCGATGACAGTTGGTTTTCCTGGGACAAGAAGAAGGACAAGAGCGGAGACAAAGGGGTGGGCTATGTGGACAAAGATATTGACTTATTGAAAGATGATGCACTGGATGGAAGGAATGGGGACGCAGATGGTGATTTGAAAGACAAAGCCGCTAAGGATCTGGACATCGGGAACCTCGAAGACAATTCGGGACCACCTGCAGCTTCGACAGATGCCTGGGATTTCTGGGGGTCAAAGAAAAGAAGTAAAGGCAAGACCGCTAAAGCGAAAAACCCTGACATTGACGTGCACGCGTTTGAAATTCCGCCTTCGACTGACGAGCCAACCCTGAGCATCTGGGCACAGGACTGGGGTCTTTCTTCAAAAGAGAAAAAGGAAAAGGACAAGGAAAATGAAAATGAAATAACGAATCGGGGTATCGACAACGATATCACGAGCCCTATATCTACAGAATTGGTCCCCCGGGCCGCAGAAGACAACTCATGGGATATCTGGAACGTGCCCAAAAGCACGAAGAAGAAGAAAAAGAAGGCCAAGGATGAAGGCCAGCTTCCCCCGCCTGCCCCTACCCCTCCAGCTCAAGGATTAGATCCCGAACCACCCATAATTCCAAGTTTTGATGATACCGGACATACTACGTGGGATTCATTTAGTGGCTTTGGTGGTCGGGGAGTGAAGAAAGGGAATCTTTCTCGAACGACCACGTCGACCTCCCAATCAGCAAATATCGAGAACATCAAATTAAGCAAGACGAAAACTCGAGGGCTGGAGGTTGTCGACGTTACTGACGAACCCGGGACGGTCGCCGAAGCAGACGCGAAGGGCAGCAAAGCAAGCACGGGCATCTGGGGCGGATCTACGGCCGCCGGCAAATCGAAGGCGTCCAAGTCGAAGCGAGAGCCAGCAGACACGCTCGACGACGGCGTGACCAGGACGGCCAGCAAAGACGGCGCCAAGCCCGCCGACGAACTGCTCGTGGACGCGCCCGAAAAGGCTAGTGCGGCTGCCGCTGACAAAGCAGAGACGCCACCCCGGCCGACGACCTCCTCGCCGCCGTCGACTGCTCGACCGACCGCAAAGTCGTCGGTGGCAGAGAGAATCAGGATCCTCGAGCAGAAGAAAAGGTTGCAGAAACAGACCGCTGCAGCCAGGGAAACCGAAAGGGCGTTGGAGATCCCAGCCCCGGCCCCAGCCCCGGCCCCAGCCCCAGAACCCGCCCCTGCAGCCGGCCCGCCCGCCGACGAACCAGTGGAACCGGCCGCCCAGGAACCACCAGACGCACCCGCTCCACCAGAGCCCGACGCTGCGCCAGCAGCAAAGTCCGCGCCCGCCCCGTCGAAGAGGACGAAGAAGAAAACCAAAAATATCCCTGTCCTTGATCTCCCCCCGATCGAACACTTCGAAGCTCCACGCGATTCCGTTCCCGGCAGCTTTCCCGGGGCTGATGATGACCTAGTCGATGTTTCGTTCTCTGCGCCTGGTGCACCCAAGTTGGAAGCAGTAGAATTCCCAGAATCGTCCACAGAGGGTAAGAAGGATCCCGCGAGAAAGGAGAAACCCGACTCTGACATGGCGTCCCCACCTCCCTCGCCTCCAGCCCAGGGCGAAAATGAACGCGAATCGGCTCCCGTAACTCCGACCCCCAAACCCGCGAAAAAGGAGCGTGCGAGAGTGGAGCGTACAGCTGGGGCCACGTCGTGGGGTTTCTGGGGTGCTGCCACCAGGAAATCTCCCAAGAAGGAGGGAAAGGGCCCCGGCGAAGGTGAAGCTTCCGCAACCCCGAAAAGGGGTAACGACAAGCCTGAACCTGCTCTAAAACGATCGAAATCCTCTGCAACGAGACGAGAAAAGTCTGCTAGCCCGGAAAAGAACGACAAGTCTTCCACTTCCGACAAAGAAAAAGAGAAACGCGCCGCGTCCCGTCCCCGGCCCAGCAGAGGGCTAAGCTTTTCCGGGTTTATGCTTGGAGGTCCTCCGCCGGCAAGAACAAAGTCTGCTAGACGCAATGGTAACACATCTTCCCGTCCCACATCGCGCCGTCAGTCCATGAACCTAGACGATTCCGGCCTGATATCCTCCGTGGAAGATAAACCAGAAGCTCCAAGCAAAGCGGCGAAAGTCATGGGCATTAACAACTCAAAGCCCTCGAGGCGAATCTCCAAAAGCAAGAAAAGGTCTTCAGGTATGTGTCTTGTTTCCACTGATATAGTTTACATCGTCTAATGAAAACTGTAAGCCCCCGCGGACCCTTATGCGATTGATGACGACGATATTGTAATGGTCAACGGGACAGGTGACCTTGACGCTCCGAGACCGAAGGCTCACCGGGAATCTCGCAGTAGGCGTAGGTCTAAGAGAGAGGTAAACACCCCCTTTTGTTCCCTCTCCATACTTGGGAATATCGCTAAGGCCCTTTTAAAAATTTCAGCTGAAGGCAAAGGACATTGAAACGCCAGACGATATGGTCATGGTCGAGCCCGGTTCTTCTGGTCATAGCCCAGAAGTTATCTCTGGACCGGATGACATTGCCTTTGTTGAAACCCCGCACAGAGAACGGTCGTCACTGCGCCGGTCCACTACCCTACCAAAGAAATCGGAAGGGCTCTTAGGCCTCCTTGGCTCTTTTAGAAAGAATGGTGGTCGTGCGTCCGAGACCCGAGAGCGGGGTAAATCGAAATCTCGCCATGACGAAGATGGTAGGAGACACACCGATACAGAGAGAGAAGACTCAAGGCGTATGAAGCGAGAAGAGAAGAGAAGACGGTCACCTAAAATTGACACCGATGGCGATGTATTTATGGGTGCTCCGAATACAGACGTCGAAGACACTGATGCTCGGAAAGCCGAAAGAAGGGCGAGAAAAGCCGCTAGAATGGTTGCTGAACAAGAAGCCCGCGAAGCCGAAGAAAGGCGTGCTAGCAGGAGAGATAGCGAGAAGCATCGGACACGCGAATCCCGTGAAAAACGCGGTAGAGAGGAGGAAGAGCGAGACGATAGGCGGCGCAGGGAAAAGAAGGCTCGACGGAGCTCTCGGGTTCTTCAAGATGAGCGGCCAAGGGACAGGGATGACCTTGAGCAGGCGGAGCCACGAGTTTCACACAGACGCCACAAGCATCGGGCGCCCGAAGGTGACGTTAATGGCGAAATTCAACAAGAATCAAAGTCCCGCCGCCGCCGATCATACGTTGGCGAGAAACGTAGGGAAGGTTATCCGGATGAATACGCAGAAGATGAATACTATCGTCGGCGTCATCATCGGCCCGATGACGAAGGCGCAAAACCCAGGCGTCGGAAGTCCACGACTACGCCACGAGGAGACGAGCGCCATACATCTCGCAGGACTCGATCGTCTCGCCGCCATCCCGATGTGCCCTACCCCGTTATGGTTAGTGGCGGGAAGGACAAAACATCATCTTGGGTTCAGTCTCAGTTTACCGACCCTCCTGAAGCACCGCCAATAGTTCCCACTGTCATTGATCTTCCCGCGCCACAAGGCCCCAGCCATTCCCTCTCTTCTGACGAAGAAGCCCGACGAGCAATATTGCACCGTCGCTCACGACGTCATTCCAAGTACGGCGACATGTTACCCCCAGAAAAGGAAAGGCGCAGCAGGCGCCGCGAGTCTCGTAGGGCGGAAAGAGATACAATGAGAAGCAGTGATGACAGTGCGGGCATGGACCGCTACGCTGACCACCGCTACGAATCTGATGCTCGCTATAACCATACCAATGGCACCACAAAGGTGACTAGCTGGTTCAAGAAGTTCACAGGATTTTGATGACGCTACGTTTTATGATTTAAGACATTTTATGTTTTGCATGTTTAAGAACTTGTGGTTTTTTTTTTTTTTTTTTATTTTTTTATTTCTTTTTCCGGTGGGTAGGTACAATAGCCCTCTTTCGGACATTCGGAAATACTTGGGAGGACTGGATTTGGCGTTATGAGTTTGGTTTTTATCTAATCTGACCAATTGGTCATGAAATGTTACGGTTCTTGGACTTCAGTCCGGAGCTTTCATGGACATTCATTCAACATCTGCGCATTATACCCCCTTTTCCTTGAAACTAATAATGTTATGTGTGGCCGGATTGTGGGTTTTATTTCTGTCATGTGGGAATACGTGCTCTGCTACTCTCAATGTGTATTTGTACCAATTTGTATGTATGTGTGTACATAGTTGTTGTATTTCATGATAATCCTGCTTGTACCCTGTTTATCTTCAAAAAATGGGATGCATGATCAGATATCATGTCACGCGGACATCCATTTGTCAGGGTCAAGTGGTGAAAAGACTTCTACAATAGCTGGATAAAATGATCAATTTCACTTTATAAGAGGATACTGGAGGAGTGGCTGCTGCCTGGCGCAATGCTTGGGCGCTTCTCTACCTGCCCAAGTGTACTCCGTATACATGCGAGATATTTTCTTACAACCCATGTAACAGTTGAATAAAATATTCTATTGTGACCTGGGCGGCAGATTCGCATAGAATCATAATACCAGAAACAAAAGAACAACATTCGAGAGCCAGCACATCATTCCACATAGGTAAAACGGAAACAACCAGGAGAAGCATATATCCGTCCGCGGCGCCATACTCTAATGCAAATCAAATTTCATTAAAAGAAAGAAAAACAAAAAGGAAGAAAAGCTTGCCAAAAAAAAAAAAAAAAAAAAAAAAAAAAAAAAAAGAAAGGAAAAGAACCCGGTCGATTTCCGTACAGGGAACGAATCCACTTTTGTTTGAACGTCAAGAGGAAGCAAAAATTCATCAATGACATTAGACTTGCGTTTCGCCAGGAAGCAGGTTGCCCCTGACAGCAAACATCTTTCCAGTAGTTGCGGAGACGAAACCATCGATTTGTCGAGAGTACTGCTCGACCTGTCTGGTGTTCAACATACTTTCGAGCCTGCTAGGTTCCTGTGGGAGTTTAAACAAGCGCTGCCACTCGTCTTCTGCAAGCAAGGGCTGCTTGAGCTGAGCGCGAGTCGCGTTCTCCGCTTTCCTCTTGGCCTGCCAGGCAGCGATCTTGGTTTGTTCACGGGCAAGGGATCGCTGATAATACTGGAAGTTGTTGTTCTCCGTGTGGTGGGTCTCAATGCTCTCGAGGAGCATGTCGCAGTTCTTCTCGAGGAACGGATCGATGCTCAGCGCGAGGTTATCGAAGTTCGGTGTAAGCAAAGAGGATGACGCAAGGGGGCCGTTGGTGAGAGCTGCAAGAGATGGGGGCAAATCCAGATTCTCTGCAGGAGGTGGTGACGGGAGCTGGTGGAGGTAAGACGTGAGCAGGTGAGAGTTGTGGATCTGAACCGGGAGTTCAACGAAGATATCTTGATATCGAAGGTTCGACTTTTGGAGGCTAGAAAGAGAAAGACACAGGAAATGTTAGCATGGAAGAATACTTGCCCCAGAAGAAAAGAAGGAAGGTGGGCAAGCATACTTCTCCGTGGTAAACTTATTTTCCTTGAATGCGGCCATGAACTGGGGTGAAAGGCGGAAAGCTCTAAGGCTCAAGGCTCCCTGTGAGCTTCGGCTAACATCATGTACGAGGGCGACGGTTCTCTCATTGAGCTCTTTCTGGTAAAAATATTGGTTTTCGATGATGTTCAGGTTGACGAAATTACCCATGTTCGCGCTCGTGTACCAGCCCACATTGTTTGCATCAATGTTAACCTCTCGCAACATCTTGATCATTTCGGATTGATAAACGGCGTTGGCTTTTGCGCGTGGAGCAGCAGCAGCAGCATTTGCGGGGGCGCCATCCAAATGAGAGTCTGCGGGAATATCCACTATGGGGAAAGGAAAGGCATTTGTGACCTCCAGCGTGCCTCGGACGTCCATTCCAACGAGCGATCCGGTTGCGGTTGTAGGGAAAAGTTGGGTGCTGTGTTTGATAATTTTCATCACCACCTTCAAAGCTGCCCATTAGCATTCGATATTTCCTGCGAGCTCATCACGGCCTGAATGATCCTTACCAGGGCCTCGACCTGGACGGCCTTGAATGGCTGTTCCTTTCTGAAAATAATCGTCAGTTCGATCAAAGCAAAAAATCAGGAAGGACAAGAACATACTCCGCCATGATGAAGCTGTTTTCGCCAAAAAGAAAAATTGCGAATTCGACAAGAGCAAACGTAGATGGCTGACCTGGTTCTGCGCTGCTCGTCGTCGCTCCTCTTCACTTGATTTGTGTGGGTGAAGTGAAAGTTTTCAGCCAGCGATCCCGGTCGCTAAGTCCCTTTCCAAAAGTAGTTTAGCGCAGTTTGGTGGAAGTATTAACTAACGTAATCCACAAGCGAGCGAAAAGATGATTTTTCAACTTCCTCAACCATCAACTTCAACGCGTCAGAATGCCACCAACTCGCAATAAAAATGCGAAATCCTCTATAGAAATAGAGGGCAGGATTGAACTTGCTATTTCTACTCTTAAAAAGCAAGAAATTAGCTCAATTGCTGAAGCTGCACGGCTATTTAATGTGCCTTATACTACCTTATATCATCGAGCAAATGGAAGACCTGCAAGAATCAGTCTACGCGCAAATTCAACCAAATTGACTGAGACCGAAGAAGATCAGCTAGTTCAATGGATCCTAGACCTAGCTAAACAAGGAATCCCCCCCCGACCGGCATCTGTTGAGAATATGGCCAATCATCTTCTTGCCATACGAGATCCTACCTCTCCTCCCCCCCGTGTTGGCCAGAACTGGGTGTCAAATCTGATTAAACGCCGTACGGAGCTCAAATGCTGCTATTCCAGACCCTATAATTGGGACCGAGCAAAATGTGATGATAGGAAGGTTATTCAGCAGCTGGATATTCAACTCCGAACCCCTACTCCCCCAGCTAGCCAATCTAGCAACTCCCGGCAGTTGCATACGCAGGTGGATAAGATCAAGAATCTTATGGGGCAGGAGCTTGAGAGCTCAACCCAGGGCTTAATGGAAGGATTTGACCAAATAATCAAGGCCTGCGAATATGGAATGGTCAATGCCACTATTATGAAGAAGCAATATCAGGATATATTTGCTACAAATGAGAAAGAGAAGCAAAAATGTACGAGATCTAAGCGCTGAATTCAATGTGAAGAAGGGCTAACTCAGGAAGAGATTGCTGAGGCCTCTATTTCATCTGCTCAACCTGTTGAACAGTCACTCAACTCTCTGAGCCTGCAGCCTCAGAGCCTGCATCACGTTCCCGGGCACCACCAAGGTGTACGAACTGCCATATTTTAGGCCATACAAGAAGAAGCTGCCCTAGTCCCATTGTAATGTAATTTAATCTTTCGCTCGCTTGTGGATTACGTTAACTACGGATAGTTAGTTATGTAATCTCACTTTTCCGTCCACCGCGCATCAGCACGTCGAGCCCCTCCAGCTGGGTCACCCCGCTTCGGAGCTGGACGCCCCGGGGGTTAGGAGGGGGTCAAACGGTCTTACGCCGGGATTCGATAGACCATTGAGGCTTTAGCCGTAGCCGGCCGGCGACATCCGCATTAGAATTCCCAGTGCGTATACGGGGTAGGCGTGTTTATTCCGTCATGGTTATTGTCCGGAATACGGCACACATTTTATCAAAGGAGCAAGAGACTTCCAAGTCCGGGAGCTCGTTTTCGACCCAATCCACAGCTATTTTTGGCCCCGGTCTTTCGCTCAAGTGACTCCACTGAATATGGCCAACCCTTCGTCCCTAGATGCTCCCGCGGCAGTGGAATATCATTATGGCGAGCAAAGTCTGCTTCAGTATCTGAGCGTTTATCTGCCTCGTCCGTTGCGCAATGAAGGATCCGAGACTGGATATTGGGTAATGTACGCAATGATTTCAATTCAACCTGGACTCACAGGTTTGCCGCTTAAGCTCACCAATTGGCGCAAGCTACATTCACGGTGGCGCATGGCGCGACCCAGAGATCCCAGCATCGAGCCTCGATATCACGAGACAAATGCTTTGCAATGGCGACCCGAGCATTGCGTCTGAGATAGCTGGATTTGCTTCTATCAACTATCGCTTGACACGCCATCCAAACTTCCCTCAAGATCCCGAATCCGTCGACCCGAAGCAGTACAGAGACGCCAAACACCCAGACCATATCACTGACGTCGTCAGCGCCCTTGCGTTCCTTCAAGCGAAATACTCCTTTGACCAACGATATGTCCTGGTTGGGCACAGTTGCGGAGCCACTCTCGCATTCCAGACTGTGATGCAAGAAATCGCAGGTGCAGAACCGGCTAGAAGCAAAATCGCACTCCCGTTGGCAATCGTCGGAGTCTCCGGGATTTACGACCTACGGCTCCTTCGGGATACAAATAGTCATCCTATCTACCAGCAGTTCACCGAGGATGCTTTTGGCAAGGACGAAGAGGTCTGGGACGGTGTGTCTCCCGCAAAAGTACAGGCTAGAGGCGTCGTTGAGGGCTGGAATACTGGCCGGCTGGCAGTGCTTGCCACCTCTAAAGGCGATGAGCTCGTCGACCCACCCCAACTCAAGGTTATGTGCGAGTTGCTTGGACGGTGGAAGGCTCATGATGGCCTAAATAATGCGAGAGAAGTGCTTATTATTGACGACTTGGAAGAATCACACAATGATATCTGGAAGAAGGGCGTGGAATTGGCGAAAGTCATCTCCAAAACAATTGAGACGCTCAAGGAAATGAACATACCGAATTAATAAGGCTCTTCTTGCCAACTATGATTACTTTTCCTTTGTCATTTCCCATGGGATTCTGTTAATTGAGATTCCATTTTGCTTATCTTACACCTCCCTATTTTGAACATCATTGCGATGCGTCTATTCTCGAACCCTGCACTTGATGTAATAGCCTAAGACATGGACACTTTACATGAAAAAAGCACACCTTGCTTTAGCACCTTTGAATATATCATCCCACCAATATTGCGATATCCCGTTACCGTCCTGCTTAGATATTCGACTCCATAACCCACACAGAAAGACTTTTGCGTCCCTTAACGTTAGGGTCCCTAGTGACCTGCTTAGAGTATGCAAAGCCTCACAAACAAACCTTCTACGACCAGCGTATCTCGGATCCATTGCCGCCTCAATGCCTGCGATAAAAATCGGCCAAATGAGGACTTTCTCCAACGCTTGTTTGCCCCTTTTCCCCTGAGACAACACGCTTCCGAGACGGTCGAAGAGGATCTGTCTCGCGACGGCTTGTGTTTCTTCAACGGTTACATAGGATACCATCGACTCCGAGGACCCCAAGGTACACGGAACTCTTAGCACCTCTTCGAGGGAGTCAAGGGCAAGGCTTCGAATGCAGTAGAGTAATACGGCTGCGTAGTACATGGTTGCTATTTGAATCCAATCATCCCTGGTTGGTTGGATGAAGCCGGATCTGGTCTCACCGATTAAAACATCCGCTGCGGTTTTGGAGTAGTGAGCGGACATCTTGTCGGCCCATTCGGAGACTGGGAAGGATATGATGCTTTGCATGACGGATTTTCCTACGGTTTCATCTGTGCCTGTGATTGACCGGATGCCATAGTGCCGGAGGGAGCGGAGATGGTTTATTTGAATAATGGCGTCGAGAAGCTCGTTCGGGCATATCACACATGTCTCCAACCCGTTTTGAAACATATCAGGTATGAGCGCGCAATATTCCAGCTGCCGGGTAGCTTCTGCCACGGGTAACGCCGCAGCAGTTGTTGCACTCATAATATCGGCCCTGGCGAAACGTGTTTCAGCACGGACATTTCGAGCTAGAGCTATACGGGGGAGGGGGTGGGAGGTGGGTTAACTAACAGCATGAAGTAAGCCAGGCTGCTTCTTAGACCTGGATTCTGCATGTAAACAGATCTGAGACCACCACGGAGATCGATTATCCTCCTGGCGCCTTCGCAATGGGTCCACCATTCACCCATGGCCGACCGCTGCATCTAAACGCAAGGAGTCAGCAAGATGCTCGGTGGGCTTGAACAGGGGGTTTCGCACCTCAGCCATGAAAAGAGACAGGACAGATATCAAGGTCACGTCGCCTAGTCGAGTCCTGGGATCTGTCATGTCCTTCGCCAGGATTTTGAAAGTCCGATCTTTGTACTGATAGATTTCTTTGCTAAATTCTATCTGGTCCGTGGGTTGCGAGCTCACAGCTTTGTGGGTAGCCACAACCGCGATAAGTATATTCCAAAAGAGATTGGTCGGGCCGTCTTGCCAGCTCGTTGGGTCCATTGCATGTACGCAAGGCCGATATATAATGGGGTCCAGGTCGGGGTACATAAAGTTGTCGACTTTTGAGTGAAAAAGGCGTCGGTCTCCACGTTAGATAGGAACTGAGAGCGCACACGGTCTAATGGTGGGAGGGGCTGAGCTTACAATACCACAGGCTGCGCACAATCAGGCTTATATTTGGAGGGAAAAAAAACTTCATACCCGGGGCAATAGCGTCCATGCCTTCTGACGCTGAGAGACCAACCGTGTTAGAAGCCGAATGACTTCTCCCTCCCGTATCTCCGGACTGCGAGACAGAAAGGCTTTGTGAGTCGGAACCGTGGCTTACTGTATCCGGTTCATCGGTCGCAACAAGCATTTTGGGCCTTCCTTTCTTCCTCTTCTTCCGTTCAGAAGGGTTGACATTCTGCTCTCCAAGGTATTGGTTTTGGTTGCCGCCATCTTGCAGCCACACCAGGGGCCTCTGGCTAGAATATCCAGGACATTCAACGCCTTTGGAGACGCATTTTTTGCAGGACGGCTTTGTAGAATCGCAGCGTATTCTCCGTTTGCGACAGATGTAACACTGTTGGGACGGTGAAGGTGGCCCTGATTTGCTGTTCATTTTGACCAGTGATCAGCGACCAACTGCCGAGCTGCTAGTTTAACTAGTTAACAAGTTATCATAACAGATAGCCAGTCACTCCGTAAAGTAACTCAGTTAAGTCGATGAAAGAGATGAGGTATCAAAGGCTCGATCATTGTCCGCATCGCGAGGAGAAATGAGGACGGTGCCTTTGATATTTTCGCTTGGTTGGACTCGCGACATGTTGCACGTATCCTTGATGCAGGCGTAAATCAGACTAAAAATAAACCGACGAGAGGTGCCTAGTTAACTAGCTGGGCTGAGGGTCAGCATAGCCATTCTGCCTTGACAACGGAGCTCTGGCAAGATGCAGCAAGGCAGCGTCTCACTGGCTCTATTATGAGGCACAGCCATACGGAGTACTCGGACTTGGCTGGAACCAGAGCTTGGACGAGTCAACTTTGTTTGGCTGGGAGGAAAGGGGGTAAAGTGGGTGGTAAATAAGATAGTTTTACACTGCTGAACCAAGATTCTATTTTGTGAAGCTTCGAGTCAAAAATCACATCTCGGACCCGATGGGCAAACTCCAGCCTCCCACGGGGAAATCAACCTCCATCATCCACGCCCAACAGGCGACAAGCTCTGAAAAAATAAGTTTGGCAATCCGCTTGCCACACCTTCAGCCCTGCCAGATTGTATCTCGAGCTAACATGGATGGCCGGTTCTAACGCAGAAATCAACAAACAAGCTTGGAAGCTTCTCCATTTCTTAACTGGCAGTCGACTACTCCGTATGTACTCCGTACACTAAACATGAGGACCTTTTGAGCTCTGAGGCCAAGCAGCGTCGGCATCAGCAATCTGCACAACTCGCGATGAGAAGAGAGAAGAGCATCACCAACACGCGTAGCCGACGCCCCGAGGCCAATGGCGGCGGCGTGTTGGCGGGAGCGGCGCCCGCAAGGTCCCCAGGGCGAATCCTTGGCCGGCGGTAGGTATTTGAACGTAAACCCGCCTCTCACCCTCGCTCTGTTCTTCTCATTTTTTATTTTTTTTTTTCTCCCTCTCTATTTTCGTCCCCCAGAGTGTCGCTTGCTGTCCCTTTTTCCTCTGAAGGATTTTTTTTTGCCCACCTCTGTCTGCCTTATCGCATGGCTGCCGAGATGAAGGACTCTCGACCCGCCCTCCTGGCAATTAGGCTACCCACTATTCCCGCCTACAGACATGGATCCTGAAAGAGTGACATGCCTCGCAAAAACTCTGCTATCGTTTCCCTCCATTCCCCTCTTTGCCGCCAAACCTGTCTCTCTCAGGTTAGCAGGAAAACTTGGCGCGAGATGACGGCACTTCCCCTTGGTCAAGGTGAGATGGTTCCTTGGTCCTCTTTGGTCGTGCAGGAGTACCCCGGCCTGTTCACCAGCCCCTGTCCCTGCACATTCCTTCGCTCTTCTAGAATCATGTGTGCCGTCTTTTTTTTTTCTCGTACTTTTGTGTGGAGCAGCTCGTCTCCATCTTCCTTCGGCTCGGATCCCCCTTGGCGACCCTTCCCCAGATTGTGTCGCATCTCGATCCCTAGCGCCGCGGGCAGATCCCTGGGTTCATCCATGGAAACGAACCACCGACTGCAGCCGATGCTTGATCCCATCCATCGCCGGTCGATCCATGTGGTTCCCTTGCTCCTTCAGCGACGACCAAAATTTGAGTTCTGCAACGGCACGACGTCCCATCGGCCGAAGAGAAAGCAATTAAAGAGAGCTAACCCTTGTTGGGCATCAATGACACCACGACTGGTATGCTCTCACCTCATCGCTGTATTGTCGCTGTCAAGTTTTTGTTTCTATATTTATTTTTATCTTCTTATGTTTGTTATTGAATGATTTGGGCGTCTTCGCGCCGTTCCGTGGTGGCCCGATGCTGGACGATCGTGCCCGGGTTCAAGTGCGAAGAATGCCGAGACAGATCATCCCGAAACCCTCGGTTTCTGGAATCTCGACCACCCCGGCCTCTCGTCTTCCCCATTTGCAACGGTTATCTCCGGGCCTGATCCCTGTTGATCGGATGCCTGGAATTGAGCGAATTACCGCATTTCAAGCGAAACATCCAGAAAAATGGTGTTGCTGTCAGGACTCTTGAAATGCAAACACCCAGATGTGTCCAAACTTGCGTATGGAAAAAGACATACTCCGTACAGAGTCCACTGCCAGGGGGAGGAAAAAAAAGGAAATGACAAATGAGGTGTCATCACATGCCGTCGCTTCCACCGCCAGAGCAATAGGAGGAATGACTATTTCTGGAGCCGCAAGCCCGAGTGACAACTAGCTTTGTTGAGTGGCATTTACGTGCATGATTTGCTGGCGGGTGGCACTAGAAAAGTAGGTCGATCAGTATTAAATTTTGTTAAGGGGTGGTACTGGCTTCAAGCTACGGAGCCAAGAGCCGGAGTCCTAGTCAAGCAGCTTGCCCAAACACGGGGACAACCTCACCTCTAAAACCCCCACAAATTCGCTGCTGGAACTTTCTTTGCTCTTTTTGTGAAATTTTGATTGCTCTGGAATTCTGCCACTTTTAAGATCTAATTTTTTCACTGTTCATTTTTCATACATTATTTTTGTTTTGTATTGTGAAGGAAGAAATAAAAAAGAAGAGAAAAGAAAGCCTATCCTGCAAACCCATCTAGCAATTGTCTGTCAATAATGACTTGCTGTTCCACAAACCCTAGCCGTGATGATCATGGTGGCCACAACCATGGAAGCGTTGGCGCCGCTGCCTGCTGTTCTGGAGGAGCACAGCAGACTGGGAACCGCTCTGCTGGTTGTGGAGGTGCGGAAAAGCCATCACCTGCTGGTGAGGGTGACTTCGACCAGTGCTGCAAGGATGCAAGTGCTGAACGATGTGATAGTCTGTCCCTCCTCAACCCATTGCTAACTATAAATTGTACCTTCTGACTGGTCATTGCTTTACAGAAAGCTGCATTGAAGGTGTTGCAGCATATGAATGCCAGAGGGCCTGTGAGAGTGAAGCAAGCAATGGTAAATTCTATCTTAATTGAATTTCGAGTTTTCACTCTTGAAGAAGAAAAGAGACATTGTCAAAATCCTAGGAATTTTTATTTTTTTTTTATTTTTATTTTTTTTTTTTTTTGTTTTTGTTTTTGTTTTGTTTTTTCCTTTCGTTGTCTAACCTCTGATGTCTTCGAAATAGCATCCTCCTTCGAAGCAGGCAGAGAGCATCTCATGAGCGAGCATGTCCACCAACATGATGAGGAGGGAAAGCATACAAACTTGGCATGCACCAACCACCTTCACGCGGCGTTTGAGCGGTACAACTCGTACCTGGAGTCCGCTCGCTGCATCTGTCGCAGCGTCCTCATGAACCAAAAGGAGCCATGTTGTGCCAGACAGCCGTCGAAGCTCTCGCTCTTCGCAAAGAAAGGCTCCCGCTCTGCTCATGACGAGAAAGACAAATTGATTTCTGCCGAGGAAACCCGCGGGTTGTTAACTTCCGACCATGGCCACGGCCACGGCCACGGCCACGATGATGGAGATTGCTGCGGAGATAGCCATGGATTCGGGTCTTCTGGTAATGCAATCATTGCTGGTGACCCCGTTGATATCGAAAAAGCCGCGGCACACGAACACGTCCTTCTTTCTGTCAGCGGCATGACCTGCTCCGGCTGTGGGAACAAAATGGCCAAGACTCTTCGAGAAACTCTCGGAGTGTTCAATGTCCGTGTCAATTTCGTGATGGGAAGTGCCGACTTCGACTTGGATACCACCGTCATTCAGGTGGAAGAATTAATCCGCAGGGTCACAAGAGCAACCGGATTCCAATGTTCCCGACTCGCTAATAGTGATCAGTATATCGATGTTTTGATGGCCAAAGAAGCAATCTCGGAGATTTCAGCCAATCCGCCACGCGGTGTTGTCGATGTTTCTCCTCTTGGAAAAAAAGCAGCTCGGATTACCTATGATCCCATGGTGATCGGAGCCAGGTCTCTGGTAGACTCTCTGGGTCATTTTTCAAAGGGTCTCGCACCGCCCAATTACCAAGATCCTTCGGCAACGGCGGAGAGACGCAGGCTGAATGACATGTTGATCAAGACAGTTGTTTCTGCCGTCTTCACTATCCCTGTCGCTGTTCTTGCCTGGGGTCACACTCTTGTCCACGATAATGCCAAGGCATACGTTTCCCTTGCGTTGGCCACGGTCGTTCAGGCCGTGGCTATTCCCGAGTTTTATATCCCGGCCATTTCCTCGTTGATCTACAGCCGCACCATTGAAATGGACATGCTGGTTGTCATCAGTATCACCGCTGCCTATGTTTATTCTGTCGTTGCATTCGGATTTGATATTGCCGGGAAGCCTCTTGAAACAGAGGAATTTTTTGAAACTAGCACCCTCCTCATCACCCTGGTCCTCTTTGGTCGACTGGTTGCCGCTTATGCCCGCAGAAGAGCGGTTGCTGCTGTTTCTACCAGGTCTCTTCAACCTACCACTGCCAATCTGCTTGAAGGGAAAGACCATAGAGAGATAGACGTCCGTCTTCTCCAATTTGGGGACAGCTTTTTGGTCATGCCTCATACCAAGGTGCCAACTGATGGCAAAATCGTAGAGGGCGCCAGCGAGGTTGACGAATCAATGCTTACGGGCGAGAGTTTACCCGTTCACAAGTCTGTTGGCATGCCCGTAATTGCTGGTACCATCAACGGCTCTGGAATCCTTAAATGTCGTTTGACACGTCTTCCCGGCAAGAACACCGTGACTGACATTGCTGGATTGGTAGAGGAAGCTTCAAACACCAAGCCAAGGGTTCAAAGTCTTGCAGATAGGGTCGCTGGCTGGTTCGTTCCAATTGTCTCCACGGTCGCAGCTATTGTCCTTATTGCGTGGGTGGTGGTTTGTGTCAAGGTTCGAAACGCAGCTGGTGGTGATGCTGTCGGAACTGCGATCACGTATGCAATTGCAGTATTCGCTGTCTCATGCCCTTGTGCCCTAGGCTTAGCTGTGCCGATGGTTCTCGTCGTTGCCGGAGGTGTTGCGGCACGAGGCGGAGTTGTCATCAAGTCGGGAGATTCTACCGAGCGGGCTCATAGCCTGACTGATGTGGTCTTCGATAAAACTGGAACCATCACCACGGGCGAGCTGGACGTCTTGGCAGTAGAGGTACTATCCGGGGAGCGACGTGAAATTCTCTCCATGGCCAAAGCCCTTGTTTCCGACAACAAGCACCCGGTTTCTGTTTCTGTTGCGAAATATTTGGAGAACGAAACTGCCGACCAGCGACTTGAAAACATTCGCTCTGTTCCCGGGGCTGGCGTTGAGGCCACTTTGGAGCACGCTTCGTTGAAAGCCGGCAATCCTCGTTGGTTGCGGGTCGAGCAACACCCCGCTGTTGTCAACGTCGTCCAACAATGCATGACTCCTCTATGCTTGACTATAAACGGTGAACTCGTCGCAGTGTTTGGCTTGAAGAGCAATCTCCGAGCTGAAGTGAGATCTGTCGTCGAGAAGCTTAGAGATAGAAACATCTCTATGCACATTGTTAGCGGTGACGAACACAAGGCCGTTGAAGATGTTGCCGCGTCCGTTGGGATTCCAAGGCAGAATGTCGCTGCGCGTAAAACTCCAGCTGAAAAACGGGATTACGTTAAGAGCCTCATGGACCGGGGAAAAGTCGTTCTCTTCTGCGGTGACGGTACAAACGATGCCGTTGCCATTGCACAGGCGGATGTTGGCGTCCAGATTGGTTCTTCATCCGACGTTACCCGTGCCACTGCCGATGTCGTCCTGCTGTCCGGTTTGGAAGGCCTGATCTTTCTTCTCGACGTATCCACGGCATCATTCAGGCGTATCGTTTTCAACTTCGTCTGGGCAGCGGTGTACAATGTGTTCGCAATCCTGCTTGCCGGTGGTGCGTTCGTGAAGGTGCGGATTCCTCCCGCGTACGCTGGACTTGGTGAAATTGTCAGTGTTCTGCCAGTGATCATTGCGGCCCTCAGCATGGCGGGGATGAAGCGATCTCGTTTCGCCTAATAGGCCAAAGACTTGACGCGAAATTATGGGACTGATGTAGGGCAAGATTGTATGTAGATTTGGGAAACCCTACATAGATTTAAGCACATTCGAGCATCGAATAAATATTGACCTTGTTACCTCCATAAATCCTAGAATTAGTTACTAAAACTATCCATTTGGTTAAGAAGCCAGTCTGCCAACAGCCTATTTTATCCAGGCTCCCTGTTTATCTCTATTTACGAAATACGCCGCAATGTCCCATTCCCCACACGCACACATTTTTACTCTACATGTTCCAAAAGTTGGTAAATTCAATTTGCTACTTAGCGCCAAACTGACCATCAAAATTTACGTTCGGGGTTCTCTATTGACCCTTTTTCCCGCCACCGGAGAACAGCTCTCGCCTAAAAGTAAGCTACGGCGGTGATGTCACGCAACCATCCCGAAGCCCATTAATAATTATGAGATCAATTCGGAATTTGGTCTCGGACCAGGAGCAAGAAGCGCATAATTATTAGTTTTTCTAAGGAATTTCGGAGCGGAATTCCGGTGTGTATACGGAGCAATCCGTAAGATGTGGGGATCATCTTGGACGCCCCCGCCAGCCCTCTGCCGATATAACTAAGGAGAGAAGTCGAGCAGCAGCATTGAATCGAACGCCTGCATGAAATCTTCTTTGGTATCTGCATGCTCTGCATTTGGTGTGACACTCCGTACATATTCTGCGTTCTTTGTTCTCGAAGCAGGACGAGCACTTGAAGAACGAGAAGACAACCAAAGCTCTTTATATAACGTTATTTCTCTAATAATACCCGCTCCCACTGCCGAATAAAGTCAAGGAAACGCAGGGAAAAAAAAAAAAAAAAAAAAAAAAAAAAAAAGAAAACGAAAACGAATATATCTACCATGAAAGAAGCCTTTGCATCTCTTTCTGGCGACAAAGTCAAGGTCTCCATCAAGGATTCTCCAATTCCTCACCCCAATGACTCCCAGCTGGTCATCCGCGTGGTGGCTACAGGCTTGAATCCAAAAGATTGGAAATTCTTGAGCGATAAGCCGACAAATCAGGGAGACGATGTTGCCGGCTACGTGCACGCCGTGGGCAGTAAGGTGACTGAGTTCAAGCCCGGAGACAGGGTGGCTGCATTTCATCAGATATTGGCTCCCCATGGAGGGTATGCGGAGTACGCAGTGGTATGGGCGCACACGGCATTCCATCTACCAAAGGAGGTTTCGTTCGAAGGTTAGTTTAGATTGCATCCTTGTTTTCTTCTTGTTGTCTGCCTTCAAGACTGTTCTTTCTTTTAATTAATCTAACCTATCCCGTAGAAGCCGCAACAATCCCCCTAGCCGCCATGACCGCTGCCCTTGGTCTTTATCAGGACCTCGGCCTCCCGGTCCCCTGGAATCCAGCTCGCACCCGCACCCCTCTGATCGTTTACGGCGGCGCCTCCACTGTCGGCTCCTTCGTCATCAAACTCGCCAAGCTTTCCAACATCCATCCCATCATAACCGTCGCAGGCAAGGGTATCCCGCAAGTCGAGGCTCTCCTGGACAAATCCAAAGGCGACATTGTAATCGACTACCGCACCGGCGATAAGGCTGTCGTGACTGCATTCACTAAGGCCCTGGGCGGTAAAAAGATCGAATACGCGTTTGACGCGACGAGCGAGCATAATAGCTACGTGAACATTGGGCATGTGCTGGATCCAGAGAAGGGGAAGATTGTGGTGGTGCAGCCAGGGATGGAGTACAATATGCCCGTTGATGTGAAGCCGAGTCCTGTGTATGTAGCTACTGTGCATGAGGATGGGAATGTGTTTCAGCCTATGGAGAAAGTAGGCCCTATTGGGGATAAGGAGTTTGGGCTAGTGTTTTTTAGGTTCTTTGGGCATGGATTGGCGCAGGGTTGGTTTAGAGGTCATCAATATCGGTTGGTGGAGAAGGGGTTGGAGGGCCTTGAGAATGCGTTAAATAATTTGAAGGAGAGTAAAGTAAGTGGTTTCAAGTACGTGATCAGGATCGCTGACACGCCTGATTTGGGAGAATAGGGGGGAAAAAAAGAGGAACGAAAAAAAGAAAAAGCCTTGAACAGATTAGGGAGGCAGGTTTGAACATGTAGCGGTGGATTTTCATCTTGACAATATGAAGAATCATTATGAACATGCTGGTTAACGAACCATGCACATATGACAAGGGACACAGGCACACAAAATGTCTCTCAAAGATAACTCCAGGCCGCTTTTTCCCAACCAGACAAATATTCAAAGGGGGCTTTTGCAGGCTGTAAAAAGAGACTGACCTTCACCCAACGCCCAATTGGATCCATGCTCCTCTCCATGAATTTGAAAAACAAAATTCATCCTTCGTCAAAAGCATATTTTTCAATATTATGCGCCAATGTCCATCCGGCTATCATCCGCAGCGGTTTTCCCTCTTCGAGCACCCAGCGCCATGCCGTCATCCCCAATATCATCATCGTCATCGTCATCGTCGTCTTCTTCTTTATCCTCGATGAATTGAGTTTCCATCCCAATTCTTTTTAGCCTCTCCTTCATCTCATCCCTCTTTCTATCCTGCCACCTCGCCAATGCAGCACTGGCATGAACCCGGAATCCAAATACTTTGGGCTCGTATCGCCGCAGGGACTTCTCCGGTATTAAACACGGGTAAACCTGAAAGAGTATATTGTGAAAGGAAGTTCCAAAATAGGCACCGTCGATGGAAGCATGGCGGGACGACTTGGGGTTGTATAAATCCTCGCACTTGGCGCAGTATAGCTTAACCGGCTTCACGCCAGCAACGTCGGTGAGGCCCATTGGGAGAAGCGGGTGTTGCTCACACATAACTCGTGGGCATTTCCCGAAGTCTGCTCTTTTATATTTCTCTAGCTGTGTAGCCTCCCATTAGTATGGATAATAGAAGGGGAACAGGAAATACACCGTACCATTTTTGCTAATCCACGGGTCGTGACTATGTATCGAGCATGCACCATGCCGTACAGATGTCTCGCGTTCTTCTCAATCTGTTCTCTAGTCTCGTCGTCGGCGTCCAAGTCGAACACATCCGTGACTAGATCCAAGGCATATTGATAGAAATCCACTTCGGTGTTCAATCCCGTCAAGTTGAAACGATCGGTAAGATATTCTTCGTCGATTTCGCAAAAGTATTCATTTCCTCGAGACGATATAAACTAGCAGGAGGAGAAGTGTCTTGTTAGAATAGCCTTATAAAGAATTAAGGGAGATCTCTGCATGCTCGCGGGACAAGTAAGATAAAGAAACACGCTCAACAACCTCGCGACCAAAATGGCCTTGCCAATGGGCAATTCTCTTCCTGCCGCTGCAACTGATGCTGCGGATTTCCCCCTCCTCAAACAAACATGACCGGGCGCACGAGAGGCGCCATATCTAGGAGAACAACCAGAAAAAAAGAAAAGAGGAGACCTCACTCACCCAATCTCTCCAGAAGCTCGTATAGTCACTGTCAGACTCTGTGTTGAAGTCCTCCATTATGGCCCCAAAGCCTCTTGGAAAGCGGGAGCGCTGGCTCTCTTGACGGGCTTTGTCCTCGAGGGTGCTGTGCCGAATACGTGCTGTTATCCTCAATCCCGGCCTTCAATAGGTACCATGGAACTGCTTGCCCTTAGGCAGCCTTCGTGACACTTCAGTTTCCTCCCTCGGTCGGTGGATATATAACATGTGGTTGGTGCGCGGGACGAACGGTTCGCGCAGAAGTCACAGCTTGGCGCTGGAGGAACATGCAAATTGTGGGAATGGTCGGGCGCGGGGTTTGTCTCGCCACGCACCCAACGTCAGTACAACAGGTCGGGCCTGCGCCCGAGACCAAAGTAATGATATCAGGCAGATAAAAAAAAAGGAAAAAAAAAAAGTATTCAATTTAGAGTGGAGAGTTCAACCGCTATCAAAGCTACAATGGCTGGCTATAGAAATGTGCTATATTTGGTACCTGTGTATATCAAACCCGGATAGTATTCGAAATTCTTGTGAAAAACATATCGTGAACCAAAAGGGAATCGCTTAAAGAGAGAGTATATTATTTAAAAAAAAAAAAAAGACCAATCTGGTATCGGCAGGTTACCGCCGCGCTCGATCACACTCCTCAAGGAATTTGTAGATCCCTTCAAAGCCGCCGCAGTCAGATACGCTGTGAGCCGTTGCCTCAGGTATGTCACCGAAAAAGGCTCTGTCGCCAAGGTCGCTGATATTCACGCTGGAATACTCCGAGTGCGACCGAGCCCAAGGGTTCTTCTCCACGCTAGACACATACTGATAATCCCGCCAGTTGGCACCCGTAGAATGCCGTGTTGGGTCGGAAACCATCATCTGGCGCCAATCGACCTTGTCAGGTGTGATAAGAGGGGGATCGTCGAAATAAAAGAGGTCAGCTTCCGAATCTTGATGGCTAGGCGCGAACGGAAACAAAAGCGCCATTTCGGTGCCATTGTGCGCCTCAAAGTCGGGGTCTTGGTGGATAATTCCGCGCTGGACCCCGACTTCGACGCATAAGCGCTCCACTGATTCTGCGTCACAACCAGGGAAGCGAACACGAATGGTCGACTGATCATGCAAAGATAGCGGCAAATCGCCCAATGTGGCGATCTTTTTCAGATCGTTTAGGACGGCAGCGAATTCCTTCAAAGCCCGGGCGAAATCAGCAGAGAGCAAGTCCATCAAAGTGGGCGTGTTCAAGTTGATCTGTTCGCAAGTCTTAGAAACGGAAGACTTCTGCATCTGGTCAAGGCAGCCAAAGGCGGTTATAGTAGGGGATAGCTTGAAATCAATATAAGAACCGGCGGCGGTGCGAGGAACGGCATTCATTTTGCGATTCGCCTCTTCCTGCAAAGAAGTCACGATTTTATATTGCTTACGACCTGTCTTGTTATCGACGCCATCAAACCTAGCCCTCTGGCCAGAAAGCCAGAAAGCTCGAACTCCAGCAGATACATTCTGGACGACTTGGGCGGGGCATGTGGGAGAACTGGAGAAATATCTCACACCACCGATGCGGCCGGCGCCAACGGCGTACCCACCGGCGGTCCGGCAAAGCGTACCTCCGGTGAGATTTGGCCTTAATGTTGATGCGAAAGGAGTTCGAGTCGTTAAGCGGCTGATGGCGGTGCGAATCTTGGATGACTGGATAGAGCCGGTAGCAAAGCGTCGTGATGCGCGAACTGTAGAGAAATGGCGGCTTTGAGTCTGACGGATTGCGGCAATGCGATTGATAGGCTGACGGTGCTGGATGCGTGCGTATATTGGTTGAAATTGTAGATGAGACGATTGGCCCGGCTCAGGCAGTCTTGTCCGAACAGCCCGGGATGCCTTTTCAAAGGCAAACCTGTCAAGAGTCAGACCAGATCACGGATTAACTACAAAGGAAATGTCACAGCAGCCTTACCTGGCTACCCGCCAAAACTTCGGCAGTAGTTGGTGCCCACTAGGCCCCATGACTGCAATCGGCCTGGTGCATCCAAATCGTCAACGTTGGGATTTCGAATCGGTCTCGACGTGCGGAGAGAGCGGACCTGGACGCGGCTGAAAGTCAACTTCAAAAGGCGATGACCTCAGTTGTGGCGCAGCATTCGGGAGCACGTTTATCCGAAAATTGGATTATTAACAAAGTTCTAATTACTTTCACGTGATAATTCGGGTTCGGGCCGAGTTCGGCGACAAAACGCGCGAGGAGATTCGGCTCGGAGAGACAAAATGCCCCAAGCTCCAAGCAGCGAGCATGGACAATTCGTCTCCAGGGTGTGGTGCACCCCGAGGGTGTCCTATTGGAAAAGCCGCCAGTGTTGGATCTGGCAGGGAACTTTGCCCAAAGGCCCCTACCCACCCCCGCCTTTTCTTTGGGTATATTGGGTGGAAGGGCTGACACTTGCCACAAACACATCTCGATCACGGTCATGACCATACATCTTTCTGATGAACGCTCATTTGTACTCGCGTTCTTCAGTTGAATTGCAGGGGCGCGCCAGCGTTTGAATTATAAGCGAGGTCTCGCTACTTGTCGTCCTCGCTGTTTCCCGCGCAATCCTCGTCAGTTCCCCCCTGCAAAGTGACCCGAGTGCTCCGTAGTTGCATGTAAAATTGAGCCCTTCCTTTTCCCTCGGAATTTCCTCATTTTGCAGTCCAGAAAGCTGGCCTGTTATCTTAAAAACCATTACCTAAACCCTTGAAGGATCCAAAACAGGAAGGCCATCAATACGAGCGCAACGCTTTATATCCTCCCTGGTGATATCACAAGACAGGCCTCTCTCAACCGACCAATAAATATTACTGGTTCTCTGCATGATCATAATTGAAAAATGATCTTCGTTCTTATCCTTAGCTTACCCCATATTTCGCACAGAGAAGTCCTTTACCATATGGGGAGAAACTAACCCCCACGTGCATCATAAATGCTTCCACGATGATTTCAAAGTATGTACGGAGTATTCGTACATACTCTGTACACACGTACACAACCTGCTAGCTATATTGTGTATCAATGTTCTCAAATCTGAGTCACTGATCATGCAAGCGAGCCGTCCCGCTCGGACTGGCACGAGCTAAATATCACGTCTGGACATCCTGGATGGATCTCTCCGAAAGAACAACAAAAGCAGTGCAGTAAAATCTCCTACCGTGCTTGCCACGCCCGCTCCCTTCCTTTGCGTTCCTCTGAACAAATTGATTTTTCAACAAGCGAAGCAGTGTATGATGCGTCGAGATCAGATATCTCCTCCACTTGAGCAGGTTTCCCGGTGAATAAACCCAAGGCCCTGCCATGCACGCTCGAACCACTTTCGGGACATTTGAACAGTATCGGAGAACCTGCACATCGGCTGTACGTTTCCCGTCGGCCCTCCGTCGTTGCTCTGTGTGATTGAGCATACGGGATGCCTTTACCGATTTCCATCTTCCATGTTCAACACATCAATGTAACACTGAAAAAAATGTTGCCCAAGCTGATGCCCGGCATCCAAATTAGGTGTGTCCATGACATTGTGCCTGTGGTGTCGTCGTTCTGAAGAGGAAAGCCCCTCATAGCCGGGCATGTTTAGACTACGCGGCTACATGTGGGAAACCTCAGGCCGTAGTTTCAGCGGCTCCGTGAGGGTTTTGTCACTTTTATTTGGTTCCAGGCGGAATGCGATGGCTAAGCGAATGTAGCCGGCATAGCTGTTATAAATTTGTATTACAGCCCTCACTCCCAGTTTAGGATATTGTCACGGTCCGTCTCTGGATAGCATAGCCTCATCTGTTCGTGGTTCTCTCGAAGGATACATTGCCCATCATGCAGCTCCTTAACCTCAGCCTGTTCTTTTTGTTGCCCTTTGCGACAGCCAACCCCATTCCGCAAGATAGCCAGAACATCATTCCTGGGCAATATATTGTTACTTTGAAAGATGGCCTCACGACGGCGGAAATTGATGCTCACAAGACGTGGCTTGCTTTCACCCACCGATCCAACATTGCGGCAAAGGGACACAGTGGAATAGAGTCCGAGGGAGTTTTCAAACACTTCCAGATTCACAAATTGAATATGTACGCTGCAGGCCTCGACAAGAAGACTGTAGAAGAACTCAGACGCAGCCCACATGTAAGCCGTACAGGGTCCGAATTTTGCAAGTGCTCTATTCCACTAATCTATACGTATCTCCTCAGGTAAAATCGGTTCTCCCTGACCAAAAGATATATCTAGCAGAGGCTGTGACACAGTCCAATGCTGGATGGAACCTTGGCTATATGTCAAGTAAGGGACAACCGAGTCCCTCATGGAGTACGCTCACAAACTATACGTATGACAGTACAGCAGGAGAAGGTGTTTGGGCCTATGTCCTGGATACTGGAGTCAATGTGAACCACGTTGAATTCGAGGGACGGGCAATTCTGGGACGTAACTCTATCCCAAACAGGCCCCATGAAGATACCTTTGGCCATGGCACATACGTTGGGGGTATCATTGCCGGGAAAACCTATGGCGTTGCGAAAAAGGCTACTGTAGTCTCTGCAAAGGCTTTTGACGGCGGATCGGTCTGTGATGTTCGCTCGCATTCCTATATTTTAAGCGGCTAACTTCTATCCGATAGAGTTCCTACCGATATATCCTGGATTCATACGAGTGGATTGTCAAGAACATTACTGATAGTGACCGTAAATCTAAATCGGTCATTAACTTGAGCATCTGTAAGTCCACCATGGAACACAACATTTCAAAGTCTATACGCTAAGAAAAATGTGGCTCAAGCCGGCGCTAAATATCAACCGTTTGATGAAGCGATTGAAAATGCTTTTCAGGCGGGTATCACCACTGTTGTTGCCTCTGGAAATGATGGAGTAAGATACCCATGAACCCTGAGTTGCTGGAGCCTTTGTTAATGTGTCACCAAAGAGAGATGCTTCACAAAACACCCCAGCTTCGTCGCCGAACGCAATCACTGTAGGGGCACTGCGCTGGGAGAACACCAGGCCAGGATTCTCCAATTATGGAAAAGTTGTTGACCTTTTCGCACCGGGAGAGTTGATCAGATCGGGCTGGACAGGCGGTAATAATGCGACCCGGGTTGCATCCGGGACTTCTGCAGCAAGTCCACACGTTGCTGGGCTTGTTGCGTATTTGATGAGTATTGAGACCTTGTCTTCCCCTTCAGAGGTCACTGCAAGAGTTCTTAACCTCACCATCCCTGGGCTGGTCAAGGATGCAAGGGGTAGTCCAAACAAGGTTGCCTACAATGGAATTCAGGAGATGTTGTAAAAACTTAACTGTAAATGATCCTGGGTGGAGAAAGGGGGGGGAGGGTAGTTCATATGCAAATATACATATGCAATGCGCTCTAAGCAAACTTCCAGTGTTTTGGCATATCCAAGTCATTCCATATAGAACCATTACTAACGGTTAGTTTCAACTAACAACCATGAAGTACTTTCTCTTTCCAAATGAACATCACGATAGTTATCATGAGAGGTTCTTAACAGTACTTGCACAACTCTAAACCTTCAGTCCACAATTCATATCCTCACTTTACAAGAGCCGGGAGAGAAACGCCAGAAGCAAGAACCCTAAACAGGGGTAGCTTAGGAGTCACATAAAGTAAATATAGCTTGGCCATGTCCCAACATAAAGCTCCGCCATTGCACCGAAGCTAGCCGAAGTCGAACGGAGGAGTTGCCAAGTGGTTGATAGTAAGTAGTTATCTCGGCATCGCAACGGATTCAAGCAGCCATTAGAGGAATTTGCATATTTATCAACTCCGTAGCATTTGAATCTATGACAAAGTATCTAATTCACAGCATATAGACAGCAAATGCACTTCCCGGGTTTTCAATGCAGCCTTTCTGAACCACCAAGATCAAACTTGGGTTTAATGATGTTCAAGTACCACAATTCCTGCCAAATTCCTCGATTTAAAAAGGCTGTTTTACTTCCCGCTATTGTTGTAAAGAAGCTTCCTGGTGGTTTTATCGCTTGAACGGACAATGGAGCTTTGGGCGAGCTCTTTGAGACGGTTACAGACTTCATTTCCGGGAATCTTCTCAAGTGCCATAATATAGGCACCTGCCCCAGAAACGTGGGCTGCGGCCATAGAAGTACCCGATTTAGTTCCGAATTTTTTACGTGGGACGAGGGAAACAATATCCGTTCCAGGAGCAAAGATATCAACTGTAATCAGTTGTGTGTTAGGGCCCACCAAGTCAAGACATAGGTGTCATCGGGAGGTGACAATTACCAGCGGGCCCAAAGGCGGAAAACTGTGCTTGCATATCGTCTTTATCGGATGCTGCAACTGTGCAAGCGAGAGGTTCGGAGGCAGGGGAAAAATTCATAGCATCTACCTACAAGATATCTGGTTTAGTCCAAGCCGCGGCATAAAAATTGTCGAACTTACCGGAGTATTGCCGGCAGAAACAGCAACGAACATGCCGGTCTTATGAGCATTGGCAGCGGCCTTGTTCATAGCCGAACTTCGACCGCCACCAAGGCTCATGTTAACAACAGATTTGGAAAGCATGTTATTTTTCTTGGAATGCTTAACTGCCCAGTCGATGCCACCAATTATGTTCTTATAGCTGGTGGTTCTATCCTTAAACACCTTCACAGCAATGATCTTAACCGCTTTAGCAACACCATAGGTCTTGCTTGCAATTGTTCCAGCAACATGGGTGCCATGGCCAAGGCGATCAGTCTTAGATCTGTCAACTGTGCTGGTGCCCCAGACAGCACGGCCTTCAAAGTCGGGGTGTTTAATATCAACTCCAGTATCAACAACATAGACCCAGATACCCGCACCCGCGCTGCTATCATAAAAGTAATCAGTGTTAGAAGACAACTGGTTCTCCTTAACTGAAATACGTGGGAGACCCCAGGATGGAGCTGCTTTCTGCACGGAAATCTCGGAAATCGTCACAATTTGATTGGGCTCAATGAACGCAACCTAAGGCGAGTTAGCTCAGAATGGTGGAAGGCATTGGAAGACGAGGTGGGTACATCAGGTTCTTTCGCAATTCTCTGAATGGTATCTTCGTCAAATTTGCCAGAATAAGCTTTCATCTCGTAAATGTCATATACCTCCTGAATGCCATGACCGGGGAGTGCTCGTTTGGTGTGGTTGTAATAGTGCATATCGGCCACCCAGGCGCTATGAGAGGCAAATGATGCGCTGGAAACTCCATCCTTCATAACAACAATGTATTCATTTGGAATTACATCATTGGGGTATCTAGGTGACAAAATAGTTGCAGCATCGGCCACAGCTGTAGCCGCAAGAGAAAGGGAAAGGATTTTGACAAAGCCCATCTTGAAAAGAGTGAGAAATGCTAACAACAATGAGTTGGAGCGGTGTTTTACAAGAGGACGAAAGACTCCTATATATACCCATTGCACGGAACATATCTTCCCATGGCCTCACCGGAATGAAGCCATGGGGAATGGTATATCGTCAGCCTGCACCACCAAGGTAATTTCCACCAGAAACATGGCGCGCCCTATTTTCACATGGATATCCAAGGAGGAATAAGGCAGAAAAGGCACAGAGCTTCTGAGAAAAAGCCTGGATGCGCCTGGCTCCATCAAGATCTATGAGTGACACATTGTATCAAGCCACAGTGTAGGAGCTAAAATAAGTGTCAGCTAAGCAGGTACTGGGTCCTCCGGGTTGCATTGCCTTACTAAGTCCAACAGGATCTCCCTATTGGAATAGCTACTCGACAAAAGACCACAGAGCTGGCCGTCCACAAACGTATTCTCATCATATTGAAAAGCCTGTTGCACAGAATCCAGATTAAAGATATCCATCAAACAGAAGGAACTGCGACACATGGGGAGGACAGGGTCTAAAGGAGCGTAAGAAATGTGTGGGAAGTAGATTATCAAATCATCAACCCACTTCCTAAAGGTTGCAAAAAGCCATAACGGAGGGCGTGTGCGGGCCGGAAGGTGCGGCGGGCGGAGGGAAGGATGCCGGGATGTTTCCAAAGTACTAGTGGGTGGCTTGCTGTGGCTTTTGTCCAGTGTCACCTAAGTAACGCTGCAGACGGATTTCCGGAACCTAAGGAACCGCCTACTCCGTCGTTCCATCAGCTGAGTTGCTTCAAAGATATTGTAGAAGCTCATCAGCAACAACAGTCAGATCACTGGTCTGCAGCGCATCTGCTTTCCAGTTTTCTCTCATGGAGACTGTAGCCTTCTCTAAATGTTGTCGAAATCATCCGCTACCTCTAATAATCAAGAGGGAATCTCCAACTTCCCAAAATGCTACAAGAGTAGTACTGGAAGCAGACCGCTTCAATACCCTGCTTCAGTGAGACATGTGTAAGACGGGGTGAGCTTCAGTAAGGCAAAATCGCTTTTCCTTACTGTATTCATGTTGACTTATCTCTCTGAATCTTGGAAGTGGGCATTGAGGATAGCAGAAAGTCTTACAAATCTGAAGCAGTCGAACCAGAAAACTATTAACCAACTAACTACTCCGTAGTAATCCAGCAGTCATGACCAAATTTCCAACCTCAACATTCCACAATAATTGTTCGACTGTATCCAGGGAAAGCTGTGATGCTTAGCGGCCTAGAGCATTTCATTCATCCATGTTCTTGACATAGTTTCCTTCTGGAGAAAGGACAGAAATCAGCCAATGTTGACCGAAGGCATTTTGGATCCAGGAGTTGGGATTGACTGTAGGCAATTCCAGAGTATTTCATGAACAGCTGTGTGATGCTCTTTCAAGGTGTGCCCGAAATAGCAATGACCATCTCAGCCGGCAACAATTTCGGTGCCGTGTGTTTGCTGGACATCGAATCCAAGTCAGGTCTATACCTCTCCGCTAAGGAATACTCTCGTAGCCCTTTGATATATATAGAATTTTACTCTAGTGATGGTGTTCCCAAAAAAAAAAAAAAGGAAAGAAAAGAAAAGAAAAGGGCCCTGGCGGGCTTTATGACACACAGTGTAAATTGGCACCCTGAATACTCTGTAGAATGAAAGAAATGAGATGTAACATTGGATTCAAAAATGTTGCGAAGATAGACTAAGCGTATCTAAAGACTGGGCGCAAAAATAGCAACAGTATGAACATGCATGCTTGCAAGCTTGAGAACCCCAAAACCTATCAGCACTGACTCCAGCCATTCATGCCCCTTGGAAGAAGTGCGAGTAGTCACAGTTCATGCTCATTCCATCAGATAACGATGACCAAAGGCCTTTCTCTATAAGGTATTGGATAACATGTTTCTGCCCCCCATCAATGGCGGAAGAGATGATCTTTGTAGGGAATTCTGGTACACAGGAATCGAGCATCAGTTGAAGTGATCCTGTGTGTCCAAACATTGCTGCTTTTGAAAAGGGAGTACAAGCCTTGCGGCTTGCCTCTGACCTTGACAGGCGGTTTGGATTAGCACCCTTTTCTAAGAGAAGGCGTACTATTTGCTCATAGCCGTGACCAGCAGCCAATGACAGAGGAGATTCCAGTGCTCTTCTTGGCGAGTCCACATCGACCTCTTTGTCAAGCACCATTCGAACCACACCCTCAGCACCACGATCGCAAGCCACACGCAGTGCCCGATGCCAGAAATGTTTAAGGAATTCTGGCTGCATGGAATTCAGATCTCCATTGTTGATAAGATGGTTCACAATGTCTAAATGGTTCCCTTTAATGGCACTCAGTATGGCAATATGATAGTGAACACCGGTCAGTGAAACACCATGTTCCGGTAAGAGAAGTAATCTGACAATTTCCCATTGGCCGGCGTAGCATGCCATCTGAAGTGGTGTTTTCGGAAAGATATCTTTCCGGTCCTTGTCGTCTAGGTAGAAGGTGTTTTCGATCTCGTTATACCGTATAGCCTTTGTATTAGGGTGTGCTCCTGATTTGAGCAGTAGTTTGGCAGTGGCAGCGTGCCCACAGTATGCCGCAAGGTGAAGCGGGGTTCCAAAGATATTGCTGCGTGTATTGCAATCAACACCCTGGAGGAGTAGTCTTTTTACCAAATCTGTGTTTCCCACACATGCTGCAGCAGAAAGAAGATGCTGAGGACTGTCGACAAAATGTTCTTTTGGAAGCCAATCAATGCCATCGTTTGAATGTAGCGCAAAAAGAAGAAATGGGGCTGGAAACACGTTTACAAGCGCTTCCGATAGCGTAGTCGTGTACTTATGCACATCGGTCTCGGATATGCAGCCTTTTTCTGTGAGGACCAAGGCTCTGACAGTGGTGCGAATAGTGTTGATAAGATATAAATCAGATCCACCATTGCGCAAGACCTGGAATCGCAGATAATCAGATGTTATGCGCTCGGATGCATCAACCCAAACGCCCACGGCGAGGGTTTGAGTTGTATGAATAGCTCTGATGATTTCGCGATCAAAGAATTCTGGTGTGTGCAGTTAGTTCGCATTCATATTTACTGGGAAACAGATGGGGCACACACTGCAGACAAGCCTTAATCTGAGAGCAACCCTGAGTCCTCGATACCCGGGCCCAAGGATGAGGACGAGCTGGTCAAAGATTTCCAGGCAGATCTCGATTGGCAAAGGGCCAAACATGATGATGGTTGCTGGGAGACTTGAGAACAATGCTGAACATGCTAGGGGAGAGAGGGTTCTTGATAGCAACGGTCATTGTTGCAGTCGGAGGATTTGGCGTTTTGATCCATTGGCTGTGGATGCGCCTATCTCCCAGTCAGGGAACTGCTCCGGTATAACTACCTGTTGGTGGACTCGTCAGCATACAGAATCAACTCTCAGTGGGCTGCTGGCGAGCTCGGCCAATGACTAGTTAAGTAACTAAGTAAAGCTGGGGTAAGGTTATCTGACACTCCGTACGGAGTAACAACATGTAAAAAAGTCAAACCAAATTTACATGATCAGGCTCAAGAAAAGATTTACTTTGAAATGGAATTTCTAATCTCACAGTTAAAATTCCAGTTACATTCTACAATTGAGCTCATTTTCCAAAAGGAAGACAAATTCAACAATGCTCTCACAGTTCTCTATTTGGATCACGGAGTACGGAGTACCGTTCTCGCACAATTCCGAATAAGATTACTGTGAAATTTCAGGAATTCACCTGCAAGGGTTCTTCGGACTAATAATGAAATTCCCAAATGGAAACATACAGGGATCCAGAGTACGGCGAAGTGCCGAGAACTCCACTTACACACTACGGAGTACAGAGTATTTAAGTACTTACTACGGAGTAGTTAACTAGTTAATACTTAAGGTAGTTCACCACTAAGCAAGCCACATCACTAAATGAGCCAAATCTTCCACCACCAAAATTCCTCCAATGTTCAATATTCAATATGCAACAACATGGTCAACAATGCCTTAATTAGGCTTGCAATTGAAGATCTTGAATTGCAAGAGACCCCAAATTATGCTGCAACTGCAAGAAAGTACTCAGTTAACTGAGAGATTCTGTACTGATGGCATAAAGACTTGCAACTTGCTCAGAATGAAGCAGCCTTCTGATATAAGAAAAAGCTCTCTGATATACAGGAGGCAGAGCTCCTGAATTATATAAACAAGCTCTCTAGCTGTGGCCTTGTCATTACATCTCAGATTCTATGAAATATTGTACAAGAGATGACAGAAGAGAATGTTGGAATCAACTGAATTAATTAATTTTGTGAGTGGCATAATAACAAGATCAAATGCATTTATCTTAAAGCAATTAATTAAAATAGACAGATAGCAGATAACTATCAGTACTTTAAGCACTTCTATATACTTGTAATTTGATAATTTATTTGATTACTTGTGATTGCAGTTGTTGATACTGGCTAACTATTTAACTACTACTTATAAAGTAGTTGGAGCAGAAAATTAATTAATATAATCTTAAGTTCTCAAACATCTACAACTTTAATAAAAAAGAATTCCTTCTAGACTCCTGCCATGTCTCAAAGTAATTAGTCTCTATTGAAGTTCTATAAGCTGGAAAGAATGCCACTATTCAGAATAATAGTCAGGAATTTCTCTTATTGCTCTGCTCAGTCTCTGCTGAAGAAATTGTACTACCTCCAGCTCTTATTTACCAGAGTGAATTGTGAGATCTCCAGAATACATAGCTAGATGATTATAATGAAAGTGAATGAGCCTACTTTACAGCTTCAACAAATGATTAGAGCAATAATAAATATAGACTGAAGTAGTTGAAATGAGTTTTCAATTAACATACTAAGAAATAAGCTGGCTGAGAAAGATGTCTGCTTCTACTAGATGGCTATTTCTCCCATATAAATATGAAATTTATTGAATATACTGATTATAAAAAGATTCTTCTTATGATTCTTCTGCTGCATTCAACCCACTATTTGCAATCTCTTGATATTGGAATCTTTGGGCTGCTGGGCAAGGCATATTCTAATGAGCTGGAAGCACTACTATGTCAAGAAATGAACTATATTTGAATAACAAAAAGAGATTTCTGGAGACTATTTAATATAACTTGAAAGAAGACTTTGACAGTTGAAAATATACTTGCTGGCTTTGTAAAGACTAGAATTAATTCTCTGGATTCTTAATATTAACTACACTGATTTGAAACTGCTCAAGCCTCTACACTGCCAGTTAAATCTTCTATTTCTAGTAATATACACCAGCTCTGACAAGAGATCAAGAGTATATGTCTCTGGCACAGCCTAAATTTGCAGAGCATTGGACAGATTATCCAAGTCAGTAAGCAGTTTGCTCTTTATAATAAACTACTGGAACATGAGAATCAGTAGCTAAGATTAACTCTAATAATAAAGAAGTAATGCTGCAAGCAAGGCAAGCCCCTAGATTTACTTAATAGAGATAATTCTAGTCAAGCACAGTTCTGGTCTCCAACAAAAGTTCTTAAGGCATGTGAGTGCCTGGATGAAATAGAGACTGAAAAAGCTGATAAAATTACTCAAACACAAGAGATAAAACTTCAACAGAAGCTTCAAAAGAAGCAGGCTGCTAGAGATATTAAAAAAAAATAGATTGAACAGAAGAATGCCTGTAAAAAGATCTGAAAGCAATAAGAGACTGAAAAAATTGAATATACTAGATAAAGAGAGGCACAACATGTTGCTTATAAGAAGAAGAAGACTTTATAACTAGCAGAGAAGAAAAAATGGACAGTTGAATATACTAATAAACACTGGCAGTCAGGGCTTCAAGTGCTGGCTTCAAAGTGCTGTTGGAAGGACTCCTCTACTAAAGAGTCTTATTGTGGAGAGCCTATACAATCTTCCAAAAAGAGAAGTAAGAGCTCTACAAGCATCTCTAGCAAGGTATTAGGCTCTCTAGTCAAGAAATCTACTGTTGACATTCCTTTGAATTCTTTCCTATCTACCCCCTGAATCTCTTGCTCTGGCTGTAATATTAGGCTGTCCACCTGTTTATTTTCCTAACTATACTAATTTCTATGCTTTAAAGAATACATTTATTTAATATTTAATAGCTATTTAATAATAAAGATCTGGTTGTTGAGATATTTAATAAATTCGTTGCGTGGAGCATTTGGCGAAATTTGGCTCGTTTAGTGGTGTGGCTCGTTTAGTGGTGAACTACCTTACCCCAACCAAACGTTTTTCACCATAAGACTATTTTTGAGGCAGCACCGGAACAATCTCCATTTGGGATTAGCAATATCAAGCCAACGTACGGAGTACAACATCGAGACAGCGACAGAAGAACACCAACATCGAAAGCAATCAAAAGACCTGCTTGAGATTATCCCATTGGTCACAACTTGTCAACTTCACCATCATCCCTCCCACTTTCTCTCGGGCTCCTACCTCACCTTAACGGCCCAGTTCGATTAGGAGAAAAGAGTCGTAAGCGTATGTGTGGATTTTGACAATCTTAAGGTCACCGAATTCCCTGTGGTGATCAGCTAGCATGTGCCACACAGATCTGACATTGGGTGTTCCTGCTAAGCTGTTGAAAGCGTTGTCCATCGCAGAGCCCGGTGTTGAGGGATGGAATGCTGCTGGGTCGTCCTCGGGAATTTTGAGGTTCAGCCTTGCCTGGGTTATTGTGTCAGATGTGCCTTGATTTATAATTGTGTCACGGAGTATATATTTGAGATCCTTCACATTGTTTCCTGCCACAGATTTCCAGTTTTGAAAGGTTATTTCCGACCATTTTAGGCGGACGTCATCAGGCAGAACGTCTTTCTTGGCAAAGCTTTCCTTGACCTGAATTGTTCTTGCCTCTGGAAAGTAGACTGCTTGATGGATGTCATCAGCACTGATTTCCTTCTTGAAGAGGCCCTCATCGTTTCTAACTGTGATCCGTGTGAATATCGTTTTGCTCTTGTCATTTACCACCCCAATTTTGTCATGCAACTCAGGCAGTGTAAAATCTGCACCGACTTTGTCCTTGGACACATGGTAAAGCTTGTCCACCTTTGGCCTGTTCACGTTGGGTTTGTTGCTAGAAATGGCCTGGTCTAGCACGCGCATCGCTACCCTGCCCTTGGCGCCGTATGCCTCGAATGGAAGGGGTAATTCATCCGAGGGTGCCTTTCGAGGCTCATAAGGTCCTGGCCGTGGTTCAGGCGGTGACCCTGGTCTCGCTGGTGGCTCGTGTGGTATCCCTATAGAAGGGCCTTTTCCCCCTGGCCCGTTGCCGCCCGGCTTTCCTACATGGTGAGGGTTATTTGGAGGCTTCCCTCCGGGTCTTCCGACCGGCGGTCTAACGGGAGGAGGAGGAGGAGCCCTGATGCGCAGGTCAGCAACAGCCCCGTGCGGGCTGCCAGGCAGGCGTTTGTTAACTGTGACTTTTGGTTAGCGTATATACCCTAAAGGCTCCCTTCACAGAAGATGCTCTACCTTCGCAGGGCTCGATATCACAGGTTCGCTTTGCATCTGCGAATCCTTCCGGAATTCTGCGAGAAAAAACAATCTGTTCAAGAAAGGCAAGAACTGCCAACAAATGAAGAGCCTTTGACACGGTGAGACGCATTGTATCGTCAAGTAGGATCAGTGGTTACTAGTCAATATACTGGTTGAGATGCTTGGTTTTAACCCCATAGCTCCGTGGTCGAACCCTCTTTTATATCCAATTGTCAAAGCCCAATTCACTATGTTCATACGGAAACGCTTTCTGAACATCTCTGGCATCTGAATGAATCCCTTGTGGTGCAGATGTGGATGAAACTCCGACTCCAACTCCACTATGTTTCCACAGATGAACCTTCAACTCCGATCTCATTTCCTATTTCCTTTTTGGATAATACCAATAAAAGAAATACAACTCTGATGTTAAGCTCATCCCCAATTGATATTTCTTCTCCGGTGATCTTTGTTACTGACCCTCTTTGGTATGGATGAGGATCAAAGAGCCGTGTCAAATTGATACGTTTTTCATTTATTCAAAACTTGGGTTGCGTCCACGGGATTTTGAAGCTATTCTAACCCTTCCCACTCATCACAGGTGATGGGATATTCCCTGGCCATTTCTAAATCCCTCCTTTCTTCACTTATTCTGATACTCTCTATGTACTCCTCCTAGTTGTTCGACTTCTGCATCCACTAATTCTCTGTTTTTGGCATTCAATCCAAATGTTGCCGGGCAGGTTTCACCGTTGTGTAGTGCATGATCAGCGCTAAACCATCAAGATTCCTAGAATCGTCCAGATTTACTCAGAGGTCAAGTTTTACCTTGTGGTAATGGGACTCATTTCGCCCTCTCCATAGTGTCAAGGATATTGATGCTCTTTCGGCTGTCTTACCTTTTCTATCTTTCTGGATTTGAGACTTGCTCCGCTTTGATCTAGTGGATGGTAAGGCAAGACTCGAATCAGGAGATCTACCCAATGAGCTCAAGTCAACAAGTCATCCGTTTCGCTTATGCAAAGGGTTGGCGCTCCGCTATGGCATCCAATACCCTTTTTTTTCCCGTGTCTTTCGGCTCCTAATTTATGTGAAATAGGAGGGATGAAGGCTATGCCTTTGGCGAGTTTTAATGGATATAAAAGTTGCAAACCAGGACGCCATTACCATGTTGTCTCGGGTCACTCAACGTCAGTCTTGTCTATTCCTGCTACTCTCTATCATTGACCTACGGACCTTTGATTTCCTACTCAGCAGCGACTGCTCTATTCCCTTGCGGTTAGATTATCATATCTGTTAATATTCTCGATTCCTAGACGGTCGGCCGCTAGAATGGGCGCGCATGCTGTATTCACTGGTATTGTGCTTGGGGTTACGGGTCTCTCCCTGGTTCCACTTGGAGATTACTTTTTTCCCGCGCCGTACAAGGCCAATACGATTGTCCGTGTTGCCTCTGGCCTGTCACAGCCTCACAAGCATGACAAGGCTAGTACTGGAGGTGATATGCCGAGCATAGCCCTGTTCGATGGAAACGGCGAGCGAATTGGATTCAAATCTGGGAGTAGACATGGGAAAATTCCTGATGGCCGCTATGAGGACATTTCCATTACTCCAATAGATAGAAAAAATAACAGACCGGCAGAATATATTTCTCTCAGTGCTTCGAGTCCTGATGCCCTTTGTGTTGCATACATTGCTGTGACACATCCCAGCAAGGAATACTGGGCTTTCACAGGAGACAATGCAGCCATGTGCGGGGTGCCTTGGTATCATTCTAATCTTGTGATGCAGGTGGGTGACCTGGCTCACAAGCCAAAGTGCTTTTGGATTGATGGCCCAGACGATGATGGGAAGACAACATACAACTTCCCTCAGGGAATTGGCATCCATCTGATTGACTTTATCGGTTCTGAGGCCCTATATGCGCAGTACGCGGATCATCCAGACTCAATGTGCAAGAGCGCACCCAGATTGAAGATGTACAAAAAGTTGAACGAGCTGCAATGCCTCCCTGTCTTCAATCCTCCGCTGGAGTATACCAGAGACGGGCTTGATGCGGACTTGGAGGCATTAAAAACAGAGGGTGAAGTCATGTGCAGTCCTCCTCCAGGTCAGCTTCCAACACTAGAAGAGAGACTCAAGTTACAGAGGGTGCTCCGGTCCCCACCTCGGCTCTGGCGTCCAACTTATGGAGTCAAGAAGAAAAGGGACAAGATTATGCAGCTGGATGAGAGAGAGGAACAATTCAAACCCACTTGCTTCAACAATGACATTGTGATCAGCAACTCCATGAGTGCAAAGGAGCTTTGTGATGACCCCGGTTCCCGTGGTCCGGACTTTGTTTCTAAAAAGGAAGGCTTTTATTGTGACATGTGCACACATACACTGTGGCCTGTTTGTCACAAGGGTGCAGCTGTCCAAAGGCCTTTAGGATGCTTTGATATTGATGCCAAAAAGCTGCATTATGACAGGGAGAAGACTGCACGTGATAATAGTACAATTGTACCGGTCAAGAATTATCGGAATGTTAGAATCTGGAAATGAGGGCGTATTGTGTTTCTTCATAGGCAAAAGGCATTTTTTGACCTGTTGTACAAGGTGAAATTGATTTATCTTTTATTCCTGCTTATTTGGCTGGTTAGTACATATTTATTCTAAATAGCTATTGAATCACCAAAGCTACAACCTTTTACAATTACTCCCTTATTCCACTCTTGGTCTTGGGATAATACAATGGAAATATAAAAGACCCTTCATTGGGACAGTATCAACTGCTTTGATTGATCAATAATTCCCTTCAGGACAATTGTATCCAATCCACTGTGTTTTCTCCTGGGGTTGGACTGATTCATTCAATATTGTTGGAATCACACTGGAGAAATAGCCTGAGAGAATGCACCTTAAAGATCTTGGAAGACACTGCAGTTTGTCGTACACAATGAATTGATTCATGAAAAGAAGAGGGTGTTTCCTGGAATTACTCATACCATACCAGTTCTGTACCAGTTTGGGACTAACTTGGGATTGGATGGAATGAAGCTGGAACCTAGTTGAAAATTCTGTACAGAGTAACTTATAATTCTACTCCGTACTCCTCAAGCATGCCTTTTTCGGCTTCGAATGACTCCAAAAACGGCCGTCCCGGCCCATCCGCTGACTCAGCCGCCGTGCGCATAACAGCTCCGACTTGGCCCACGCACCAGGTTCCTCGCACGTGACAGGTCCCATGCTGACGCAACGACCGCTGAAGCTGTTTGCTGAACGAAGCCGCAGCGACAACTCTTTGTCGCCTTTCGAGGCCAGACTCTGAGGGAGCCGAAAATGGCTCCCCCCTCCCAGAGTGAAGCACACTCCCTCCGGTCGCCTTTTTCCATAAATGACGAGCTTCCTCCCGTCCGTCCGTTCCTTTCGTCTCGTCCCTCACCCATCCCCTTCTTGCAAGTGAACCCAACCCCGTCAACATCTTGTGCGTCCAATGTTTTTGCCTCTCTTATTATTTTTGAAGAATGGTGACTTTTCCTCATGAGACTCACCATTGCTAGAAGTGTATCACACATTCCCTGTTTCCGCAAACCATGGGTCTGTTCTGAGCAGCCTGCCATGTCTGTTTCATCCCGCCATCACTTCCACCAGCCCACCAGCACTGCACGAGGAATTCTTCCGAAATACATCACGACGATGGATGTAAGTTAAGTCTATGATGGCTCCGGCCTCAATTACTGAATGCCAGCTAGATTCAACGAGGCCGACCGTTTAAACGAACGATTCGTCAAGTTTCGACCAACAGAGCTCCAACGGATCGCCGGCGAAGCAGTACAACAAGACTATTGCCCTCATATTTCTAAGCTTGCAAGGGGGGCTTCAACAAAGTGTTTATTCTGCAAGCAAGGGATGGTCGTGAGGTGATTGCACGAATTCCCACTCCCATTGCCGGGCCTCCCCATTACACAACCGCGAGTGAGATGGTGATGATGGACTTTTTGCGAGTTGTTCTCAAACTACCAATACCAAAGGTCTTGACATATTCAGCAACATTGGATAATCTTGTCGGAGCAGAGTACATTTTGATGGAGCGGGTGGAGGGGGAGAGTCTCTCACGATGGTTATTGCTCACAACCGACGAGGTGAAAGACGTCATGACACAAATCGCAGATATGGAGAGGAAAATTTTTGACTTCCATTTTCCTGCGTATGGAAGTTTATATTACAAGAAGGACCTTGATGGGGAAACCCAGATACCAACCATGGAAAATTTTGTTATTGGCCCTGTGTCTGCCCGGCAGTTTTGGCATGGTGAATGAAACAAAACGGAGATTGACTGTGGGCCCTGTAGGCTTTCCCCTTTCTCCATTCCCACTTTGCTCTTGGCTGTTAGAAAAAGAACTGACATGAACTGGGCTGATCATTGCCGTAGGGCTTTCACCCGTGGAGTGTGTTACCGCCGCGGCTTGCTGAGAGATGGCTGTCATTCAGCATCATGCCAAAGCTCAGCCTCGCCAGACATTCCTTCTACCAACTAATCATGACATTCATCCCTCCGAGCACAGCTCGTTACTTTCATGATTCCTACAGTTGGCGCCTCATTTAATCCGTCCGGGTTCTTCCAGCGCTCTGACACTAAGACACCCTGATTTGAGTCTGGGTAACATTTTATTGGCACCTGGGTCCACCAAAATTGTCAGTATCATTGATTGGCAGGATGCCGTGATATTCCCGCGCTTCATGCAAGCAGGTTATCCCGTGTTTTGTGAGCACGACTTCTCCCAGTCTCAAAGTCTGCAAATTCCATCTCTTCCTGATCATTTTGATGAGATGGGTATCGACGAACAGAGACAATCCAGAGCCATTTTTCGCTTAGAAGAGGCCAACCTCTACTACACAGCCGCGACAGGTGTACACAATGACCAACACATGGATGTTTTAAAACTTCCTCATCTTGGAATGCTACAGTATCTCCTTCGCCAGACAGGGTACCCTTGGGACGCAGACGTAATTAACCTACGTGCTGCATTAGTAGGAATCACGACTCCGTCGGTATGGAGCAAAATCTCCTTGGCAGTTTGTCCAGTTGTGTTTAGCGATGAAGAACGAGAGGCTGCTATAGCGGAATCGCAGGAATGGAACGAGTCCGAACAGCTATTATCCTGGGTTAGAGAGCACCTCAATGTCGACCTGGAAGGCGGGACCGACCTGGACAACTTTGAGAGGGCAGTGGAGGGCAATTGCCAGTTTCGAATGGAAATGGTTAGGCAAGCAGAGGCGGACCAACAGGAGATCTGTTGGTGTAATTGGCCGTATAAGGATAAAGAGGACAATAGCATGCCTCAAGTGATAAATGGTGTGCTGTAACATCAACTTTAATGCACTCCAGTGGTCATCTGAATATGCGAAGTGGTCCCAAAAGTGTGCCTAATGGCGGAGGATTGTATTATCTTTGTATCCATATGCCTGCTCGATCCAAGTAGCTTTGTCTGTAGATGCGACGGAGTTAGTACGGAAGTTATCAGAGAGCCTGAGAATGAGATCAATGCTTGCTGGATATGGGCTAATCTTAAGGCTTTGCCTTCCACCGACGCATACTACTACTACAGGACGCTAATAACAGAGTCTCTTGCAAGGCAGAGTGGTTTAATAAGGCTCATAAGACTGAGTGACCGAAAGTTATTCTCCATAGAGGAAAGCTTGCTGTTGCTATGTTTAGGGTCGACTTTCAGGTCAGGCTCCAAGCGCGAATCGAGTTTCCCTATTCAACCAGGAAAGATCCGCAATACGTACTTCTTACTCAGGCTCTACTGGAAACTCCTTCCCTTCTTCCTTTCGCAACTCATTCACGAGCTAGAAGTTGTCGTCGAGCGACGCACCCGATGCTTATATAGTCGCGGTGGTCCGACAACGGGGCGGCGGACGGCGGCAGTTCCCGTTCTGGGATGGCGTGACGCGCTAAACCGGATCGGGCCACGCTAAACCGGACGGGGCGCGGTCACGGGGCCGGCTAAACCGCAACGGGCGGGCGGCGGCACAAACGGAAATTCTCCTTTATTCTGGCTTTCTTGTTAATATAGTTTATAACATTTCTATGTCAATATTGCTGCTGCTGCCATCCCACACACTTATTAACTAGTTAGTTAGGGACTAATTTGAGGGCTTAGTTAAACTACTCTGTATATATGAGATCAGGCACGAAGTAACTAACTACACAAAAACCGGCCCGTTGGAATATCACGTGATCCCCCTTCCAACGCCAGGCGGCCAGATGAGAACCGAATGCTTATAGCGGTGTTTATTTCACGTTTCGGGATTGAGTTAACTTCTACCTTGATTTAAAATTTCTCACAGCAATGTCGTCCGGTTTTATCTCGGCTGGCGCCACGAAGTACACTCCGGGCAATGATGAGGAGTGGCAGAGAGTCAAGAAAGAGCTCGAGGAGTCCCGGAAGCGCAAAGCAGAACAGGGGACCCAAGAAGGGGGAAAGAGCCTTTACGAAATTCTCCAGCAGAATAAAGGTGTGTAGGAATTGGGCCTGTCATTTAGGTTCCATGCGGAGCTTGTACGTATAGCTGACTGCTACTTTCATATCACTTTTGAAAATTAGCGGCAAAGCAAGAAGCATTCGAAGAATCAATCCGGCTGAAGAATCAATTTCGAGCTCTCGATGAAGATGAGGTTGAATTCTTGGACTCCTTGCTTGAGTCAACTCGTGCGAAGGAGGCGGCTGTGAAGAGGGAAACCATGGAACAATTGGAGATGTTTCACCGCCAGCGAGAGGAGGCGGAGAAGAACGCCTTTCTGGTAGAAAACAAGCTTGGTGAGCCAGGCGCTGGGTCGCATGGCGAGGAGGAGAAATGGGCGATATCGGGTAGGAAACGAAGGCGGACCAAGGATAATGATGTCCTTCCAGGGGTAAAGCTCCGAAAGTCGTCGAGCACTAGCGGCCAAATCCCTCCCCAGGAAAAGCCGAAGGCTGATAAGCCTGCCACTTTGGAGGCACACATTCCATCCAACGCTCAGCATAAAGTAGCGGACTATTCAGAGCCTCCTGAACCGAAATGCGATGCATCGCCTGCTCAGGGCAGCAGACTTGGTCTGCCAGCGGACCCTGGCACCAAAGTTGCGCCGGCAATCTCCTCCAACCTTGGGTTAGGAGCATATAGCTCCGATGATGATGACGATGATGATTGATTGAATAGCTGTCCTTAATTATTTTTACGAACGGGGGGTGTCAAGGCGGATCCGGACGCCGTATCGATAGTTCCTTGAGCTTGAAAGCTTCGCAGGAAGCATGGACGGCTGCGACGGAACAAAGGCTTCTGGGGACGTTTTCTCCTAGCGAACAAATTTCGAGGAAGACCAAAGGTACCATGCACCGGTCCGGCCCCACTCCAAATGGGTTTTAGAGGCCATATTCCGAGGCAGGCAATTGTTCCCGTACGGCGGGCATATGTTGGGTCAAATGAAATGGGGTGTGGCTGTGCGTTTCCCTCCCACTTGGAATGGTTATCATGGAGGCTGAGAAGAACATATGTAGGTATGCAAGACATAACCACATACATTATGAGCAGCGATCGTGACTGATGATCCGAAGCAATGTATGAATAGACATACATGCGCCGAAGATCAGTTTATGCAAGATTACTGGGTCATTTTTAACATATATTAAATTGTAGTGAATACTGCATTATCAGACATATATCCAATCACGGTCAATGTAGCACCATAGGGCAAGTCTTGGTCTTTCAGCTGCTAGTTCTCCAGGAAAAGACGCCGTTGTTGGTTTATAGATTTAACCATGGTTGACTTTAACAACAGTGTCCGAATCATCGAGATAAACATTAAGCCTGGGAAGAGGGAAAAATATCAGCTGCTTGCTATAATCGTTCTAACTTGGGTCTGCTGTAATGAGCATACCGATCCGGTACATAGTCCATGGTAACCGCATAACCAGGCTTGATGACACGATGCGTTTTGGGGAGGTCTTTCACTGCGAAGGACTGGCCATATTTTAGATTATAGTGTACAAGAGTTTCGGAGCTCAGATTACGCACGACATTGTCACTGACATCCTGGGTCAGCTTCTTTCCCATCAGCCTAGCGGCCCAGGCAGCTTGGTCATTCTCGTTGACTTCTGGAACGACAAGAGGCATGTTGCGAGGTAGTTGAACGTGATGGGTGCGGATGGTGAAGTACTGATGAGGGAGTTTCAGAAAAGACACCTTATTAGCTTGCGAGGGTGGGATGTTTCCTTCGGGATATAGGGCGACGTGGGATGATGAGAGAGAAAGGGACATGTGCTTTATACCCGGCTTCAAGAGATGTGCTCTGGAAATCATGGAGAGAGGAGAGAGTAATGGGGGGGAGCAATGTATCCAGTTTTTCTTGATTTATTGGAGGACTTTCTTACATCATTCGCCAGCGACGATGGACCAGTTCGACAGGGGGATGATACCCTGGTCTAGGCGCCAGGATTCTCTGGCGCTACCTTGGACTTTTCTTCGTCGACCTTCGGTGGGAAGCGGAGAGATTCCTGGACGGGGAGGCGCCCTGGGAGGACAACGTCATGATTACTAATCAAAACTGATAACTGGTCGTGATCAGCTGACTTGCTCGGGCCGACCTTTTGCCGTTATTGAGGAATTATATCGGCCCGTAAAATAACGATACGGGGCTTGGCAGGCTTGGCGTCCCCCCTGCATGCAGGCGTTGTTACATCTTCGTATTAGCGCAGTCAGCAGCCCATCAGCTCAGGTTACTATTAATAGCTTGTTGGCAAATCTCCACGCCGCTGGCGGGCCTGGCGAGACGAAGCGATAGCGAGCTTCCTGTCAGCTGCGGAAGAGTCGGCCGGGTGGAGCATGCAATTACGCCCATCTTCTTCAAATTTTGGTATTTGCGCCGAAATCTTCAGGTCCTGGTGGCCATCGCGTGCTTCATGCGTCAGGAAATGATCTCAATTTCTGGCGCTTGCTCGCACCAAAACATCCGTACATAGCCTCCCTGCCGGCCAGTGGGGTCGCACCCATAGGTTGGACGTTTTACCGGGTCTTCGTCCAAACATTCGGTGACGACGCGTTCACGAATAACTAATCCCTGAGAAGTGGTAGGCCATTTTATATTCCAACGCCAGCCTATCTACCGGGCTCTTGCGGTCGAAGCCTTAAAGCGGGCATACTCCCGAGCCTTTCTCCATCCGCATGCGATTTACAACCACCACGACAGGGATTCGTCTGTTTTGGATGAGTCGCTCATTGCTCCATTCGGGTTGATTGGACGCTTTTTATCCTTCGTTCGCGCAATTGAGGCTATGTTCAATCACGCCAACATTTGAAACAGCGATGAGAGCGGAGGCCCGAACACACAAAAAAAGGTCATGATAATATCTCAATATCTTCTCCAAGGACACAAGTAAGCTCCTCTAGCTCTTCTTGCCTTTCTGCTCTTTTCATGTTCCCTTCTGTGTTGTTTGTTGGCTGGACACCTTTTTTCGCCTTTGCTTTGTCTGTACGCGGCTGGATCGGGACGGCCCACTACATCAATGCCTTCAGACGATCCAAAAAGCTTCCTTTGACAGAAATTTACATTCGCTTTCAGCTCTTGTAGCTAACCTGGAATGCGCCTGCAAGAAGTGTGTGATTGATTGAATGCGTGCTGTTGTCGCATAACCAAGAGTCCCAACCATCGAAGTCGAAGCGTCTGGTCGCTGCGATATAACCTCGAAGGCGCGATGAAACTATTCTTATGGACCAATGTCTTGCTCTTTCAGACATGGGCGACGGCTCTAGAACCTCCATCCGCTCTTCCAACGCCGTGCAGGAGGAGAGTGGGGGGCACAGGCGAGATATTTCTCGATGATTGCATAAATGACGGCCGCATTCCACGTCTTGCGAAAAGACATCCCTCCGAAGATGATAGGATATCTCGCAAAGATCCGATTATTACACCTTCGCCCAGATCTCCAAGCTTCCGGAAGTTTAAGCGCAAAGAGGATCGTGGTAATCCCAAGCCAGCTGGTAACTCCAATCAAGGTGCCAGCAAAAACGCTGCTGAGAACAAAAACCCGCCTGGGAACGGAAACCCACCTGGAAATAAGAACCCTCCTGGCAATAAAAATCCTTCTCCCGACAATAACAACCCTCCTGGCAACAAAAACCCCCCTGGCAACAAAAGCCCTCCTGGGAACAAAATCCCCCCTGGCAACAAAAGCCCTCCTGGGAACAAAAACCCTCCTGGCAACAAAGGTCCGCCTTGGACAAATATTCCTGTTGGCGGACCTAATCCGGACCAAAAGGAGCCACCTTGGCGTGGCAGGCAGCGTCAGGATGAGGACGACGTTCCCGACCCTCCTGACCCCGACGGCGAGGACGGCGAGGACCACGAGGACGACGACGACGATGACAATGATGGTGACGACGATGATGCCCCTGGGAGGAAACCTATCACGACAGCTTTTAGATCGGAATCTACGAGCAGATACTCTCACACGCGACTGGACTCAACCACGGAAGAGTTAGCAACTGAAAGCTCTACCGCTGCGACGGATTCCAGCCGCTCTACCTCCACAGCGCCTGCTTCAACCACCAACACAGCCTCATCTTCATCAAGTCATTCGCGGATAACTTCTACTGACAATTCCGCACCTGCATCCACAACCTTATCCCAGATAGCATCCACAACCACGTCCACATCCGCATCTCCTACCCCACCCCCGGAAGATGACGGAATAAACAAAGCAGGGGTTGCAGCGGGGTCTGTCTTTGGCGGTTTTGTTGTCATCGCGGTCGCTTTTCTAGGTCTATTATACTACAAGCGATGGCAAAAACACCGAGATCATAAGGAAGAAGAACGGCAGAACCGAAAATCACGATACTTAGCAATATCCGCTTCGGACAGTGGGGATTCGCAAGCAGAAACTCCCGGAAGCGGAGAGAGTTATTTAAACCGTGGGCCAAACTTCACTTGGCATCCTAATATGGCATACGCACCTGTTTCGCAACATATATCTCCTGGGAACAAGGACGATTTCCAACCCCTTACTCCCGATATGCCCCGTGCCACAAGTGGTCGCTTTTATTCCTCTATGGCGACAGATGACGATCAGCAGCGGCTTTCCTTGTCGACTAATCCAGCATCCAGCGGGCCTTACCCACCCCCTGGGGCCTTACAAAGACCAGTCTCCATGGAAAGTTCTCTTCATCGGCCGCATAACTTCGATACCCATGGCGTAGGTCGTAGCCATTCTATTGAGCGCAAGCCACTGCCCCCAGCAGGAGCACCGTCCACCGAGCTACCCATTGTCATGGAACTTCCTCCCGATAACCCACCAACACCACCATCCTCGGAAATGCCGTCAAGTGGACCTTCTTCAGCAACACGCAGCACTCGTCGAGCTTCGCGCAGCAGTATTTCCACTGTTAACCAACATATGAACTATCGTACTTCCCAATATTCCCCTGTCAGTAGCATCTCGCCTGTAGATACTGGCCAAGCGAGTCAAACTTACGACATTATGCAGCACGTCGATCAAGCCGAGAATTTTCCAAACACCTTGCATGCCAATCAGCCGCCGCGGTCGGATGGTTATGGAGTCTATCCGTATCCAGGCACATAGCCCGTCACGAGCGAAAAGAGAAAAGAATAACAAACCTACACATTGCCACTTTGTATGACATATATTTTAATTATTCCTTCTTAGTATTATCTTTTTCTTTTTCCTTTTATTTTTTAGTTCTCAAACTTTGTTCTTTTTTGGATATTAAATGGATTTGCATGACACTTTTAAGAGATACCAATTTTGTCTTTTCTCTGGCCTGTCCATTTTTACCGCAGTTTTTTTACTATTGTTATTACTACCATCAGGGGAAATTTCTATGAACAGAGCAAAGAAGTACACAGAAAGAGTTTGACTTCAGCCGGAGAGCGAGAAACACAGGGAGACGCTCCTCTTCTATAGCTAGGCAGAATAACATGCAAACTACACCTTCATGTCCCTGGGACCAATATGTTAATTAATATAATATCGGAATCAAAAAAGGTTTATTCGTTTGCAAGTAAAGAAATCAGAATACCCCCGATTACGTTACAAATGAAGATGCCGGACTATGTGCGACCCAAATCCGTACGTCCCTCAACCCTACCTGGTTGAACCAAAGCTATACAAAACCAGAGCAAAAAGACAAGACAAGAAAGGTAACCATTTAAAACAGCCCATTGACGAGGCCGAAAATCATGGGCGTTAAAACACGCGAAGAAATCAAATCCGTCACCCACCCATGCATGCTTAAAATAATGTTGGATTGGGAAGGGAAAAAAAAAAAAAAAAAAAAAGGGGGGGGGTTACAAAAGCTAGAGAAATTCAACGTCTTAAACTCCTCAGACATCTCTCCATCCTCTTCCCACGCTCTTTCTCTCGAACAAGCGTAGTTCTAACAAACTCCCTGATTGCTTGCTTGCCCATCTTCCCCCTCCAATCCGTCCACCCAGCCAGCTCTCCCACAACTACGTCTTTATTCCACGCAATCTCTTTCCCGACTTGCTCCACTTCCACGTTCAACTCTAAAATCTTCTGTTCTTGCTCTCGGACCGAGCGTTGTCGAGATTCTTCTAAGCCGGGAAAATTGAATTTGCGTGGGACAGAGTTGGATGCGAGGGTGGAGTGACAGCGCGCTAAAGACCGGGTGGAGGAATTAAGCCTGGATACGAGCATTCCGGGGCGGGAGAGGGACTCTAACATTGCGCTTGTTGTGGTATGTAAGGATGTTAGGGCCGTAAGGTACTGAGTCAACGGAGAAGAGTCGAGAGACGAAGAAGTATAGCAAGCAGCAAAACGATTAACGGCGTCTATATACGAATGGGGAAGGGCATTTGTGGGAGGCTGTAGAGAAGAAATGGCGTAGGCACACATGGATATTGCTTCTGTGAAGTCTATAGATGCATTGTGAAGCTTATATCCACGTCGAATTATGCTTCGAGTGTGATTGCTGACTGCACGGACGGCATCTTGCGCATGGCCCACAATCTGCTCAACGTCGCGGATATCTTCTGCCGTGACAGGTTGGTATTCATCCGCTATCCTTTCTACCAGCACAGCAGCCTTCCGATGCGATCTCTCACTTAGCATTTCTGTTTGTATCTCGGGCATGAGGAAGAATTCCCAGAGTAGTTCATGTGTCGAAAATGTGGGGTGCGCAAGTAAGATTTTCATGAGCCTATCCAGACGCTCTTGAACTTCGTGGAGCACAGCGCGTGAGGGCTTTGAATACATCTGTAATGGAGAACGAAATGGCGGAACATCGGGAATGTATGAAGCAGGGTGTTCGATCCTCAGAAACTTAATAAGATTCTCGAAATCCGCCAGACCACGGCGGGAAGTCGTTACCGTGAAAGTGATCATCTTTCGGGACTGATCTTGTTCAGAGGGGGATGGAGGATTAGGTGCACCGGATTTGATGATGAACCGAGTGCTACCATCTTCGACAAACACTGATCGAACGACAGCGGTTATGCGGCCAGAAGAATCGACGGAAGAGGGTGGTGGATTGGAAAATAAGATAAGATCATCAATTCTATTACGAACCTCGTCGTCTTTTGCAAGTTCAACTGCAGTTAATCCGCGAGACTCCCGAAGATGAGGGTCAACTCGTGGATCTGCGAAAAGAATCCGAACTAGGTCGACACGTCCATACTTGCTCGCCACCATCAGGGGGGTAAATCGTTTGTCATTAGTCGCGTTAGGATCACAGTCGCATTCACATAGGATCCTATGAAGAATCTGGGGGTCGCTAACGACATGCAGGAGGGTGTTTCCTTTAGCATCCACGTGATCATCAAGTCTCAAAGGATCTCCATCCCCTTGAGAATCTCGGGCCACAGTCAAAGCTTCGTTAACCATGATGTTGTAATCCGGGTGATCATAGGATCTGCAGAGTGCAAAAAGAGGAGTTTGACCGTGTTTATCTCTTTTTTTCCAAGGAAGTGCAGCGCCAATGCGAGACATCAATGCAGGAACACTGAAAAGATAATGTGCAACCGTTCTTCCTCGAGCATCCGCCTTAGCAAAGTAAGTTCTAACGTCATCAGGATGCGCATGTTGAAAGATAAAAGCTAGGATAACGTCCACAATCTCGGTGTGCGCGAGTTGTACTGCGGCGCTCAACAACGTTGTGCCATCGCTGTTGACATCTTCCAGTATACTTTGGATTGGATAATATTCCTCCAAGCTCAAGAGGTATTTTAAGGACTCAGGCTGGCAGGCTTCGACGGCCATCATTGGGATCGAATCTCCCGCCGGATCTTGCGTTTTTGTTAAGATTAAAACAGATGTGTCGCCTTCCATATGGCTTGTCGCAGAACCAAAAGTGGTTGAGCGAGAAAGAAGGGAAAAGTTGGAGGTTTCGGACACGCTTCCAACGTCCATAGAAACCCTTTTAAGAATACGGGGTTGAGTCTTTGGTGGAGAGCTTTGTGTCCACGTCTGAAACGGAAAAACGTGTGCTAGACGGGGCGTTTCTGGAACTCTGGGAATATCTATGGGCTCTCTTGTAACATGTGGAGATATACTACCGTTACTTGCAAGCTCCATGGTTGATGGACCCTGCGCATCCTCCACGCCATAAATGTCCAGTTGAGACGAATGTTCCTGTTCTCCGTTACCAATGCTGTCTTCAGATAAGCTTTCCTGACTTTCCGGCTCCAGAATGGCCTTCATATCAGGCACTTTGCCTGACTTGGTAGCACACCAGAGACGCCGGTTCTTTGCGCTGGCCTTTCTGAGCCCGCGGGAGTCATGTCGGAGGTACGTCAATACTGCCTCGAATGTACTCAAAGCGTACCCAGATTCGCCGCTCTCGACATCATCCATATAAATAAAATGTTGCATATATGAGAGTCTGGCTTGGAGGTGACGGACCTGCGATCTGATGACCACTACTAGTAGTAATGAAACCAAAATATCGGCGTTGATTGTCAGAACTGACGGTTTCTTTTCGACGACATCACCGTCTTCAGAATCGGGTTTATACTCGAGGGTAACGGTTTTTATTGTTGTGAGAAGTATTTTCAGCATCTCTTGGGGACATGTGGAGTCAACCATTTTTCGAAACTCGTCGACACCCCTTCCAAGGCGATGAATAAGTTCTTCTTTTCCCTTTCGACCTCCTTCTATGGGGATACCGACCTGGGACACGTCAATACTCTCCATCTGTCGAATACGTATATCCAATTCCGTATCTTCGGTTTTGCGGCACCCGCATATTCTCGGGAAGAGAAGGGAGTCGTGAACCTGCTCAGTCACATAGCGCTCTATCAGCCGTTCTACCATGGGTCCGGTGAGATTTGTTGTAGCTCCTAGAAGAGACAGCTGCTGCCTGTCTACTAGGCGGAAAAGGTCAATTGCCGCCGTGACCGCCGTTTCTAGAGCACGCCTCATGAGGTCCTCGTCGTCTTCAAAATACTCCAGTGAGTTGAAAGGCAGCGTCTTTTGGGTGCATGATGAAGTGCTTCGAATCGATGCTGTCTCGTCCACATTATCGGCTTCATTTTCGGAGTTCATGGATGAAAAGCGTGACGGAGGAGGTGGCAACGGTTTTCCGAGCTCCTTTCCAAACTCACGAAATAGTCGCTCCAGTCCGGGTTGCATCTGCCTGGCGATCATTGGAAAGTTTGCGAGCAATTCTCCAAATGACTGAACGTCTTTCCGGGCAAATTCCAGGCTGCCACTGTCGTATCCCGGCGAAGAATTCAAGGACTCTGGATATTGTGAAGGGAAGCCAGGTACAGCTGCTTGAACGATTCCCCCTGGATCGTAGATTCCGAGCAGCGGTTTGGAGATGTAGTATATTAACCATGGCTGCGACTCGCTGCCCGGAACGTAGTAAAGAATATCGGAGAGCAGGATTGCCTGGTTCAAATTCTTGAAACCTGCAAGTCTTGTCAGCCACACCAACTGGGCCTCAAATTTAAAAACGCAAAACTAAAGGTTACTTCTTTTGCGGTACCTTTGTTACTGAATACCATCGACTCCCGGATGGCTACAGTGCGGCCGTTTGCGGTGGTCATTTGCCTAGCCTTTCCCCTGGCGTCCCGTGGCCCTGAAAGGGCATCCTTTGCCGACGTTGAAGCGGGAATGCGCAAGACATGGCTACCCAGAAACTCTTCGGAATGAACGAGGTCAATGTAGGGGGTATTAGAATCTCGATCGCGAGCGTTGACGAGGGATTCGGTGGTAGGCACCAGTAAGATCTAAAGCGGACATCAGCAAGATATATGCCATGGAGTATGCTGGCGGGAGAAGCGGACATGGTTCTGGACCGGAATGCATTGCGACGGGAGCACGCTGCGGAAAAAAGCGCGAAGAAAGGGATTTAGAGGGGGCATCCAAACGACATCGGAAGGCCCGGCGGGCAAGCTCCGCCGTTCGTAGAGCTTTGGCGCAAGTGTAACTCAGGACAATCTCGTGGGGCTTTCGATGCCTAGCGGTGGTATCTCGGAGTTCGAAGGGCCGTCAAAAAGCTTGGGCCTGGAGGCAGCAGTGATGGGGACAAACGGTGAATGGACGGGGCTGAAGGAACAGAATCTCTGGGCTTTTTTGGCTTGGACGAAGCTGATACAATAGGACAGGCACTCTGGCAGCGAGGAAAGCAGCTGTCTTCATTGATTCCGCGTGTTTCTTCCCAGTGGGATCCTGGTTCTGATGTTCCCTGTCGCTGGAGCTTCAATCAGAGTTGGGGTTTATCGATAACAGCTTCACGTGATTGATTCTATGGCTGCAGGACCGCAAACAAACGCCCGCGCAGACAGGACGGCAGCACATTAGAGGAAATGTCAGGAGAAAAGCAAAGAACTCCAAATGGTGATTGGATTGCAACAATGAGAACCACTCTAATATACATATAATGATGCAGAAAGGTCGCTGGCAGCAGAGGACAATTCCAGCAAATGAGGTCAGTGAAATGGAACCAGCATGATCAACCCAATCTCCGCACTCTTGGGCTTCTCGTGCCGCCGAATTTCAACCTGGTGGCATCGGTCACCCGTACTACTTTTTCCCGTATCTTCTTTCCCTCCGGGCCCAACAGCACTTTAGTAAATGCCTCGCGCCCCGGTCCGAACCCTCTGAGGACAACTTCCAACTGCCTGATGTCCATTAAAAAGCCCCGTTCTTGAATCTTTGCCATCATGTAGGAGCAGAGCTGGTGGGCCGGATCGTAGCCGCCGCGGTGAGACTTGCGGAAGCCAATCGTACCGCAGCTTATGGACATCATTGGGTCGCGGTTGGGCCTTGTTAATGTCAAATGTGTGTTGTGTTTATGGGCATAAACGTGGAGGTGATGAGGAAGGCTCATGCCGTAGGGATTCGACAGCGCCTCCGCAATTTTCGCTGTGACGTCCTCCGTATTCAATTCAAGCGGGTTGGCCTTTGTGTCTTCGGATAGTTTGCCCAGCGCTGAGCGGCCCGTTGGAGGTTCATTTTGGTTTGGTGTATCGGCGTTTCGTGAAGGGGCTGTTGAGGAGAAGGATCTGAACATCGAAGAAGAATATGGATTTTGCTGCTGCAAGAAAGGCCGCATCAAGGCAGCGGACAGCCGCTTGACCACCGGGTGGTTCATCGCGGCGGAGGGACAATTCAATTCGGCGGCTGAAGCAAGGCAAGAGAGCGCCGGCTCTCCGGCAGGCTGCGACTGAGCACTCGAACCGACTCTATGGGGCTTAGAGGTGAAGTGGATAGCGCAATCGAAGGCGGGTGCAGGAGAATTCGACGGGTCGTGTCGCTTCGTCTTTCCTGGCCGGCCGATTTTGGCTTGAGCTTCGGCGTCAGTCTTTTCGGTCTTGGCGCTCGGGGCAAAAAAGTCAAAAGTGTTGATTCAGGCAGATCCTCTTTTTTTCCCTTTCACCCATCACCACCGCCTCCTGCTCCCACGGCTGTTGAGGCCGCCAGCGATTATCACTTCTGCCTCTGCCGCAGGCTATTATTTGGACTGTATCGGTCTGTTGCTTTACTTTCATAGTATTGGCCATTGCCAGAGGTTCCCATTCGGTACCTGAGTGTCGCAGCTGCATTCTCGATAGAGCATGATTGTCGCAGGGAAATTGGTGTCGCCAGGCGCCGGCCGGACGGCCTTTCTTCGAGGCCATATTACTTCTACGAGTGTTACATCCGGAAGAGCGCCAGTCCTCCGATCCTTGACGCAGACACGCTTGCTGAGCCGCTCCCGCCTAGAGCGACCACCGACCAATGCTTTTCAATCTTATAGTCCTATCCTCCCCGTCTTCTCTCAGGCTTCTCCCTTCCAGATCAATTTAATAAGAGTTCTCCTTCCTGCTAAAAGAGCTTTCCAGACATCAAATCTCCGCCGGCAACAGCAGCAGGAGAAGTCAGAAACAGGAAAAACCACGAGTGAATCAGCGAGCCAGGAATCGGCTGAAAGTGGTGGTCAGAAAAATGAAGAGGCAGGTGAGAAGGAGACCAAGAAGGAAAAGGAGGCTCCTCCCCCGCCACCCCCTCATGGCGACAAGACTCCCTGGCAGGTGTTCACGGAAACATTAAGGTCTGAATTCAAAGCGTCGAAGGAGTGGAACGAGTCCACAAAGGCCCTAGCTTCCTCTGCAAATCAATTCACAGAGAGTGAATCGGTTCGAAGGGCACGCGCTGCGTACCAGGCTGCTTCCGATGCTGCTTCTTCTACAACGTCCTCTGCTCTGAAACAGACGGGCCGAGCGCTTGGAAAGGGAGCAGCCTGGACTTGGGACACGTCAGTAGTTAAGGGCCTCCGGAAGGGTGTCACTGCTACCGGTAAAGGTATCGAGAAGGTTACTAAGCCGGTCCGCGACACTAAGGCCTACAAAGAGATGAAAGAGGTCATAGATGATGGTAGCAGCTCTCGCTATGGAGGCTGGGTTGAAAAGGAAGAGCGAAGGAAGCAAAGAGAATTAAGAGAACTTAGAGATGTGAAGGAGGGCAAACTTCACAAAGTGGAACCAATGGAAGAGGACCCCAAGTAAGTCACCAGAGTATATGGGACAGGAGTTCAAATACTGACAGCTTGCTAGCGCTGGCACAAATATAACTGTCCATAAAGATGCCGCCTGGAAGGAATCCTGGCGTGAATTCAGGGATTCCAGCCGCATCATGCAACAATACTTTAATCTCAAAAATACCTACAATGAATCTGAGAATCCTTTAATTTCCACCGCCCGCAGCATATCTGACCGCGTGGCGGGCTTCTTCGCCGAGAACGAAACCGCAATGGTGATCAAGAAATTTCGCCAGATGGACCCCAACTTCCAGATCGAACCATTCTTGCGCGAGATGCGAGAGTATATACTCCCCGAAGTTTTAGATGCCTACGTCAAGGGTGATGCTGAGACCCTTAAGCTTTGGCTATCCGATGCGCAATTCCATGTGTACGCAGCTCTGGCAAAACAATATACCACTGCAGGCCTAAAATCAGATGGCCGTATCCTTGATATTCGCCATGTGGACATCTCCCATGCGCGGATGTTGGAGCCGGGGGACATTCCTGTTTTCATCGTGACTTGCCGAACTCAGGAGGTGCATGTTTATCGCAACGCCAAAACGAACGAGCTCGCTGCCGGTATGGAAGATAAAGTCCAATTAGTGACTTATGCAATCGGCGTGACCAGAATTCCGGAAGACGTTAATAATCCAGAAACCAGAGGTTGGAGAATGATTGAGCTTCAAAAGTCCGGCCGGGACTATATATGATCGAAGTCCCAATTTTCATCTCTTTCAATAAAAATAAAAGAAGCGAATGTCGTTTATTCTTTCCAGGTCCCATCTTTGCCCTTCCTGCACGGTTTAATCCCTGCTTGTTTTAGTACTATTATGTCGATTCCCTTTCTTTGTCCTGCATAGCCCTGGCCTTTGGAGCTATTCCCGTCCTCGATGTACACTATTATTTGGAGTCCATATAGATCATGATCTGGTGGGATAAATGCCTTTTCTTTTCATTTCTTTCCGTTGTCTCCTTCGATGCGTGGGCGCCTGTGACTTGCACCGGTTTTTCTTCCCATATGGTTGCAAAGGGGTTGGATTTGTCAGTTTACGAGATGCGTCATCCTCTCTTCTCATGGATATTCACTGTAAATACAAGCAAGCTTTTAGGGCCTGCGGTCTGGAAAATAATAAGATTGTCTCTCTTCAGCTTGAGCCTCTTGAAAATGCCGATGGTGACATACTTATAGATTAAGTGGTAGCGGTATTCTTCGAGACATCTGTCCATCAACAAACGTCGCTTCTGGTACAACTTGACAAGTGTAAATGATCTTGAAATAGAACGCCCAAACCCCCAAGGCCATGGCACGTCACTTATAACGGCCGTCGATACGTGTGTCTCCAAGGAGAAACAAAGTGCAACCATTATTAGAAGTAATACAATTATTGCCCTCTTCCAGCACCTCTTCCACCACCCATGAGATTGCGAGCCCTGGGGTATGACCGGTTAACAGAAGCCCATGGATCTTAGAGGTTGTAAAACTTACATTTCAGCAATGTTCGGATCATTCATCAGGCTCGACATATCGGGAAGACCACCTTGACCGCCACCGAAATTCTCAGCCATCTGTCTCAAGCGTGGGTTGCTCATAAGGTTGTTTAACATGTCCGGATTGCTCATAATATTCTGTGCCATGCTGGCAAACATCGGATTGCTCATTATGGAGCTAAGGTCAGGCATGCCACCGCCCGCACCGCCGCCAGCCCCACCACCTCCGAGCATGCTAGCAAGGGACGAGAGGTCAGGCATGCCGCCAGCACCGCGTGTGGAGCCGGCCGCATCATCAACATCTTCTGCAGGCGGCTCATTATCCTTCTTCTCCATTTCTTCAATCCGCTTCCTAGCGGTCTCCAGGCCCTTTTTCATACCCTCGCTCCCACCGTTGCCCTCAGCTTCAATGCCTTTCTCGTAGGCTTCAGCGGCACCTTTCGCATCACCAAGCGCAAATTTGGCAAGGCCCAGCCTGCTCCAGGCCTTTACGTATTTCGGATCAGCAGCCACAGCCACCTCAGCGTCTTCCACGGCTCTTGCATGGTTTCCAGAAGCAGAGAAGGCAGCGGCACGGTTGGACAGATAAATCGGGTTTGCAGGGGCAATTTCAAGTGCTTTAGTGTAGAAGGAGATGGCTCCAATATAGTCTTTACGAGCCATTGCCGCATTGCCCTCTGACTTCAATCTATCCGATTCCTCGGTAGGCGCACCTGGGGTTGGTTTAGAGGCAGCAGGTTTTGATTCACTACCGGCATCTTTGCTAGGCTTAGCGGCAGTGCCTTTGCCCTTAAGCTTTTCATACACTGTATAAATGCTCAAAAGCGACTGGCCTCCTAGGGCGTCCTGCGTGGCGGCCTTGTTTGAAGGGTCGACCTTGAAGGCGTCGGCGATGCATGACTGGGCAATCTCCATTGACTCGGCATCCTCGGCGGAGAGAGTACCATCTTTGGCACTTGTGCTAAGAAAATCTATTATGGCCAAGGCCAGTTTTTTCTTTGATTCTGTGAGGGCCTGGGAGGGATCTGTTAGCAACGATGCTGGGTGACAGGGCTCATCGCGGGGTAAGCATCATGAGAAACACGGGACCGTCGGGGGAAGAAGGGCGAGTACCATCTTTTAAACAGGGAATGTAAACTTGGTGCAGCTCTGCGACTGGATTCCAAGTTGAAAGAATAGCAGATCGCAAAGAGTCGAAGAACAGGAGTTAGCCCTCGGGACGTCGAGAAGCTGGCGATTTCGCCATGGAGCTGGGATGATCACATGACAGAGCCGTTCTCCCTTCAAGACTTCCGCTATCGTCGCAAAAAAAAGGCCATCGACACAACGGCGAGGAGCACCGAACGGACAATTATCGAAGCTTCGTCTCCACAATGGTATCGGCTCCTAAAGATGATCCAATGTGATTGGTATTTTAAACTCATCTACAATCACGACCAGCAATGTACTGGCCACATGGAGTACCTAGAATCTATGCGGTCAATGGCCCGGGCATTGAATTGCCGGAAGTGGATGGCAGCGCAGCTCAAGATGAGAATACCACGGACGGCCCTCCCGAGGAGCAGCTAAGAACGGGGGATCAAGGGGAGCGGGCAGCCGATGCTGAGCAGGAAGGATGGGCGAACGAACCCATAACGGGTTTATGTGTCTCCAAGAACGGCCTTTATTTTGCGACAATGTCCCAGTCCTCCCTTGCGATCTGGCAGACCAAGGTATGCCGTTTCCTTGCTTATCTGTGTTTTCCAATATTAACTGATCCGCAGCCCACTGCAGTCATCGCTGCAGTGAAACGCTCGTCACGCTCTCTGAAAAACTATGGCCCAAATGTGTCCCTCCTGCTACGGCCAGATGCTGCCATTGTTGTCGTTCAGACTCTTAACGGATACCTCATCACGTATTCCATCGCGGTCTCCTCGAATTCCCATGCCTACCAGCATCGTTTTATGCATACCCAGCCAAGGCGTCACCAACAGGTCTCAGCAGACGATGCACAGGGCATTCGGGAGGCGAGCATCCGGTTTAGAGTAGTCATCAAGGTCGACGCTGGAATAAGCAAGGCACTTGCTCTCGATAATGAGTTGATGGTGGCTACTGTGAAACCTGCAGCAATCCAGTCCATCCGGTGGACCCCGGATAACAATGGACATCAGACCACAACCGAGCTGTTGCACCGCATCCCATGGCTTTCCAAGAAGACCGCCGTTGTGGATATGGTATATGACCGTGCAATGAATTTGCTATTATGGATTACGAGTGAGGGACAAGCCTACGCTGTGCAGCATAGCGTCGAAGAATCTCAGGATGGCAATCCGCCCAAATCCATCTTCAAGGGTCACAGGTTTCACACCCCGGAGAATGACGGCCAGAAGGCAGTACAAGTTGCTGTAAATGCGAGATTCTCTCTTCTTGCAGTTAGCTGTGTTAATGGCGACATTCTTATATATTTAGCCCGAGACTACATGGGAAACATCCCTCTGTCCCACAAACTTGCTCTTCCTGCATCTTCGGCTTCCTTGGGTGCCATATCTTTCATGGGCTATTCTCCTGATGGCTATTGCTTATTTGCAGGATATATGCACGGCTGGACAACATGGAGTGTGTTCGGAAAACCGGGAGGTAACAGCTTTGCTGCAGATTCCTCACTGGCTTCGAGAAACGGTGAAGCATGGTTGGCCGGTGTCTCCATGGGTGCATGGATAGGTTATGGTTCGGATATTCTTTTAACGTCCAACAATGACAGACGATTGTGGATCCTTGAGTTCGCAAGGAGTGCTTTGACTGGATGCTTCTCATCCGCAAACCTTGCCCGCGGGCTATTACAAACTGGCACCGAGATAATTCTATATCGTGGCCATGATTTGCCCGACTTGACTACTATATCGGGGAAAGATTCGCTATGGCACCATGCGCAGTATCCTCCACGCTACGTTCATTCACAATGGCCAATTCGATCGTCTTGTGTGTCCCAAGATGGAAGATACGTGGCCATTGCCGGGAGGCGGGGCCTTGCGCACTACAGTGTCCAAAGCAATAGATGGAAAATTTTTGACGATCCAAGACAGGAAGATTCCTTTGCTGTCCAAGGTGGCATGTGCTGGTATGGCCATATCTTGATTGCTGCAGTCGAATGCAATGCTGCATATGAGGTGATACGTCCACTCCATCGATCCTCATTCCGTGCTAACCTTTTTAGCTCCGAATGTACTCTCGTGAGCTTTCACTAAACGGCTCTTCTGTTCTGTATACCGAAGCCCTCCCGTCACCGGCGGTGTTCATCGGTCCTTCTGGCGAGGACTCTTTGCTAGTTTACACCTACGAGAACATTCTTTATCACTACGTTATAAATACGACAGGGACGAGAATTAGCCTTGTTCAGGTCGGCCAAATAGCTTTTCATGGAATTGTTCGGGCGCCTACCCGTGTGCGCGCTATTAGCTGGGTTTTACCTGAGGATCAGCTCCGTGAGTACTGTGTTGCAATTCTCATCTGTGGCCTGCCATTTAACTTTTCAACGCCTAGGAAATGGAGATCCTTCGCAAGATGTTGCCGTGGCTTCAGTTCTTTTCCTGGTAGACGGGAAACTGGTTTTGCTACAGCCAACCGTCTCTGAAGGAGAGTTGAAATATGATATGCGTATTGTAGTACATGATGTCGAATATTACATATTGATGCGGGATCAACTTTCTTTCAATTTTGCACCACCAGGAGATGAATCTTTACCGCCAAGTCCTTCAGCAGTTTCCGCTTTGAATAGTATCCAGTCTGATATCTCTTTGCGAGATTCATTGTGGGTGTTTGGTGGCAAGGATTTACTTGTTTGGACCGACGTCCAGGATGTGATCCGACCGAAAGGGCCATCCAGCGAAATCTCGAAGCCGCTCCCAATTCCTATTGATTTTTATCCATTATCAATTCTTCTTAATAAAGGCATTATTCTCGGAATTGAGCCCGAGATTACCCAACGGCGAGACGTTACATTTACTTTGCATCGATTTGCGATCCGAGTATGTTTGGATTTGTATCCCCAGGCATTGAATTTTCGCTAATAACTTTCCAGAGCCAATTATTTTTGCCATATATCCTTCAATATAACCTGTCTCAATTTGATACCCCTTCAGCCTTTTCTATCTGTCACCATTTCTCTCACCTATCATATTTCCCCCACGCCTTAGAGATACTCTTACACCATGTACTAGATGAAGAAGTTGATAATCCACGCGGCAACGATCCGTCACAAGGGGGCCTGTTGCTTCCTGCCGTCCTATCGTTCTTACAGGCTGGGAACCCTCCAGAATTATATCTGGACATTCTCGTCCAATGTATCCGGAAAACGGAGCTACGTTCATGGCGGACACTGTTCGCCCATCTGCCTCCGCCGAGTGAACTATTCGAACAAGCGCTAAAATTTAACTCTCTCAAGACAGCTGGAGGTTATTTACTCGTGCTACAAGCGTTTGATGACTCCGAAGATGAAAACAACGACGAGAAGATCGAAGAATCAGCAATTCGATTGTTGCGGCTAGCTTCACATAAGGGAGATTGGGAGTTGTGCGGTGAACTTGCTCGCTTCCTGATGGCTCTAGATAGCTCAGGAAATATGCTTAGACGTGCTGTCGTCAAGGTTGGATTGCGTGGGGATCAGCTTTCACTGCCGAGAGTGAACGCCAATGGCGTACCAACCCAGGAGCTGAAAGGGTTAAATTTAAACATAGCATCACCGAGATCTAGCCCGCTGTCCCCGAATGACAGCGGGAGTGGCCCATAAGCAATGTCTGATATTGTTCACGTTGGAATCCAATGCTGGACAAGTAGATGGTTTGCGGACAAATTCAACCTAATGGCAGAATTTATAACTTCCCTCACGAAAATACTCGATGATGACTTTTCGCTAGTAAATAGTCTTCCTCCCTATGACTCCCCTCGTACCCCGGCTTCGGGGTATCTCAACCCTTTCTGCGCGTCTTCTAGTTCGCGCACACGTTTGATAATGTCATTATACCGCAGTTCAGGCTCAAATTAATCATAAGTGCAAGCTATGGGTGTGTAAACGTCGAGTAAACCCCATACGCCAAAACCAGCATAACTTCGAGGGAAAAACAACTTAGAACAGGAAAAGAGAGTAGGGAGGCCCGGAAGCAGAATGAAGAAAAATCAAAAAGAAAGACAATCCTTCAATCAAACTGCAAATTCCACAAGCCATCACCAAGATAATGGCCCTCATCCATCACCACACCCTTCGCCTTCTTCTTCATCTCCTCCGTACCCATCTTCAACTCCCCCACAAGACAGATCTCCTCCTTCCCCTCCGCCGTGACCGCAACGACCTGCCCCGCCTCCAGCTCTTTGTCACCAGGGTTATTCGCGGGATCGGGCAATCTCCCGCCAGCAGATGTGAGGCCGGGAGCCATCAGAGTGGCGCCGGAGAGGACGAAGCGGATCGCGCCTCTGTCGATTCCGATAGTCGGCAGGGCGTTTGGAAAGGCGTGGAGCACACGGAGGTGAGGGATCAGGGGGCTGTCGAGGGATTGGAAGAAGATTGGGTGTGAGTCGCTGAGGTACAGGGTGACTCGATCGGGTCTAAGAGGTCAAGTTCAAAATAGTTAACCATTGATGGAAGTTGTATATCAAGAAGGGGAAACCGGAGACAAGCAGGTTAGTTAGGAGAAAGAGGGAGGGAGGGTGTGTATACAGTTTCACGGCTTCTAACGGCGCTTTTTTTGGCATCACTTCATCGATGTATGGTTCGAAACCGGGATAGGTTTCAAGGAACTTGTTTCGGAGAGATCGTTGCACGGACGACTTGACTTTGGAGCGCGCCCCGGGGGATATACTACAATTGTCGGGTTAGCATACGGATTTAGATGTGTGACTTCTACCAAGGACGATATATATATGAATATTTCGTGTCTAAAATCCCATAAGATATTGAAAAATAGCTTATATCCATGCATCACTTGGGCTGTTCGCGCGCACGTAGAAGATGGCGGGGTAGAGAGGACGTGATTTTAAGGATTTCTCTGGTAGGATACGCACTCTTTTTTGAACATTTTTGTCGCAATTTGACAGAACAGATGTGTACGGATATGTATTCGAGTGCACAGCCAAGGAATCGATTTGGATGAGGCGCGCTGGAGGTTGAGAAATATCTCCTGGCTCCCTGCGGACCTGCGGGGAGGCTGCCATCCTGATTAGGGCTTTCTGTTCACATGATCTTATCAATTCTACGCAGCGATACACCCAAAAAACACACGAAGATCAGAGAGATGTGGACGCTATCAAATCCTATTCGTTTATCATGGATCGTATTAATTTCTAATTCGAAATGCCGAATTTTCGTATTAACTCAAAAAAGGGTTTGTACTCTATATCGGAAATAGGTTTCCAATCTAACCCTTGGCGGCCCCGGCCTTGATCAAGATGATATCCCCATCTTCGACGACATAATCTTTACCCTTTGTCAGCACCTTGCCGGCAGCCTTGACAGCTGCTTCGTCACCATGCTCCTTCAATACATTGTAATTAAAAACAATGCACTGGATAAAAGTCTTTTCGAAATCTTTGGTTCCATCAGCACGAAGTTCAAACGAACCATGGAGGGAAGGGAAGCAAAATACCTGAATGGATAACACCAGCGGCCTGTGGAGCCTTAGTTCCTTTTCGAATGGTCCATTGTCTTACTTCATCAGCTCCAGTGGTGAAAAAGCTACCTAGGTTAAGCGCTTGACGCATGGTCACAATGATCTTAGGCAAAGCCGACTTAGTGCCGAGCTTCTTGCATTCTTCCTCGGCGGCGGCATCACTTTCAAAGCGAGTCAACCGCTCTTCAAAAGCTACAGAGAGAGGAATAATTGGATCTCCTTCAGAGTTCTTCTTAATCCACTCCGCAACCTTCGGGATATATTTGTTCTTTTGTCGAATATAGTCTTTCTCACTGAGATTGATAAGATATACAACAGGCTTAGCAGTCAGGAGGAAGAGAGGATTGATGACCTCGACCTATTGTCACACATGTTAGTAACCATGTGGCCTCACATCTAAATTCGCGTTGGGAATAGATGGTATAAAACAGGCAAATTATCAGGGTTGGACTTCATCTCAGGATGTTCTCAACATGAAAATAAACGAGAACATTCGACGAGCTGGGATTATATCGAGCTTATAGCTCTTATTCATCATAATAGCCAGTATTGGGAGCAAAAAATAAATTACAAAAAAAAAAAAAATAAAATAAAAGGGATAATTAATAACATACCTCTTTGGGAGACCAGTCACCCTTTCTAATATCTTTTCCGTCTTTCAGGAACTGTAGGATCTTAGCGACAGTAGCTTCCTCTTCTTTTAGTTTCTTCATTTCCAAGCTCTGTCCACCTCTTCTCGTCTGCTTGGACAAGGCCTCTAAAGCCTTCTCAACGAACTCAATATCCTTAATCCGGAGCTCTTCACTGATAATTTCCAGGTCTCGTACGGGGTCAACATCTCCCTCGACGTGGATAATTTCAGCATCATCAAAGCATCGGACAACTTGGAATATGGCATCGACTGCTCGGATATGTGACAAAAAGGCATTGCCGAGACCAGCACCGGTGGAAGCACCACGCGTTAGGCCGGCGATGTCATATACTGTCAAGTTTGCAGGAACCTGAGACTTGGGTTTATAATGCTCACAGAGCCAGTCGTAGCGTTCATCGGGAACAATGACACGAGCCTCTTCAGGGTCGATTGTGGCATATGGAAAGTTTGCAGGGTTACCTAACGAGCATTTTGTGATAGCCTGGAAAAGCGTCGATTTACCGACGTTCGCTAGACCAACCTGCAGACGATCGAAAGGTTAGTACATCGAAATCCACCGAGCCACAAGGTGGCTGAGAAAGTGAAGTCAAAAAGAAGACGAACAGAGTTGAAGAACAGACAATGCGATTGAGTCCGCACGTACGATACCGCTTTTCAGGTTGTTTCCAGGACGGCCCAGAGGGACTTTCTCCTCCTTAACTTGCTTCTTGGGGGGCATTTTCTTCTTCTTGCTGGCGTAAGTGCGAAAGACTATGCAGTGAGTGGAGAGTGTGATGCGTGGACCTTTGGAGGAGGTAGCCCTTAGGTGAAAAGCAGGACCAGCTGCGACCTGTGAAAATGAAGAGTAGAAAGAAGAGAAGGATATGCGAGATATTGTGAAGGACGACACGATGACAAGACCCAATGGGGTCAATAGGCGTGATGACCGGGAAAAAAAGAGGGTAGAGGCGGAGAGGGAGGGGAGGGGCAGAAGTGGTGGTGGTTGTAGTGGTGGTGTGGAAAATGCAGGATGTTTTGGTTGGGCAGGTTGCAGATGAAATTTTTTTTTTCTTTCGCTGAAATTCTCGCTGGGCGGCGGGTTGGTGGGTGATCACGTGACATTTACCCCTGGAACCTTGGCCAAACCTAACCGCCCCGGCTATCATCCAGCAGCATGTAGGTCGGATGTACAGGAGTACTCTGTACGGGAAAACGAATACTCCTCTCCATGGAAGCGCATCACAAAGCTATGCTACAAGTAACATTAGAACTATAATCGCGCAGAGAGCCTCCTCATCGATGTAAACTCCAGAGTGCCCATCCGACGTGCTTCCAAAGAGGCCAACCATGAAACTCCCCCCCCGGTCAGCGCCAGCAAACCCGTAAGAACTTCTTGAGCAAAGATCAAGTAATAACTAGGTGATGACCATAGCATCGGCTTCATTTTTATCTTCGTCGAGGATCCCAAGCAAGTGGGCATATGGAACGGTAATTCGTTGTAAATCTCGATGTTTTCCTAGAAATGAATCAGTAAAGCCGCCAGCGCGAGGAGAATCTCCAAAGACACGGGAGGAAAAAGAAAAAGGAAAAAGAAACTCACCAAGAGCAAGGACTACTTCCTTCAGTAGATCACGTCGCGGCCAGCCGCAGATAGTGTCTAATTCACTCTCCCAAGGCCCTTCTTCTGAATTTTTGCCTTTGTCACCCGTCACGGAATTTTCCTTCTCCTCACCCTCGGAGAAGATCCCACCGATGAGTCCTTCCAACAACTCTTCCGTCTTCATTTTCAACCCCTCTGCCCCCAGGCGTTTTGCGTACATCAGTAGATATAAACGAAACTCTTCCTTTGCCCCCAAGGAAAGTGCAGCTGCAACACGGTTTTCAAGGTGGGCAATAGAAGCGCCCGCTTCAAAGCTCTCGAACCCTTCCTTGGAGAGCAGTACCTTAATGAGTCTCTGTAGAAAATATGCACGTCCGCGAACGACAATTTCATCTGTAGTATTTCTTTCAAGGAAGGGAATAATTCCCGCAGATATTGCCGCATCAGGCCCGGTCTGATTTCGAGCCAACTGTAGGTCGCCCACTGAAGAATCGGTAGTATTCCAATACTGGCTCGCCACCGCAAACCAGGGCTCCGACAGTCGCTGCCAGGTATACAACGAAGGGTTATAGCTATAGCCATCCCCGTTCGACACTGCTAGGATGATGCGGCCCTGAGAGCTGATTCGCGCAGCGATAATCGAGGGCACCGTTGTGGGGGTTTGGGTCATCGTGTGTACCGCCGCGTCGAGCACGGGGGCTAACGAAATGGGCGGATGGGGGGAGGTGAGGGTGGTAACGTTCCAAACATAGCACATGCCAACCGCTGTTATACACAGCAGCCAAGATTCCCTGCATTCAAGAAGCACCGGCTGTGCTTCTAGGACAAGAGCACTGACTAGGCGGCGCCCCGCTGGTGTCCAAATATACACTGAACCGTCCTCCGTGGCAGCGGCCCAAAACTTTTTGTTTCCGGTGACGAGAAGGACAGCTTTTGGAAGGAAATCCTGCCACAGAGGCTGGTCGCCGCGCGTAAGACTTACTCTCGAAGGTTCGCGATCGGTCACCCGACCCGTTAAACTGGGCCCAGAATGATTGCGAGCTTCAAGTGTAAGGTCCGCTTTTGACTGGGACGAGGATGCCAAACCCGAAGACACACTAGTAGGATTCCCAAAGATATCGATGCCTTGGACGATATGGACCCTAACTTTCGGTACCGCTAATCTGATTTGACTTACCGCCATGACAGGGTTAACCACCGCAGGCCGAATGAACTCCGGCGTCTCTTGTAGCTCACGTGCGGTCTGTGCTGCTGGAACAAGCCCATCCGGCTCATTGATGAGAACCGGGTTTGCTCCGTGTTGGCTAGCAGCTGCAACTCGCTTCTCCACAGAGTTATCCTCTCCGTCTTCCATCTGAGCAAATTTTCGTTTGTTACCAAACAATATTGCAGCAATTCCGCCTTTTGGAAGACCATCAAACGGCTTCGACAGATCGAGGACGGTTTCTGGACCCTCGGACCTGCCAGCCAGCCCGCTCGCTGACGAAGCAACCAGTCTCGACTGAGGAAGCGATGATTGCGTACCGCCAGCGCCAGACACTAACAGCGGTGCAATACGCTTCTTGCCATCCTTCGTATATGTTGGTCGCTGCTTCAGTCTCTCCAGCTTCGCAGCATAAGGGTCCGGCTTCTCTTGATCTCCAGGGGTTCCGTTCGGTGTTCCATTTTGTTGCGGCTTCTGAGTTCCGGTGGGCGTCGCAGTGCCCGCAGTTGCAGCTCCGCTCCTAGATAAATCTCCGGGAGTACCATTTACCCCTTGGTCGGTCGACGGATGGCCGTCTCCCATCAACGCTCCCATACGACCTTCGACACCTTTGATTTCTCCCGCTTTACTCATCTCTTCAAGCAATAAACCATTGGCTGATTCCACAATCCCAGCACCTCTCCTACTTGTGCCAAACTTGGTTAAAGATTTCTCGTTTTCCTCCATTGGCATGGGGTAACCAAGTTCCTGATCTTCAAAGCGTACGACTAATATCGTTCCATCAAGCGCTGTGGCGAATAGGTTTTTTCCATCAGGACTCCACGCGAGATCAGAGATCGCCTTCGCGGATAAATCTTGAGTTATAACAATGGGACGCGGGTTGATCGTAATCCAGACACTTAGGGATTTGTCTCCACCAGCACATGCGATTACTGTCACAAGCGTGGGGCCGGCGTTTCCTTGGTTATCAGTTGCGCTTTTGCCCGGCGGGCTAAATGAATATAGTCTTGGGGAAAAAGCACAGACTTCAACTGGTGCTTCATGGCCAATCAGGTTAATATCACTGTCCCAAGAACCGCGATTTATGATTGCAGCTGCGCTAACAGGTCCATTGACGGCATTCGCGGCGGCAATATGGGTTCCGTCCGGAGACCAGGAGCAACGTCGAAAATAAGTTGTCAATGGAGAGTTCACAAACGGTGCTTTAACAGTGTGTTCTAAGACGAAATTTTGAATCTGGTCGTGAGCAGTGGAGTTTGGAGTGGGAGAAGTAAACCGAAATATCCGTATCGTGCGATCATCACTTGCAGTAGCGAAATATTTATTTGCTGGATCGAAAGTAATCCCTTTGACGTGACTTTGATGGCTTAGGATGGTCTTCAGCTTCTCAAATGTATGCCCGGACCACACCACGACCTTAGAATCCAAGCCCACAGACACCAGTATGGAGGAGTCCCATGACCATCCTAAATCTTGCACATCATTGTCATGGCCTATCAACCTTCGTATGGTGCGCCAGTTCTCGACTGGCGGAGGTTCATTTGTTCCTATGAACGGAAATTTTATCAGCTCTCCTATCCGCTCCGAGACCCCAAAATCCTCGAGAAAGCTTACCGAAAGTCGAAGTATGTGAGGGAGGATTCGGTTCATGCACATATACACAAACAATCTTATCATCTGCGCCGGAAGCGAGATATTTCCCGTTGTGAGAGAATCGAACCGCATGGATAGTACCCGAGTGATTGCTCAACGACGCCAATTGCTTAGGTTTATCTGCATACTCTGGGTCCACCGCATTGTAGATCGCGTCCGTAGACCATATCCTAACGTAGCCATCTGTATCTCAAGTTGACCATGGGCCGGTCGTATTTGTTAGCTATTGTCCACTACCAGAACCGGAATGGAGGATGCGAAATATAACATCGAGTCGCAAGAAACAAAGGAAAAAAAAAAGGCGCGCAGAAGCCTATCGTCGCTTACCTCCAGCGGCTGTGACAAGTCTTTTCCCATCTGGCGAGACGTCGCAACTATAGACTTCATAATCCTTTCGGTCACCTACGTGAAAGCAGAGTAATGGTCAGCTCAATGCTCCAAGGCAGCAAGAACCTAGAAACCATTACCTCCGTGTGTCAGCCAGACAGGCTTGATAATATGCATTTCAACGCTTTTCGCCCGATAGTTATTTGAGCGTGGTTGGGTTTGAATTCGGCGTGGTGGCCGGAGCCTGTGATCACTGAATATTCAGGGAGCGAACTGATCACGCATGGCAATGCGGGATGGTCTTTGGGAGCGAAATTAAATTCGGTTGGCCAGTTGTCCGAGTGGATAATTGCGAACGAAAATAAATCAAATAATGAGACAAACCAGATGGTCAAAGAGCCACGGTTATGACTGAGGCTTCGCTGCTTCGCGTGGTGTCGTCGCCGATGATCTGCAGGTGGTGGAAGGACAAAGTTAACTAACTCGGCATGCGTCGTTTAGTTGCAGATTGGTTCGCTCACTGATTACATGGATACGAAAGCTTAGGTCCCAGCACAACCGGGAAGCTTAGTGCAACCTTGAGGTTATCAAAATAGAGTATTCATACAAAGATCGCCTATCATACACTTTTGGTATCGGGCAAGTATCCCATGCAAACCCCCCTGCCATCTAGAGACAAATGATTCTTCTTTTTCCGATGTCGACGAGCCGTTTGTTACGCGCATCCAGGACCAGAACGCCGGCAATTATGCTGAGCGGCGAAGCCAAGTTTGGAAACCAAATATACCGAAAACGCTAGATTAAAACACATGACGAAGTGGATATCAATTTAGATTAGAACTCATGGCCTCCTGCGGTGACTCGTTTCCTCGAAGGATTCCAGGACGCTTTCGGCAACCTCACTTTGTTGAGGAGCAGGGGAATCAGGCTGTTGAGTGCTCTGAGGGGCTGCTTCTTGATGGAGACCACGGTCTGTCTCAACGCTTCTGCGATCCCGCGCTTCCTTTTCACCTGTCCCCTGTGGAAGAATGGCCTTTGCGGCCAGGGCTTTAGCCTGGCCTTCATTGACCTTGCCATAGACAGCCAAAGCGCTAGCTATCATGCCTCCCATGTCTCCAACGTTACCCGGAACCACGACTGCAGTCCCTTCCCGGGCAAGTTTTCCAAAGGCATCAACATACTTCTCGGCAACAGACAGACTGACAGCTGCCTGGGCATTCTGTTGACCATCCTCTATGGCCCTTGCGATAGCATCAATTCCACGGGCGGTTGCATCAGCCTTTAGTCGGATCGACTTTGCTTCACCCTCTGCTAGGTTAATCTGCTCCATTTTTAAGGCTTCGGAGGCCAAGATCACGGATTGTTTCCGACCCTCTGCGATGTTGATTGCGCTCTGTCTCTGACCTTCAGATTCCAAAATTTCAGCTCTCTTGGATCTTTCTGCGGTGACTTGACGATGCATAGCCGCCACAACTCCTTCAGGAGCATGGATATCTCTTATTTCGTAACGAAGACATACCACGCCCCAATCCTGCGCGGCCTCGTTGATGGCTTGAGAAATATTCGCATTAAGATTAGCTCGTTCTTTAAGGACGTGGTCTAGAGTGAGCTGGCCAATTTCCGAACGCATGGTCGTCTGGGCCAATTGAGAAATCGCGTATTCGGCGTCTTCTACACCATAACTATAAACACGACCTTAGGTTAATAATTCCGCTTCAACGCCACGGCGGCTTGTCAAATAAAATGTAAAGATAATCGCATACCTAGCCTTGTACGCGTCAAACACTCTAGTATAAAGCACTCCGTCCAGCTCCAGCGTCACGTTATCGGCTGTGATAGCATTCTGACTTGGTATCTCAATCGCCACTTCCTTCAAGCTCTTCACATAGGCAATCCGGTCAATAAACGGCATCAGAATCGCCAATCCCGGTTCTAAAATCCTGTGAAATTTCCCCATCCGCTCCACAATCCATGCCGTCTGCTGCGGAACAAATCTAATAATCGTATTTGCGGGTAGCGACTGACGATTGGAAAAGTAGGTTGGGGGAACGGAACCGCCACCGCTAGAAGCGGAGAGATTGAGGAACGAGTTATCTGCGGCAAGACCTCGCGAACTGTTGAAGTGCCGTCTTGAAAGGCTCCGATTCTGGACGAGGCAGAGATTGGCCGAGGCTGCTGTCGGCCATGCTGGAATCGTCGAGGGTCGCCAAAGGTGCGTAGAGCTGGAGGCGAGCAGCCTCCTCGACAGGATTGATCCACGCGCCACCTCCATACTGAGCAGACTGTAGGTTGAAAAGAAAAATTCTTGTCCAGTAATATTTGTTGCTAAAAGCCTGGAATGATTGCCGTCGCGATAATGCCGTCAAGGTTGGCCCCAGACACAAGGTCACATGACTAACCATCAAAAACCGTACAAGCGGCGGTGACGAAGGTACCAGATAAACAATTTACTATTATATAAATTTCTTTTTTTTTTTTTTTTTTACTGGGGCCTATATGATAAAAGCTACGACTCAGAATTATCCGCAGCATGCAGACTTGATCCTCCATAGTAGGTCACGGGTAATCCATTATGAGTCAGAACAAACAACAGATAGAAATGGACGGGAGTTGGATCGAGAGTCTCAAGCTGAGAGAAAGGAAAGGTCACGAATGAAAACTAATGTGAAAATACGATCAGGGAACATCGATCTTGTAACAGACATAGAAAGACAAAGGCATAAAGAACACACTAATCAGAAATGAAACCCATGCCATCATGGTAAGTGCTTTTTGAAACGCGTCCTTGGACAAAAATTGGGAAATAAACATCAACCTAAGACCCTGACAGACATGCAGCAAACCGTAAAATCATTAAGACCAAATTTTTAAGAGAAAATCAAAACAGCATCCTGCTATTCCATGAATGTCCCTTTATCCCGCATGAGCCATTGTGGCCAATGCTCGGCTGAGTCGAAGGCCAAAGAGAACGCAACGGCAGCAGGGTCATGCGCAAAAGCATGACATTCCATAGACAGCGGAAGTAAAGATCGAGGAAAATGAAGTGAGGCGCCTGTCAAAGGTCCGAATCGAAATGCCGAAGAGAAAAATGGTGAAAAAGTGTAACCCCAGAACTTGACCAAATGAGATTTTCCGTTTATAATGCAATATTTTAAACGTGACTTGTATTTCCTTAAAAATGAGATATTTTCCCTTTTTTTTCTTTTTTTTTTTTTTTTTTTTTTGGGGCAATCCGGGGTATGGGTGGTGGGTCATATTCGTAGAGGGAAGGGCGAAACAAAATACTGAGGTCGAAGTCAATTCTATCAGAACAGCAGGATTGATCTCGAAATTGGTGTGATATAGCGGACAAATCGACATGCGCATCTCGGAGAAAATATCACGGCGACTGCTCACTAGAGGTAAAAAGTCTGAATAAATCGCTCTTGACAGCGGGCACGGTTATGCGAAATCGGATAGCAGGGCGAGGCTTGCGGAAGGATGAACATTAATAATAGAAGACCGTTCTAACTGAAAATTCGATGCGCAAATTAAACCTTCACAAGACAGTTAACGTTCCAGTTCGGCTCGTAAATTGTCGTCAATCAAACCATCGATTTTCTTTCTGCTTCTGAGGTTAAACGCGCCGTTCCTCCATGCACATCGAAGACGTTGAAAAGCGGGCCGCTCCTTATCGCCGGTTTCCGATTTCACAAGCGCGATAAGATCACGAGCAACACCATCACCGATCAGTCTGTTGCTTGAAAGAACGCCATCATAGAACTTGATGAGATATCGAAGGCCAACGGTAGAACTTCTAGACGAAACATCATCAAACGCCAAGCTCCTAAACTCATTGTACATTCGAGAATTAAAATTTCGAACCAAGAAGTGAGACCAAAATTGATAGAGCACATCCATATCCACAGGAGTTTCACTCAAAGAGTCGGATAGACGCTTCTCAAGGGCCTGCGTGCGGAATACGGTGTAAGACTCGTGAACAAGACCTGTCGGAAGGGATTCGATGGGAGACTTGTCGTTTTTAATCCAGAACGTAGGCAAAGGACCGCTTGCTTGCTCAGAAGACTTGATCAACGAGTGTGACTTTGGTAAGCAGGCGGATTTCCTTCGTCGATCCACATCGGCACTAAACATCATTAGCAAGAAAACAAGCGATTCGGGATTGACCTGACCAGTACCTATCTGACCCGGGTGAACTTCCGTGAGCAACTAACGGCGACCGATTTTCTGCATTTAATTGCCCGAGGGCTGCTTTATAACCGTCAACAAATCCATTGGAGAAAGAACGAGACGAGGGCCCGAGAAAAGGCGACTGAGCTGGGCTGGGAATTCCAGGCTTACGCACCACAATCACCAAATCCCCGATTTGCTCGTCTGGAAAGGTATTTTCAGAAACGGGATCTCTCTCACTAACATTTTCATTCTGTGTCGTCGGAGGGACCAGAGGAGAAAATTCGGCTGCAGTGGAAGACAACTTGACAGAACGAGCGGGGGCTTGGCTATTGGCAGTGTCCAACGACGGCGCACTTGATGGTGGCGATGTTGTGGAGGTAGCATGCGTGGCTCCGTTCGTAAGATTAGAATATCCATCCTGTTGCACAGTCATTCCATTCTCATTGAGACCATCAAAATTTGTGGAAGGTGAAGTTGTAACTGGCGGTGGACCTTCATTCTGAGCTGAAGGGTCTCGCATCTCCATGCTTAGGACCCACTGATCCCATTTTTCCCTCTTGCGGACACGATCCAAACCATCCTCGCTAGGTCTATAGTCAACGTTTTTCAGTTGGCGGCAAACCAGGCGAAGAACGTCCATGTCCTCAGTTAGGGACTTAATGCGCTTGAAAGCAGCGATAACGCTCAAAAGAACGAAGCCTTGAGAATCCATGTGCTTTCGAAGGAATAAATCTTTGCAAAGGTTATCAACCGAAAAGTAGTATTCCCTGAAAATTAAGTTAGCAGAGTTCAAGAATCAGGGCCACTTACAAACTTTGACATACAATTGCATCGAAATCATGCTCATCAAGGAATATTGCTCCATATACGGTTGATATGGGACGGCAGTCATGGGACCCTGGGGAATTTGGGGGTATCCATACACGGAAGTGAGGTCGGTCTGTATCGGGTAAGGTGATGGTCCATAGATCGCGGGATTGGGCATCGAGGGCGACCGCAAACCCATTCTAGCACTGCCCTGGGATCCGTTTTGGGGGCCCGGCTGTTGCATGCGGTGTCGGTCATTGCTGAAAGTGAAGTTCTTAGGAGTTGAGAACGGGTGTTGTGGGATCGGAGCGCTATGGAATGCTGTATTTTGTGCACTAGTATAATTAGAATGTCCACCGCGTCCCCGGTAGCTGCCCCGGCCCCTTTCAGAACGGGACTCTCCCCGATGTTCTCTACCATAGTCTCTCTCCCTGTGGAAATCACCTCGCTGGTAATCACGGTCTCGACCAAAGTCCCGCTCCCTAAGCGCGAACGAGTTTGACTCTTTGAAAGGGTCTGCAGAACGCGGGCCGCTTTCGAAGCGTCGTTCTGCATTTTGGCCATAGCGGGAGTAACCTTCGCCGTGCGGCCCGCCCTGCCTTGGAGCATGGGTGTGAGGTGCATTTGACGACTCCTGAGACTTACCGAATGATTTGGAGTCTTGTCGTTGCTGGGATGATTCAAAGTGTGTAGTTCGGTTGCTCTCCGGATACGCCCCTTCAGCATTTTTGAGTTTGCCATTTTGTGCTCCGTCTGAGTGGGAGCTTTCTCCATCAAATACGGCGTCTGCACCATTTAGTTTAGCTCCTTGGGCAGACCTGGAATCACCGGTCGCTCGCCGGTCTAACTCTCGGTTAGAAAAACCCATACCATCAAAGCTGAAGTTGGATTTCTCACCACCAGCATTATTTCCATGGATTTGACTGCCGCCATGTGCACCACCCTCCCTGGATCCTCTTGCAGCTCTGCCACCCCTTCGAGCGGCCGGTGGTAGCGGGGTGGAAAAGACTGCTGTAGGCACATAAGGCACAGGCATCCACTTTTCCTTTCCGTGAGGTCGGGAGCCAGCGGGCTTTTCTTTATCAGACCGTTCTGTTTTCTCGACCTTTCCTTGCGCCCTTCGTTGTTCCTCGCCTTGCGCAAGTTGTGGTGTTGGCCATGATGCAGTGTCCGCCATTGATGGTAATGGCTCAGTTGGATCAGGCTCTGTAGCAGACCGATGCGATCGTACGTTATTCTTTTTTGGAGCTATGAAAGGGTTAGGGTCGTATATATTATAAAGCGAACGAAAAATAAATAAATAAAAATAAAAGAAAAACAGGTAGTCCGATAACTCACCATCACCTGCTCTCTTCTTCTCCCCGAAAGACTCAGAGGACTTCCTCCTGTTGCTACCCTTTGATGCGTCTGGACGAGCCTCAGAGCCAAACTGTGCGATAGAGGCCTTCGGAGCAAGTTTGGGGAGCGTACTCGCTGGCTTCAAAGCCGCATTGGCCTTGACTTTCGCTTCTTGGGCTTCACGTCTCTGCTGCCAAATGTTTACAGCAGGAATCGGGGCTGCCCTCAGCTCTTTCAAAGGCATGCTGCCTTTCTCCGACCCGTTTTCCGAAGACTTCTCTTTGCTTCCTTCTGGGGTTTGATTGGGCTTGTCAATCAAAACAGAAGCCTGGGATTGCTTATCCCAGGTAGAATCTGATGACCCGTTGGGCGTAAGTGACATATCGTCCTCTTTGGGTAACGTGTCAGTGGATGCTGTCGCAACACTCGGAGAAGATGCTCCCGAAGAGATGTTTTTGGTAAGGTCCCGTTCTATTCCGAGTTTCTGTTTCCCAAGGATGTCCGTAGACTCATTAGAGCCCGGGGCCTGTTTCGAGTCCTTGTTGTTGGAGCTATCAATCATCTCGACCTTTGTCGGTTCATTCGCCGAAATCGTCGATTTTCCTTGGTTTTCAGTGGTTGACTGAGTAGGAGTTGAAGAAACCAAACCCTTCGCGGCCTGCGCATAGGAAAAAGCGGGCATGTCAGCCGCCGACTTTGGTGTCGGTGTCGCCATTTGGAGACAACTCAAGAGGCTGAGGAAATCAAGCTAGAGGTACGAGTTGGATTCTACTGGCGTTACGGCGCGGTAGCCAGTAGCTGTCCCTTCTAGGCTATGCCAGTTGCACGCCCCCGTCACCAATCTAACAAACAAGAGACGACCTCCACCAGCGAGCTGCCCCACCGATGGCAGATTATCCCACAATCAAACCAACAAGGCTTGTATGGATGTGGCGATGATTGCTCGGGGATATTTGTGGGACGACCGATCGCGACACGGAACTTTGCGAGATACCGCCCGAGAAATGTTTCAAACGATAAAAGTTAAAAGAGTTGTATGAGCTCGGGGCCGGAAGGCATCGATAACAGACGCTCGAGTTCGTCACAACAGGGCAGTTCAAAAACAAAGCTTTTAAATGACTTGTCCAGTCCAACCAACGGAAAGTTGGTGCGTGGAGGTAGAAAATGGACGCACGTGAACCGCCGGACGAGACAGCCTTACAAGCAACGGCGGGCGACGGCAAAGTCGAAGGCGCTCTTGTGTGGCCAGGAAGTCAGTCGACACAGAGGTCTAAATGACTCTATTCGTTGGTTAGTTAAAAGCACACGAGTATCGCTACGGCCAAGGGAGAGAATGCCGCAGAGCCGACCACAGCACAATAAATCTCGCAGGACTTTCGAGGCTGGAAATCGATGGCGTCAAACAAAAGTGAACGTGATTGTACGTGTAGACGAACCAGATTGTATCTTTGTCAAGGATCGAAGCCAACAAGGACGTCGGATACTTGACAAAGGGGCGGAGGAAATGGAGGATGTCGAGGAATTGAGCTCCTTGGAGATGATATGGAGGTGTGTGCTAAAAAGTGTGGGATGTCAAGGGAAAAAAAAAAAAAAATAAAAAGAGAAGTCGATTTATTACATACGCATGAAATGGGACTAGTGCGGGTTTAAGCCTGAGAGGATCCAATCTTTCAATACCTCAGTGCAATCACCAGCGCGAAATACTGTGCGAAGATGGTTCTGTCTGAACAAGAAGGGAACAACTTCAAGTGGAACAAAGTCAAGGAGCAGGTGAAGGTGATGAACACATGAAAGGTAAGAGAAGAGGAAAGGAGATAATATCAGAGAGAGAGAGATGAATACAACAGGTCAAAGGCACAGCAAAAGTGAGACGCAAATGAGTGAAAACACCTATGTAACATCACTACTAAAAATACACCTCTGTTACAAGTAACAAATTCGTGGGCCTGCCCGTTAAGGGCGAGTTCGAATCCAAATCGAACAGGGCCACTCATAACTGAATATTCAACAGTGAGGGATGTAGATCTCTTGGAAATCAAGCATCCCCCATCGCCAGAACTACAAAGTGATTTAATCTCACGGAGTTACATTGGGCTTTGATGAAAAAGGCCTCCGGTGAGATCCCTTCGAGGATGAGAGAGTCTCCATCTTGTAAACCTGTAATTATCATAACCAGCCTGTAAGTAATGTCTGTACAGTACAGTACCCGCCTAATTTATTACACTCCGGGTTATGCCCTGCTTCCCCACATGTAGACACACCGAGAGAAGGCCATTTCTCCTTTGCTTCTTGAACTCGGTGCCGTTTCTTCCCTCTCCACGAGTAGTGGTTGTCTATGAATCGATGTTGTTGGTCGTCAATCGGGCCCAAGCCGCTGTTCAACCACAATGCACCAGGATGCAATCGATCTCACATCCGCATTCCGTCGCGAGAGCATCCAAAGACATGGATGAGAAAGCGCGCCGAAAGAAGAAGATAAAGCCAGATAGCCTAGTTTACATACATATGTATCCAAGCAAAAACCCGTGCCAATCCCGCCTGCTGCACTTGTTCCTCGGTCGGCCTCCTCAGCCTGATCCCGTTTGCATACGTACCGCACATACCTATGATAAACTACTGTATTGTCACTCAAGATGGGTTCAAAGAGCACGTCAAGGGGCTCGTCTGTAAGTATTACGGGAAAAGCAAAACCTGTCTGTCTGCCAGCTCGACCCCTCCATCTACCCAAGCCACGACGGAAACCTGAAGAACCGTCAAAGCGTCACCGGATTCCTGAACCCAGCACTACATTTTTTTGAACGGCGTTCCATCCCGAATGAGCTTGTACGATATACCCTCGGAAGCAATATCCCCGCTTGGCTGACTTTTACGGGTGCATATCCTTTCTGAATCCGGTTCAAGCCGCGGGCATATCTTGACGATATTAACCAGGGGCTATTTGCGCGGAAAAGCGACCTTGGGTATCATATTCGCGTTGTTTTAATGGATGCTACGGCCCGGAATTATAAATGCATTTTTCCAGTGTAATATTCACAAGGTGATGGAGGGTGGAATTTATACGACGCTGACTTGGGTTTCAAGGGTATGTAATCTATACGTAAGAGGTATTACATACTGCCGCTCTGCACTCGGCTGATTCCCGTACAAAACCCGCGCATTTTTCTCGAGCGCTGACACCACGCCCAATTATCGACGTCTTATTTTAGTAGTTTTGGCCAACAGCAGACTCTATTGGCTACTCATGGGCTGGTTTGTCACCCTAGGGAAACGCCTATTGGCTTATCGATTTTAATTCATGTCAGTGCGTTACACTGTTATCCGTTTTTTATTAAAAGGAAACTGATAATTACCGCGCCGTGCAACCGCCCGTCCTCGACAGGTCTATCACCAATGCCGGACCGTAACCAGTACTTTCTCATTACGATGCACCTCGCCATCAGCTGGGTTTGAGCTGATATCGATCCGGGACAGCAGCCTCCATACAAGCTTCCGGCTTAGGCCTTCTCGAACAGGTATCTTCTCCAGCGCGTCTGTTCCGTTGAAGTATTTTGTAAAAGCATTCCAGTATCGATGGATCGATACTTCACCTTCAAAATCCTCGCTCTCGTTCGCTCTGTCGGCCAGATGGTCGTCCGGAAAGCGGGATATGATTTCATCGAGCCATCTTGCCTCGAGCGGGGACGCCCGATGCGGCCGGAGAATTAATGACGAGATTTGTGCCGGGTCGTGTCCCTTCTGGTGCCCCTGGAAATGTGCAAATCTTTCTTGAACAGGGGTGGCATTGCTATGCTCACTGTCCAAAGACGATGATGATGTCGATGCGCCGTCGTCAGTTTGGGGCTCATTTACTCTAATGACCGTAGCTGTAGAAGAAGCCAGTTCCTCCTCTCTTTCTTTGGCTTCCTCACTTGCGAGCGCTTCCTCAACAGCACTCTTCAGTTCTTGGTCCACCTTTATCCAGCCAAACGTGCGAAGCTGGGTGACCCAACCTCCCCTCATCAACCACGCAAGAATATCATAGTAGATACCTTTGTGGTCTCTGCTGGGAATAAAGCTGGCATAAGGCCGTGGTGTACCGCTTAAAACTGCCAGCATCTTAGGGAGACTGGGCATTGTCGGAAACGCCAACTCATATGCTGCTGTCGCTAACCCCAGTTTGCTCAAGTCACAATTAGGGGAAACGATGTATGTGTCTTGCTTGTTGAGCGGGGGCACAGCTCGAGCTCGGCGCCAATAAATTAGGTGGGCTGCAAGCACTTGAATATCGTTTAGCGGAATCGATGAGCGCGCGGAAATCTGGGCGAATGATTTGGTGGGCTTTGACGACCTGATATAATGAGCTAATGGTGGCCCTAGGGTGCCCATTGAAGCTTCTATATCCTTCAATATCGACGCTTCATCGCTGAGGAGAAGAAGCGCAAAATGTTTCGCTAATACCTTGCTTGGACCAGAATATTCCATTTCAGTTACTTCATCCGTAGCTGAGAGGCTATCTGCGGTAGTGAGCCATAATCCCGGGTAGGCGGGCTCCATGGGGCCAGGGAGGTACGGAGTAGATGTAAGAGGAGGTATCTGAAGACTCATTGTTGTATGGGGGGTGAGGGTGATAGACGCGATCTTCGAAGTTGATATACTTCGATAGATGGTCGCAATCGCCTGTGCCAGAGAGGATTGTGACAATAGCTCCTCATAAACAGATGATAAGGAGGATTCTGGTTCGTCCACATTTGCCAATAAGCATGGTACATAGTGCAGCGGAGCTAGGAAGGGAACATACTATTCTCACGACCCTTCTCCTTGATATGAAGGATTTTCTGGGCCTCTTTCCAGACATAATTAGCTGTCGCCTGTTCGGATTTTAACCCCTTTCCAAATTTCTTAATGACGTTGTCGTAATTCTCCTTGATTCGCAGATTGTGCTCCAAAATGGGCGGATTCATCACGAAGACAACATTGAACATTGTCATAGCATCCTTAGTTCCATCCGTGACAGAACCATCCTCGTCGGGATGGCTTTCTATTAATGACCGGCTGGGCTCTTCGTCATTGTCAGATCGGCCGTCGACATTAGGATCGCGTTCAGATTCAAGTTTCTCTCCACCGTCCGCATATCCACCCTTTTCAGATCCCAGGGTGGGAGCCGTATCCAAAACTGAATCTCCTGCTCTCGTCTTCTTCTTTTTCCTCTTCTTTCTCCACGTTCCATCCTCCCTGACAAAAACTGGCCATCCCACGAAAGTGAGATCATTGACCCCGACCTCAAATCTTCTCTTGTGCCAAGAAGACGATGGACACAACAGCTTCTCCCACACATCGGTCCCCAAGCCCAGGAAAGAGTCCCATGGAGGGTTCTCCAGTTCATGCGAACGTTCACTTCGTCTGCCATCGCGTGGAGTCTCAGTATCATCTAGCTCCGAGCCTCCCAGATTTGATTTCCGCTGCTGCGAAGCTGCTTTTGTTGAATGGCTTCCGGACGATAAACGCCGAACATTCGTAGGCCGCGGAGAACCTATCTTTGGGGTTTGACTTAAATCATCTTCATCAGAACTGGAGCCCTCTTCGTTATCACTTGAAGGACTGGAGTCAGAGGTTCTTGGGCTCGGTTTAGTGCGCGAGTTGCTGCGAGAGGGGGCGCTTGCGATGGAGGGATTAGGAGGATAATGATATACGAATCTTGGGCCGGCTCGGGAACAAGTAATGAGAATTATCGCGACGAGACATGGATCTGGGGGGCGTACGACGGAGGACATTGGTTCACATTATTGAAAGAGATAAAAGACTTATATCTGGAATCCAGGATGAGACAGGGAAAGTGAGCAGTGGTTTGAAAGAAGTGATGGTACTGGAGTGCATTGGGCGCAAGCTTAAGCATGCGTTCATTGAAAGAGAACTACCACATTCCCACCCTGACTCTATTAAAACAAATTTCCCTTTGAAACTCTGCGGGAGAAGAACAGAACAGAATGAGAATAGATGATTAAAACATGTCTATAATACACTTTCTATGAGAGGAATTGCCCTTAAATCAATAGCCGAAATCCATCCATGCAGAACACCATTGACTCCACCGTATGCGCTTTGACAAGATTTATATACAAAAAGACACAGAGTCATTCATTCACAGCTTCCCCGCCATAGGAGTTCGTTCTCGGGTCAAGTATCCGGAAATCCAGATTGTTCATTTTGTCGACGGTGCTTGTTTCGTCTTTGCCGTCGTCTCGGGCTTCTGCTCCGATTTGGGCGCATCATCGTTAAATTCCAAGCCCAAATTCTTGAAATCGTCGGGAGCCATCAGGTTGCTATAGCAAGTTGCAAATCTAGTGAGCATTTCGTCCAAACGAAGCTAATCGGCAGATTATCAGCGGCTGGCCTGAAAAAACGTACTTTTCCATCCGACAGTTCAAGTATCCTTTGGCCAGCTTTCGACATCTTTCATCGTTGACGCCGCCGACCGATTTTAAACAATGTAGATATGATGCGATCAAGTATTTGCATTCTCCTATGGTCAAGAAACGTGAGAGGTAAGCAAGGTGGAGTTTCCACCACTACCGCGGGTCGAAAACGTTCCACGCGCGGCAATAGTTGGGACAGGAAGAGGAAAACGAACCATCATGATCAAGCGGAAAGCTACCCCGTTCCGGTCTATATTGGCATTGCATTAGCGGTCGAGCACACAATGATAGGGAGCGAATGGAGCTTACGGTGTCGGCTTGATATTGATGGATCGACCGCCAGGACTTCCGAAACTCATGATTCACAATCCCTTCACAGCGCAGACAGTAAATAGCTAAATATCCGATGTCACGGTCAGTGTCGATAAATTGCCGCTTGTTCTCCCCAACCTACCTAGGCTTTTTCACTCGAATTCGTGGAATTGGGATCATTTGCAAACACGGCAAACGAGGCAAACATGACGCTCCAACACCCCCTGCATCCTATTGGCTGCTCCTGATACAAATCAGTGCAAAATTGCTTCCACTGGAGACGGTCCCAGTGCAAACAAGCCTGGACGGCATGTGGAAGAGTCGATCTCTCTCATGACCCCGGATTTTGTCGAATCAAACAGTGAAATGCGCCTCCCGATGATGGCATCCGGCACGACAATCGGAACATCGGGTTGAAAAATCTCAGCCAGCATCTTTGCGTAGCGATTCCATCGTTAGCATCCAATGATAACTAGTCAATATCCGGCGACAGAATAGTTTGCATCCCTCTAGCGATGACAAGGTGGATATACATACATACGGAGTACAGGCTCAAGTATTTCTCATGACGTCGCGGACAAACCTTGCCGTGGGAGAGCATTTAAATACATAAATAAACTTGAATTCGTCCCACATCTTCTGAAATTCAAGCTTAGTCCATTCCCAATCCGCTCCTACCGGTGAAGCTCGAGAAAAGCCATACGCCCATAGCCGCCATCCAACCCGAGAAAGACCTCTCTGGCAACCACACTACCGGCCCTAACATGCCTATGTTAGTCAACCCTCGCATTTTGCCGCCCATATTTCCTTGCCTTATCTATCATCCATCTTTAGTTGCCAAGGCCTTTTCCACTACCGCCGCAACTAACATAAACACCCAAACCCGTGGCAGGAAACTTGACGGGAGCTGCCAATGCGGCGCCGTGGAATTCACCCTCCAATCCCATACGCCGGTTCCGTACCAATTATGCGCCTGCAGCATATGCCGGAAAGTCGCCGGATACAGCGGCAGCGTGAATCTAGGCGGTATTGCGGATAGTTTAAAGATCCTGAAGGGACGGGACTCTATCAAGTATGTAACATGTCAATGCTTCCCTCGGGGTGTTTGAAGTGGCGCTAATACGAATTTCTGGCTGGATGGGATAGGAAGTACAGGGCCATCAAAGATCGAGGCCAGCCAAACGAGTCCCTATGTTCAAGCGAACGTAGCTTTTGCTCCAATTGCAGCACTATGCTCTGGCTCTGGGATCATCATTGGCCAGAGCTGATTCATCCTTTTGCCTCCGCAATTGATACCGACTTGCCAGTGCCGGATGAGATGGTATGTATTCTGGAAGACTCTAAGCCTGCGTGGGTAAGGTGGCCCGAAGGCAAGAAGACGGTCTATAAAGCATACGGTGACAGCCTTGAAGACTGGCATAAGAAGAAAGGATTGTTCGTGGATTAGTTGTTGGCAAGACATAACGAATGGTTCATTTTCAACTTGAGAGATACGTGTACATATAGGCTGAACATTATAATGCAAACAGCATCCAAACAAAAGCCACGATGAACAAACTCTCCAGCATCGTCAATAGATATTATACGTCCTAGAAATGGCCATTAGCATAAGAAACATCAAGGAAGTGACATAATTTCCGATAAACTTTGATAGAAAGTAGGTGTCAGTTCTCCAAGGTGATACTTTGTTTCTTCAAAGTGTGCCTCGGTAAGAACACAGCGAAATTAAGAGTTCATCATGCAGGCAGGGGCGAGTGATACGAATTGGGGAAGGAATCCAGGCAAAAAGGAAAGTATTTCCGGAGTACATACCATTCTAGACCATACGCATAACCTACTAATATAATCTTACCTAACCACGCAAAATTGGTCAGTGCATCATTCAGAATCAAGGCTTATCAGCAAGACACAAGATAGGAAAATGCAATATCATCTAAACTCAGGCTTTTCAGCCGTCATGTTAGCATCAAATGATTACTATGCTCGAGAAGGGATTTTGAACCATACCTCATTAAATCAGAATTTTCAGTGTTATACGTTCATTCCCCAACAATTATGCCGGGCTCAAACAGTGTGAATAATGTTCATCATGTAAAGATGATATTGCTTTTAGGGATCTTCAAATAAATGCTACCGTACCTAAATAGTAGCTAGTCAGCATAAAATTCTTGATGCAAAGATCGCCATATATGAGAAAGGAATCCATGCAATGATCAGCTGACGAATTTTCAACAAGCCTCTCAACTGCCAGCCAACCGCAGAGTTGTACGGTCTGCTTTCTTCGATGACCGGAGAAGAGGGCAATCTGTCCGCCCGTTCGTTCAAGTATTCCTCATGAGAGAGTGTAGAGCCGAAACCGGCGTGGGAATGAAAAAGCATACCTACAATGGAGGCCACGTCAGCAAACCCATCTATAGCCGATCAAGTATAAGAGTTGCCTCAAGAGAGGAAACATAAAAGTAGCACAAATGTATTTTTTGATCAGACAAGGCTGAAACTTGATAACATGACAGATTCCACATGGTGATTAAGTTTGAGGAATGCCTTTGCATGTCGTAATAGTCATCATAATCAAGGGGAATGGGAACAGGCGTGTATGGGAAAAGTTCGTACCTTTTGGTCAATGAAACCTTTTGAGTCGGTCCAAAATAGGAACTTTTCTTGTCAAATTTCCCGTTTGCAAGTCAGTTACCCGGAGTAAAGACAGTAAACGAATATAGGAGAAGAGTTGATCCCAGTTCAGTGTAATTCTAGAGATAATTGAGTTCCGTCATGGATTATAGGATTTGGATTGTTCGAGAAAAGAATCATCATACAGAGAGACTAGGAGTTCACGGTCAATAAGAATTATACACACACCTCATAAATAGCTAAGACTATTTGATTCCGATATAGCCAGGTTGGACACCTCAAAACATCAAAGGCCGAATAAGCTGTTGAGCTGCTGGTGAAGAGAACAAAAAGGTTGAAAGAAAATTTTGTGTGGACGAAAATTTATGGTTGGCGGTGCGCTGCGGCAGACGCGAGAGCCCCAGCACGCAACAGGCTGAGTCATCAAACAACGCTTCCCCTTTTTCGAAATATCGACGTAAAACTTTACGGAACACGGCCCAGAGAACAGAGAACAAGAATTTACTCTTAAACCAACCGATTACAGGCGAGAGTTTACAGAGTACCTCGCAAGGATATTCAGATTTGCAAGAGCAATGGATTTCCATCATTAAATCGAGTACACCAAACCAAACAATTTACACATAGGGTATAGAATAAAGTCAAACTTTGTCCCTTTCACCTCAGAAGACCAAAGATCCATCACAGCTCAGCCCAGAAGTTGGAAGTCAAGAAATAGAAGTCAAGCCGTTTTATTTACAAAGCAAAGGCAAGACCAAGGAGACCAGCAGCACCCGCAACACTGGCAGCAATGGCACCAGTGGCTCGGGGAGCAAAATTGTCGGAAGTTTGAGCAGGCTCGCCAGCGCCGGTGGCCTGAGGGCCGTCTGATCCGGTGATACGCGCAATTCTGTTGAGATAGCTCTTCACATCATCTGGAAGATCCTCATACCAGCTTGGAGTTTGACCGGCTTTGAGGCTGCTGTAAAGAGCGCTGTTGAATTCAAGAGCAGCAGTGGGGTTGGCTTGGATGCTCTCGCGGACGTCAGAGGGGATAGCTGTTGCGAGAACGGACGCAATGCCTGGTGGTGGAATATATGCAGACAAGCTCTTCAGGCCCGAAAGATCCGTTGGAATCGCTGAAGTGATGTCATTGATGGCAGATGTGCTTGTTCGATTGTAAGTTGGACTGGAGATGGACGTGGATCACAGAAGGGCGTTTGGGTACTCACATCTCATCTAAATCATCTCTCTTCTGAGCGGGCTCAGGAGAAGCAAGCGCAGTCGCAGAGAGCAGGAGAAAAGCAAGTGATTTGAACTGCATATTGACTTGATAGGGGGCTTTCTGAAGAAAAATAAACTGGAAAAGGTTATGTAGAGAGAGATGTCTTGAAGCTCAAGTGTCGAGGAGATAGTTCACGGTGTTAAAAGAAAGAAATTTGGATCCGAAACAGGATCCTCCATCTCGGGGTCGTGTGCAATATATAGCATTGAGCCTCAGGGGGCAATCGGAAATTCACGACAGTCTGAGCTTGAAGGCTGATCGTCATCTCGAGTTTTCTAAAACTCAAACCCCATTCATGTTGCGAGGACTTTTCTCTTCGAATACAAGGCGCAAACGAGGATCAGCACTGTCTGCCACTATTGTCCCGGGACTCCAATGAGCTCCTAGGTGTGGATACCATGAACCATCCCCGACCACGCCTATTTAATTAAATTTCGTATTTCCTATGTTCGCTCAGCTCATGTCTCTCCCGGCTTCACTTTCTACTGCGGAGATCTCACTTCTTGCACACATCTTTTCAGCGCGGATGAAGGGGTTCTTAGCGCACCTGAAGGCTTTGCGCTTTGAAAGCGGTGACGTTTGAATGGCTGAGTTATCGCCACCGGCCTTTTACGTGCCCATGGACAACGACGTGGTCCCTGAACGGCCTTGGCGGCCCTTGGTAGCTGAGCCGCGAGGCTTTGCCCCGATTTGGGTTGTAAGAGGGAAAAATGATCCAGTTTAAAGCTAGCGTTTCGTCTGGATGTTCTTGTCATGCGGAGAATCCATCTGGCGCAGAATCTTATGCGATGCGCCCAATTAAACCTCCCGACGCTGACTCTCGGGCTCGGACGGCCTCCGCTAATCTTGCGGCGGAATTCTGCCCCAGAAGCCCCCTCAGCCACACCATGCCACGGGTACCTAGCTGGCTGCTGCTTACTCACTGATCAAACAAGCAAGAACGGCGCATTCCAATTTATGGGCCACGGAGTGGCCGCGAAGTTCAGGTCTTTTAAAACAGTACAGTCCTATCTCTCACAGATAGATCTCATAGCACTAACAACATAACACACCCCCCCTGTTTTCCTCATTTTGGTCAAAAATGTTCTTCATCCTCCGTGCGGGCGGTGGTTTCCATCATTCGTTCGGTCTTATCCCATCCAGCTGATGTTTCCACAAGGTTTTGGTTCGAACCATCCCAGAGCCCATGGCAAAGGGCCTGGAACAGCCGTTGGCTATCCGGTAGGGGGTTGATGAAATCGATGATCTGAGACATACAGTGTGTTATAATCCGGATTAGTTACCACTAAACTCACTCTTTGCTAAGATGCATTTTCTCTGGGCAACTTAAAGCAGAGAATTCATTGTGTCGTTATTGCAGCAAATGCATAGAAAGGTTTTGGATTTACCACCCTTGATTCGCTCATTATAAGAAAGGAATACTCAGAGTTGGGTTCTCACTCAGCTCTCCGGACAGATAATCTAATTACCTACTACTCAGTGAGTTCCAAAGAAGTATCTGCGGACAGGATACTAGCTCTGTTACATGAAATAGTATGATATTGTCGAGCCCTTGGAGGAGTTTGCACCGACTCTGCATGATAAGAGGTTTGATGAGACTGGCCATGATTGGTAATATTTATTGTTGCACTGGAGGCCTTAAATCCTGGTAGAAAATACAGTGTGATCTATATGACATAGTGTGGGGGATAGCACATGGACAGAGCTGGTGGATTATATAGCATAGTGGCGGTATGCATTGAGAGAAATGGGAGTTCTGCCTGTAAAAGGAATTATATGGCTGACCCTCATAGGAAATATATGGATGTGCCCACAACAACAGACAGTAGTGGGTTAGGAGTATATCTCAAGAATGTTAGGATGAGCTTGACCACATCAACAACCCAAACAGCATTTCCTGAAAACATACGGGCCGTTGCCAACACCTCAATACTTAAAAAAATGGGGTTACTTCAACACTCCGGCCCCAAGACAGCTCTGTTTGCGAGAAAATCAGAGATACAGTATCAATACACATATCCAGGACAAATAAAAATGGTGATCGGTTATGGTGCTTAGGCGGTGATCAGTATTTGTGTTCTTCACTTGAGATACTGGCTAGCTCGAGTTCATCAATAGCATCTGCGCTGCCACATCTAGCATAATGATCCATGATGATGGGTTGACCCGATATCTGCTCTGCATCTCTGGCTATTTCCTTCCTTCTCTCTTGAATATCACATCAGTGAAACATATGTGTCAACACACGTGCAGTTTGGGAAGTGTATTACACATGCCATGTATGAAAACTTTGCCCCATCACGGGTAGCATGTGTGCTAGTTATATTGCTAAAAAAATAAAAAAATAAAGAAAAAAAGAAAAAAAGAAAAAAAAGGTAAATGGGTAAAAGTTGATGAAGTCAGTCTCATCTTGATGTTGTAGGCTCACTGGCAGCTGCAAACTCAACAGCTGATAGAGCAGCCATTTTGCTTAGCTATTCCATAGCATTCCGCCGGGTGTAATCACAATTAGTGGCAAGTTAACTAGCTGGTAGAAAGAAGGGTTCAATCCGCAGCAAATTTCCAAATATGTCCGCAAGTAGTGTATTGCTGCGCTTCCATGTGTCAATTCTTACAATAGGGCTTGTATTTTTGAATCACTCTGCCATGCTTATGATCTAGCACATTGAGCCATAAATCAGACCAAAACGCTCAGGAAGCAGGGAGCACTGAATCGAAAAAAAGTATGCAACTGTTCTTCCGGCCTAAAGGCAAAGGTTTGCAGATGATCCTCCACAATGAAGTGCCAATGGGACCCTGTGGGCACAGGAGAATTCGTGATCCGAAGCCGCCCAACAGCAATAATGGTTGATCACTCTGCATACCAGGTGCAATATATTCAAGAACAGGTTCCAAGTTCCCTGCCCCCAGCCGGTTTGGCGAACAATTTGGCAGGCGATAAAAGACATCATTGTCCATCCAATAGAATTGGCTTCTTAATGTAGAAGAACTGTGAGAATTGCGACAACAATTCTTAGGTGGATGTATGACAGAAAAGGTCCCGGCAGAATGAAGTTGAAAATGCTTGGTTGGGTCTAGCGGCATTTCGTGGGTCCGGTCCCTAACCACATTTACCTATGGACGGTTCCACCAACAGTGAAGTTGGCAACCTGCATAAATACCCAGTTTCTCGCTGCATAGTACTTGCGGGCGCTAGATAACGGCAATCAAATGTCAAGCTCCCAGGCAGCCAAGTTCTGGCAAAGATGAAATCATTGCAATGACAGACCAATGTGCACGTCGAAGTCTTGCTTATTTGTCACTTCATTCAACAACAGAGGTCTGATCTCTTCAAAAGACACAAATTGTTTGTTGAATGCCCGCATTTCCGCCAAACAATTAGCATTAAGCGTTAGCTGATAGAAAACAGGGGCAAACTTGCTCCAGCTCTCACTGTCACGTGCGATCTCAAGGCGACTTTTATTTAAAAGAGATTCGTGATTGTGAACTGGCTGATTAAATGTATCCAACTTGGGGTCTGGTCTCGACTCTCGTGGATTTAAATCGGCCGATCTAGCAAATATGTGACCAGCTGGATAGGTATTTATCTAGCCAAGTATAATTTTGATGCCTACGCCACCTTTGGACATGTGTCCGCAAAATGATACTGGAGTTATAAACCGACAATCGCAAAAACGGGTATGGGGATATAATCATTTTCGGGCCTTTTTCCAGGAAAGATAACCCTTTAGTCGAATATTTTTGGCCATCTCGGGGGCTGACTGTTGAGCAACTGAGTGGTACAAAAAAGTTGATATCAATGGTTGGGGTGGAATGATGAAACCACGCTGGAAGGAGAGTTCAAAGGATCTAGAAGAGCTGAAAAGAAGGATAAATCTAATGTTGTCAAGATTTGATCCTCATTCTGGATGTTATTCTAACATTGTTCACCTTCCAATCAGAACCAGCAGCTTCAACATTGCCATAAGGGACACTCCTCGTCGGATTCTGCAGCTTAATTTATCTTGAGGATTATTTATTGTCTTCCGGGATGCCCGTAGGCCTCCATATGAAACCAAGACATCAAGTCTATGATTATCTTCTCAATTTATCCACGAGAGTATTATGGCTTCGGTGCAATAGACAGCGGCTTCATGGCACATCAACGGGGCACTTGGCCACAATTTCGATTATCAGGCTTCTGATTACCGCAGGGAGGCATCGAGAGAAAGTCCTGATCGGTATATTTATCTAGAGTCTGGCCTTCCCAAGGGCAAAGAGCAACGGCCGACACGGAGGCGAATCTTACCCGATCAATGATGGCGTTCCTGAGAGGTGGCCATGCTTGCGCATATAATCCGCAACGCCTAAACAGGGCTGCCACAAAACGACATAGTTTGAGCTTACTACTCCATGAGCTTTTTGCGATAACATATGCCTTTCCGATTGGATTTCCCTGTTTCCTGTGGCTCCATCACTCCAAGGTTCCAGGTTTTCCCAACTTGGTTCCTGATCACTGACGTTATTCATCAGCCATCCTTATCTGAAAGTAGCTTTATATATGGGAGTAGTATATACTTCCATAATGAACCTACATACCTTCTTATATATGTTGCATGAATTGAGGAGCTATTTCTTGGAACCTTATACCGAATAGGATCAAGTGCTGTTTTACTTGACACCATCATGGCGAGTCGTCATACAACCTTCAGGCTTAACACAGGAGAAGATATTCCAGCCATTGGCTTCGGAACGTGGCAGGATGAAAACGCACAGGAGGATGCCGTTCTCACTGCTCTCAGTGCTGGGTACCGGCACATCGACACCGCTGCGGTGTAAGTGCATACAATGCCCCTAGACCTACATAGCCGGAGGCAAGATATTAACAATCAATGGGTCAGATATGGGACAGAGAAAGCTATCGGGAGAGCTCTTGCACGAAGCCGACTATCTCGGGATGAACTCTTTATTACCAGCAAACTGTGGAATAACAAACACCGTCCGGAAGACGTGGAACAGGCAATTGACCAGTCGCTCAAGAACCTAGAAATTGACTACTTGGACTTGTACCTCATGCATTGGCCAGCTGCCTTCGCACCTGGGGATGATATGTTTCCAAAAGATAGCCAAGGGAATTCTAAAACAGTTGATATTGATTATGTCGACGTATGTGTTACACCAGGTATGATATTGGCAAGTTGCGCTAAATATCATACTAGACATACAAAGCGATGGAGAAACTCGTTAAATCCGGAAAGACTAAAGCTATCGGAATTTCAAATTTCTCAAAAGGGGAAATGGAAAGGCTGCTTGAGAGCTGCTCCATAGTGCCGGCCGTAATGCAGATGGAGTTGCATCCATGGCTACAACAAAACGATTTCGTTGAATGGCTCAAAAGCAAAGGCATCCATGTCACGCAATATTCATCCCTTGGAAATCAAAACGAGGTATATTCAGGCCGCGAAAGGTATGGAAGGCTGATTGAGGATCCAGCTCTTGCCGCGATTGGGACGAAATACGGCAAAACAGGGGCTCAGGTAGCACTTGGTACATGGTTTTAGCATACCCTTTTATCAGCCATATGGACCCCTTACTGACAGAGATGTAGCATGGGGAATTAACAAAGGCCACTCTGTTCTCGTTAAGTCGAAAACACCTCATCGCATTCAGCAAAACTTCGAGTCGGATTTTGAACTGAAACAAGAGGACATGAAGGCCATTGAGAATATTGACAAGAAGCTTCGCTTTAATGACTCAAGCGCCGATTTTGGCTATAACTTCTTCGTGGGTTTGGAGGGCAAGGAGAAATAAGCTCTGGATGGCAGATATCAGGAATAACGAGTTATTATGTATCAAGATGTCAGTTATCCGGTTGCCGTGACTAGAGCAACAGTTCTTCGAGCCTTGGCACCAATTTGTGTACCAACGATATAAATGAAGCGAGATTGGAACCATGACTCCTTTGCAAATGCAAACGGATATTCGATCCACCGGGCCACAAGCAAGTAAGGGTGTTATTTATGGACTGCTAGGCTTCTCAGGACGCGTCAAGTTTTCCGTCATTCGGTGCCCTGATAATATTGACTGTTACAGCAACTATTATCGAGAGTCCTAACTGTGAAGTTCCAGGACCGAAATGTGTTGAATTGACAGAATCTACTCTCCTAAAGCACAAGTGCATTGCACGCAATGGCAATTTTGTTTTACCTCAATGACCACCGGATATGTCCGTGATCTTATATGACTTGTATCGGTCGTCGGTTGCATCATCCATTTCGTTACAGGGCGTGGGCCATAAATAACACGCTTAAACCTGTATAACTGACAGCTTCTGAAATGTGGAGCAACGGCTCATTCAGAAAATTGGGATTATTCTGCCCAACTTAAGATCTTCCCATCATAGATGGTTTATAACGAGTCTGATAACGCTCCAAGTCGAAGGACCCTTCGTACAGCTCGCTGCTTTCCGGATCACCAGCCCATATAAACACGCGACAACCTTGGGCGACGCTGCCATCGTCTAATTCAACATCACAAACAGTCCATGTATATGCCCTCGTTTCGTAACTCTCTAGCCGCTGAAAGTGATCAAGACTCTCAACGGGGTAGACCCTTCCTTGGATCTCGGAGCCCTTATGTGGTATCAATGTCGGATAGATATGCCACATCTTCATTCTATAGTCTCTCAGCTTAGCAGCCTGAAGCGGTGGGGGAGGCGCTGTGAGACTGAGCACCACCTGGATAACGTCGGTGTCCATGAGGGAGCCGTAAACAAACAGAAGGGTGGGAGAAGACCATGGTTCCGGGGTTCTACCTGGCTCGGCTGATGATGGCATCCTGAGTATCGTTGTTTGTGATAAGCGATTTGACCGTCTGTAAACGCGTTGATTCCTGAGTAGCGAACACTGGAGCCGAGCGCTGCTTGTCTTGTCGTTATTGCGCCTCAATCCGATACCCAAAAGAGCTGATTTGGCTGCGAAAGATAGATGACGGACAATCTAAATACTTATTTCAGTTGAATGGCAGGATATTGAGGGAATCAAAGTTAAACTTACCAATGTGAACCTTAGTTGGGTGGCAGATTTGAGTTGAACGGTGTGAAGCTACCTTCTTGAAGCTGGTACGAATGCAAATTCGAGTCGACGTGAAAATGCTCCGCCTGGAGGAGCTACTCTGTATTAGTTAGTTATGTATGTTGCAGATCCAAATTCCACCCTTGCGTTCCTATCAGGACGAGATCAGCTCTGCATAAGTAACTAGTTAGTTACTTTGTAGAAAATGCTCTCAAATCTGGAAAGAGTTTCAGGTTTGACTTCATATTGACGGGACATGAGCCGGCGAGCGCAAACTATAACGGGTTCCCGTGTTTTATTAAGCGCAGGGCGGGAATGCCGAAAGGAAGCAAAGATAACTAAAGTATGGAGTACGGCGGTAGATTGGAAGCGCCGCCTTGACAGCATGTAAAGTTCGACGACAAGATTTCCACACGGCGCCAGAAGCTTGAGGCATCCACTCGTATCCTTGCCCAGGGCTTGGAACATCCTCGAACTTTGTCCTTCACTCACTTCTCATGTATTGACTCGACTACCACCGTCTAACTGCTTCTTGCTGGTGCTTCATTTGACAGAAGCACGGAATACTTTCTTCATCCTTGAACAGATATCCCCGGTTTCCCCGTATTTTAGGATTCCACTCCCTTTCCTGCCAACATATTGACTCCGGTTTACTCGAGCATCGATGCCTTTTTGCCGTTAACAAATGGGACCAAAAGTCTTCCATCGAGTACGTTCCTCCATGAGTTCTACTCGTGACCTACAAGCGCCCTGGGCGAGACCGCTCTCAAAGCGGCTGATAATTTCATATGTCGTGGACTGGATATTCATATTGTCCGTGCTGTTCTTTTTTTCGCTATTCGGCAGACCTTATTCTTTTTGTACTGAATGTCTCGATTAATATCAATTCCACAGGTTCACTGGAGCTTTGGGCCGTATTGTTAAGGTTGCCGAGCCTAACAGGAGACCATTTAGTCTCACCGATCAGAATATATCTTACCCATTCGCTGTTCATGAAAGAGTTCCTGTAGCGACTCTTATGATGGCCAGCCTTCTTGTGCCGGCTGCCGTGATCGCTGTTTTCAGCATGCTTATTGTCCCAGGTCCGGCAGACAAACGCGCCTTCGGCGCGGAGGCATGGCGACGGAAATTCTGGGAGTGGAATGCAGGATGGATGGGCTTGGGTGTGGCGTATGCTGGCGTGTACGCAGCGACGGAAGCGATGAAGGTCATGTTTGGCAAGCCCAGGCCCGACCTACTGGATAGATGCGATCCAGACTTGTCGAATATTGCGGCGCACGTCATCGGAGGCCTGGGTGGTCAGGTTGCTGGTGCCCCTTCGCTCGTGTCTTGGACGATCTGCAGGAATACCACGAAAAGGCTCCTGAAAGATGGATTTGTGAGCTTCCCAAGCGGCCATTCTTCGAGTATGTGAGCGATCAATTGATTTTTCGTCTAAGATTTGAACGGCTAACCACTGCATTCTTAGTGTCCTTTGCTGGTTTGACGTATCTGTCATTATGGCTTTGTGCTAAGCTGGCTATTACAATTCCGTTCTTGTCAGTCGCATCCCTTCAGGAGGTCGAACAGCCAAACCTCAACAAACCCCCTGTGTCGCTTCGAAACCGGGGTGCAGCACCACCGACTGTTCTGGTTCTTTTAGTTTTTGTGCCTATTGTGGCAGCAACATATATAGCGTCTAGTCGGTGGGCCGATAGCCGCCATTTTGCCTTTGACATCCTCTTCGGTGCTTTGTTAGGCATCGCCTTTGCATGGCTCGGGTTTCGCTTGTATCATCTCCCGTTAAATTCAGGGCAAGGGTGGGCATGGGGTGTGAGGGACAAGAACCGAGCATTTTTTGGAGACATAGACCACACGAGTTACGCAGCTGACAGGGCACTTTCAACCACGAGGAATGCCCGTTCGTTCTCACCGAATTCCGCTGAGAGAAACAGAGACGAATTGTTACCCACGCCGGATGAAAGGCCGAATGGGAGCTCGACTAATGGTTACTGAGCAGAACTTCAGGCGACTGCTTGGCGGGGATGTTTGTTTTGCAGCTTGGAACGAATGTCAATGATCTAGATACCCAATGAAGTAGCTATTCGGACACATATATTACTATAATTCAAACTGCTTTATTATCAACAATGCTCAACTCCTCTTCCTTAGTGCCAACGGCCTTTGGTGCTCAAACGGTGCGAAACGCAGTCACAAAAAAGGTATTCTATACCAGGCATGGAGTATATATGTGCTTTTAAGCATTAACATGCCGACTGGAAGATGTAGATCGCCTTCACCAAGGTTCTAGACCATCCAACAGTCTGTTCTTGAAATCAAAAATATCTAGCGCCTAATATCAGCGGGATAAAAGGGGGAAAAAGGTACGCCCACTTCGCCGCGCCCATGCACTGCATATTTAGTTATCCAAGGGCGTTTGTCGATCTGAACAAACAAAAACGATCACCATACCCATCACCTCCACCCCCCAACCCTCCCTTCATCCCACCTCGCTCTAGCATCCCTCCTAAACTCCAACTTCGCACCTTCACTCCTCAACCGCCTCACCCACTCCACGACTTCTCTCTCCCCGGCAACTCCATGATGCTGCAAGTCCCCATCCAAAAAGCTCTCTTCCACCGCGCGCACGACGGCCTCCTGCTCGGCAATCGCTGCCGCCAGTCTCTGATACAGCGCCTTGGGTGACCAGGGTGCCAGGGCGGCGTCCATTTCCGTTTGTTTTTTGCGCCAGGAGAGCTCGAGGGATTGGTGCTGCAGGAGGAGGGTTTCGGTGGAGGCGCGGAGGGCGGCGAGGTGGGATTCTAGCTCGAGGGCACGAGTGGCGAGGGATTTGTTGGATTCAAGGAGCGTTAGGAGGTGGGTTTGTGCGGAGGGGTAGGAAGGGTGGGTATTTGCGAGGGCGTTGAGGAGGGTGGGATTAGAGAGAATGGATTGGAGATCTTTTGTTCTGCAGGGAAATTGGGTTAGCTTGTGAAGTACGAGATGGTTCAGGGGCGAAGGAAAATTGCTGTTATTTCTTTAGGGCACGTACGATTTGTCTTTGAGGATATCTGGAATCCATCCTTCGTCAAGGCCTGGAGGTTGTTGGAGGTTGCGGGGAGAGAATGGGCGATTGGGCGGAGCGTGACTTGTTGAAATGCTTGCGTCTGCCTGAGACTGTAATGCTTCCTTGGGTGGTGTAGATGGAGCTGGCGATGGAAATTGTTGACCCAAAAGGGGAGTGCCTCTTCTGCTTGCTTCATGACTTATTGGCTTAGGGGGTGGAGGAGGTGGTACTCCTTGTAGTGTTTGAGTGTGTTGCTCGTTGGAAGCGGAATATGGGACCGGTGAGAGTGACATTCTCAAAATGCCAACGGGCAAAACGAAAATCAGTAACAGTATCCCTCAATTGAAGTTCTGGTGATGGGGCTGCGAGTGGCAACGCAGTTGCGGATGCGCAAGGCTACGATTTTAATATGCGCCGGAGGAGCAAACGCGAATAGTTTAACTATGATGTCACCTGACGTTCTCCAGACACGAATAATTCGAGGGCATTCAGACTCGACTGCTTTACAATTTCGGGGCCTTGAGGACGCAATGACTATTTAGGAATAAATAAACCTAGGTATATCTAGTTTGACATCGCTTCTATTTCCTAGGAACGCCGCACTCTGCCAAAGTTGACATGGGACCGAGCCGGGCTCGCTCCGTTTTGAGTTCTCCGCAAATGTTCTTAAACGGTGTAAGCTCGTTATGAGGAGCAAGGTGGGTTTCCAATAAGTCTTATAGCCCTTGGGACGCCTCTTCGCATCTATAGGCGAATGGCAAGCCTTGGAGCGCCAATTTTCAGCTATCAGGGCGATCACTCGTAGGTAGCATGTAGCGCCGCGATTATTTCGGCATGACTACCATCCAAATTATTGTTGCAATGGTTAAGCACAGGTGGACGTTCTTTGCTTCTGAGACTCATGCCAGCGTTAGGAACGGGATAGCGGGGTATTGCAATTGGGTGATATAGCAACCATATAATATCCATGCGCCACGGAGAATCGCACGCGTGTCATAATATTCAGTCTAACCGCCGCCGAAGGTCCTTTTGTTGAGTTTCCGCATTGACACCCCTAATCGCCTCCGTAACCAGTTCTCGCAGTTCCCGTTGGTTCTCCTCGCTGTGGAAGTTTTCTCTCGACGCAAGCTCCTCTATTCTTCGCTTAAATTCCGGGTCTGGAACATCCGCATCTCCATTGACAGCTGGCTTGGTCATTGTGCCAAAGCTCACGGTGACATTCGGAGGCAGCTGTTGGCCCGGGCGAACAAGGTTTTCGGCGAGGTTGCTCACAGGGGTTCCTTTTAGATATGCTGCAACTTCTGGAAAGGAGTCATCGCCGAGAATGGCCTCTTCTGCCGTTAATCCATCGTGGTTCTTCACAGTCCGATCTACCCCAAGCTCCTCCACCAAGCAACGTGCTATCTCGACAGTCTCGGTAACGAAAAGGCAAGTTTCTCCGTCTTCGTCGGTAAGGTTGACGTTGACTCCAAACTCCTGGACCAAGGAGCGGAGTAACTCTAAGTGTCCGTACGACGCTGCGGCGTGTAAAAGAGAATAGCCATGCTCATCCTGTGCAGACGCGAGCGAAGGGTTCGATCGAAGGAGGGGTATTAAGGACGGGGAATTCTCCGCTGCGAGGATGTACGGGTTGGGAGTTGACATGACTGCGGATGGTTAAATAAACTTCAACAGTCTGTATCACAGCTGATCGTCGAGAATGGCCAGTATTTGCAGCAATGTCAACGCCTGTTTGCCGTCAAAAGAAACGCGAAAAAAGGTAAAAGACTGCAAAGCGGGGAGCTGATTCAAGCTTAGCGCTAGCCCACTAAGCTGCACTGCCACTAGCGATGAGTCAGACCTGGCCTCCAGTGTTTTCCGTGTTTGCATTCACAACAACCGACTTTTATTGGCTGGGACCATCGCTTAATCAGCAATGTTTACGCAGCAGTTGAAATCTGAGCTTGAACATGCGGCATAGAAGAGGGACAATCTCGCCGCCACTTAGCTTCGGTTAGGCTGCATTCTGTGACCGGGATCTCCTCATCCGGGCTGCCAGTTCAAGCTTGATACATCGTGAGTCAGATTCGGCTCCTTGTGCCAAAGCTAAGGAGGCTGTATATATAGCGTCCAGGCGACCTTCAACCCCGAGCAGCCCCGCGCAATCCAGCCAGGGACTTCAACAGTAGCGCCTGGAGGACCCCAGCGTTGGCCTTTATAAAACAAACGGAATATATTCCGTATCCAATCTCCATTTTATTTAGGTTTCTGAATCCTCTTCGCCATGGTGCAGCAAGACCCCCACGAAGTCACGCAGTTGATACACTCGCTCCAAGCCGCTCAAGGCCCAAAGAGAGGAGGAAAGTCGTTCTCATGCAAGAAGTCAACTTTTCCCGTTAGCGGGTCGCAAGGCACTACGGTTGATTCCTGGAAATTTCGAGATTGGGATTACAAACGAGACGACCTTCCTACGTACGCCCGTGGCCTCTTCACGACGAGAACCAGGAATGGTACCCCCGAAATTGCTATCCGAGGGTACGACAAATTTTTCAATGTAGATGAGGTGAATCTGACGAAATGGGAAAATATCGAAAAGAATACAATTGGGCCATACGAACTGAGCGTGAAGGAAAATGGCTGCATCATATTCATGTCTGGCCTAGAGGATGGCACGCTTCTGGTGTGTAGCAAGCATTCCACGGGCCCAAGGCAAGACGCCAATCTCAGCCACGCAGTTGCGGGACAAAAATGGGTGAGGCGACATGTCGAATCGGTGGGAAAGACAGAGAGAGAACTGGCGCTTGAGCTAAGAAAAATGAATGCCACCGCTGTGGGAGAATTGTGTGATGACAGCTTCGAGGAGCATGTGTTGGCGTACGATGAACACTCTGCTGGAATATATCTTCACGGAATTAACTATAACGTGCCTTTCTTTGCTACCCTTTCTGGACCTGAAGTGCACAAATTTGCCGACAACTGGGGTTTCAAAAAGGCACAATTTGTGCTTAAGAATGATCTATCCGAAGTGCGAACTTTCTTAGAAGGGTGCGCAGAAACAGGCTCGTGGGGCGGAAGGGATACCGAAGGATTTGTTGTCCGATGCAAAATGCGTGAAGCCCACTCCGGACCCTATGTTGACTGGTTCTTCAAGTATAAATTTGAAGAACCGTATCTCATGTACCGGCAGTGGCGTGAGTGCACTAAAGCGGTCATTTCAGGGAGGCCACCAAGGTACAAAAAGCACGTGAAGATTACAGAGGAATACCTACAATATGCCCGAAGGCAGCTCCAGATGAATCCAAAACTTGGAAGTCTCTATAACCAAAATCATGGTATAATCGCAATGAGAGATGGATTCCTTAAGGAGAGAGGCCTCAAAGGCTCGGATATCATTGCTATGGAAACTGCTGAAGGAGATGTTGCACCTCCTATTTCCCAAAATATTGTCCTTGTCCCTGTGGCTTCTATCGGCTGCGGAAAGACAACCGTTGCTCTTGGACTTGTGAACCTTTTCGGCTGGGGTCACATCCAAAATGACAATATCCAAGGACGAAGGGATCGAGCAAAAAGATTTGTCCATCAAATAAACAACGCACTAATTAACCATAAGGCTGTGATTGCGGACCGCAATAATCACCAAAAGCGTGAAAGAAAGCAAATCATTGAGGATATCCGCTCGATAAACCCTGATGCGCGATTCGTCGCTCTCCATTACGTCCACGAGCCAAAAGGCAGGATGCTAGATGGTATTCGGAACATCACTCGTCAGCGGGTTCTCGAACGCGGGGATAACCACCAGACAATCCGTGCGGATAGCAAAAGTCCTGAGGAAATCATAGGAATTATGGAAGGATTTTTACAGCGTTTCGAGGGAGTGGATACGGAACACGAGCCAGATATCAATTTTGACGAGGTAATTGATCTAGATATTGCAGCGACTTCTCGGGAGAACCTTGAGACTATCGTATCTGCTCTGTACAACGCATATCCAAGACTGTTCGATGGATCAAAGCCGTCTGCGTCTGATTTAGACCTGGCCATCGACGCAGCTATGAAAAACTATACTGTGGATGTCAAGCACGATCTGACCTTTGGTTCCAAAAATCCAAGCCATCGTCAACCGCCTTCTAACTCCGGGCAGAATCAACCGAATACTATAAATGGAAACACGATCGAGAAGCTTTTGAAAAGAATTGAATTCTTCAACATATCTCTTCCACAATCAGAAATTAATAGCTTAGCCGCCTCTCTATTCCCTCCCAGCACTCCACCAGAGATCTCCAAGCTATACAACCACCTCAAAAATTCCCGGCGCATACAAGCATCCTTCCACGTTACCCTAATTCACAAGGCCTCTGCGAAAGACCGCCCAGATATATGGGACCAGTACAAAGATCTCTACAAGAACGCCCTACAACGACAGCTACAACAGCCGAACGGCCACACGAGAAACCCAACCCCCGCTCTCGGCGCTGCAAGAGTGCGCATTGAACGGCTTGTCTGGAATGACAAGATCATGGCCTTCGTAGCGCGCATTATGCCCGTTGACCACGACGAACGCCTCAACTCACATGTTTCCCGGGACATGGGCTCGTGGGAATGCGCGAACGATATTCCACACGTTACGGTTGGCACTGCGGCTCCGAACATCAAGCCCAAGGAGAGCAACGATCTGTTGAGGCACTGGTTGGAGCACGGGGCGAACGCGGAGACAGGGATCATGGAAGCTGAGATTCCGTCGGTCAAGGTGCTGGAGGGGATTGTGGGGGTTGTTTTGAGTCGTTCTTAGATGCGTTTATCAGGTTGTTTGTTGTGCCATGGGCAAGCTAAGCAAATTGCGATGATACTTCCTCCCTTTGGAATTTAGGATGTAATATGGCTTTTCCCGTATGTGCTTGGTCTCTGGCGCATGTTTTGTTTTGGGGGTTGACGAGGGCGATGAAAAGTGAACGGAGTTTCTTGTTCAGCGCCTCGACGGAGCATACTCGCTCTTGTCTTACCTCGTCTGTTCGAGCCGCGAGAAGCTAAGACAGGTCAAGAGAAACCCAAGTTAGTATGCGAAATTGTCGGTGTCACGAGCTTGATCTCTCGATGGCCTACAGTACGTCCCAACACGAGAAGTTACGATCGCCACACGAGCCCGTTTCAACAGCATGGAAATACATCATCTCTAGACACGGCTTATATGGCATTGTACAACGTATGGAGTATAACAAAGGCATTATTAAATGTCGTCCTAGTCGTTCATCCAGGCTGCCACCCTTCCCGTTCCAACGCGAGTCGCAAGCCTTAAACCCGTGGTGCCCATAGGAAAGTAGCTGACAAGGTACCACACGAGAGCGACAAGTTGGAATATTGAGGATATGAGTGTTAAGAGGGTGGAATGGAGCTAGAGGCGAGGAAGGTTGTCAGATGAGTCACAAAAATGATCAGGGAGAAAAAAAAAAAAAAAAAGGCCTAGGATGAGGAGGGCAGACAGTTGAGAGGGCTACTAAATGCGCCTAGAGAGGAATCAGTGTAGTTGACATCCCCAGAACGGTACGAAGGACCTTGTCGCCGTAAACGCGCAATGGTCGGGATGACGTCATAAGCCCAGGATGTAATGGAACAAGGCACACGTGAAGGTAACACATGTATACGTTGAGGGATGGTGTACCAAGGAGGATGGCAGTAAGGGTGGTGCAAAAGTTGCAGAGATAGCAGGGGATCCACTTACACCAACCGCAAAAAAAAGTGTGAGCCCAATAGACGCGAAGTAAGCAGCAGTAAATGGGAGCCGGGGTCCAGACAGGAGGTGTTTGGCATAAGTCATGGGCCCGAGGAGCACCGCCCAGGACGCAAGAAACAAAACGGAGCCAACGGACCACCTGCACAGCCTGGTTAGAGTGACACTTGACAATCCGGATGAGCATAATTTGAAAACCATCGAGCAATATGGACAGAAGGGTTTAACGGCGATCTAAAATGTAAGGGCCGGGGAAACCATGAAAGAGCTTGCGTGGCCTTTTTAGGGAGAGGGTATACACCATAAAGTCCAAGCTAGAATCTATGGGTATTTATGTCAAGTAGGGCCTTCTGACACCCGGTGCTGATCCCACGTAGTGGATGTCATGATGTAAGGGAACGGTGACGTTTTGGCGCAAAGAGAATAGAAAAGAATCGCTGAAGGTCCTTAGGGAGAGCACTCACAGGATGGCAAATTTGCGTGGAACAAACATCAACGCAGGAAATATAATGAAGCACATGCAAATTGCAAAGCAGACAAGGGCGCCGATATTGAATCCCGCAAATATCAGCATGCGATCCCATCGACTCACTGTAAGCAATGGAAATTAGTAATAGGCGAAGATAAGCCGATGGCCCTTCAAACCGGCAGCATCGCCGCTCAAATGCTCAACAAGCAAGACAAACAAACTCGTGAAACTTGGCAAGACGCAGGAACTGACGGGGAATCACCCGTAGCTCATCATGCATAACGACGATTCCTGAGAAGGGGGGGGCCACGGGACTCACAAGCAAACCACCCTTCCTCTTCTTCTCTTCGTGTGGGAGCTGGTAACGGCGCAGAAGAGCCTTCTGACAGATGAACATAACCACGGCTCGCAAATGGATTTAGGGACTGTAGTTTTGAAAGTATTGGTCTTGAGGACGAGCCATTGGTGGTGGTGGGCTCTGGCGCTCTCCGAGACCAGCCCAGAGAATTCATAGAATCCCGAAAAGA